GGGGATCTGGATGACAGATTGGATCATAAGCTCAGAGTATATAAATTTGGGCTACTATGTATATACTAGATGTACTAGTAAGTCAACTAGGGAGCAAAAGGGAAAATACATACTCTGAGAACGAGTCCCTGTAGGTCCCCGGCACTAGCAGAAGGGACGATCTAGTAGTGTCTGGTAGATTTCCAAGTCGAGAGAGTAGCGGACCCTGATACGCGGGTATTGCAGAATGAGAAACACAGAGTACCGTCCCCTTGGGTCATGTATACCATCAACAAGAAGACTTCTCTCGCAGCCACCTTCATTTTTACGTACACACCGTCTTTATGGAATATACAGTGGCCCGTAGTGGAATCAAGCGGGCCATTTCATGTTCATTTCTTTTTCCCAGCAGCCTGTTCCAGGGTCTGGGGCCAATCTCGGCAATGATTATTTTATTTCAATTTGCCGCCAACCTAACAAACCTAGACGGCACATCAGGCAGGAGAATTCCTGCATGGGGCTTTTTTCTGTCGCTATTTAATTGTCGGTGGCGATGATTATGATGAAATGGGAAGGTCTTAAAAGGTCAGAAACGGCCAGCACAACGCCTCTTCACAAGATAACGGTTGGCCTCGGTAGAGCGACGCAAATCGTTTTCGTCCTATTTGCCTCCCTACGATTAGCACTTCCAAGAAAGGAATACCCATCGAAAATCATCGTGATGGCCTAATATGTACCTGTACCTGTCCGACTTACTTCCACCGTTTTAAAAAAAGAGATGGAAAAAAAAGCTGAGGCACCTCGGTGGCATCTGCTCCTGAACGTGGGGATCCACTCAGTGTAATCTTAAACCAGCGATCCTCTGATCCCCCAAGTCTGATTAGCTAGAGAAAGAGTTCAAGGGTTCAGCCACGAGAAACGTGAGTAGTTGACCACCAGTCCAGGCAGGGAGAAAAAAAAAGCAAAAATAAAGGAATCCCGCGAGAAGAACCAAGGACGTACCAGATAATTTCTCGAGGGCGTTCAAGATCGGCAAGGTGTGTTTTGCCTCGTCAGAGCTTCTCATGCATCTTGCATGTCAATTTCCCTCATGGCTACGTCTGTGGAAGGGAGGCTCATTAGTTCCACAACCAATAGCGTCTGCAGCGAGCATGAAGCTGGCCTCCTACTGGCTTTAGCCATGCTGCGAGCATCGCAGCCCTGCAAATGACCCTCCTCAACTGGAAAGAATCAACACCATGCACCTCAGCCATTGGCGTAATCAGGCATTTCTGCGGCGTGGCGTTCTCGCTGGCGCTAACAGATCACCCAAAGTGCCACGGGCAACACGCGACGAGTGGAGACCTTTTGCCTTGCACCGCCATCATTTGGCCCCCTCTAATCGAAAGGGGGGCCTTTCTCTCTTTGTTAGTTTTCCTGGCGTGTCTCTTTCATTTCACCTTTTTTGTTTAAAAAAACCCCAAAATTAAAATCTGTGGGAGCTTTTTTCAGTGGCTTCTAGGAGTATCCGTACGGCAGGCTTCCCGGGTCAACGGGGGCGTTTCCAGCGGCGCATCCGATAGAGGTCCACAGTTCAAGCTCAAGGTGATTTCAAATGACTGCCAACACGCGTCGTGAATACCTACTCGTACAGTAGGTAGAAACACAGCCACCAATTTTTATTTATTTATCCCCCATTCATAGGAAGCTTGAGCTTTGAGTCATGTAATACGGGGATTTGAACGTACGCTAATTTAATCGGCGAAAATACTAAATAATCAAAATAAATCTATCTGTACTCTGTACGCCCTAACTACTATCGGTTATCAAACCTACATACTAGTAGTAAGGGTTGTTCCTATAGTTCACTAGCGAGGACTGACCGCTGGAAATTCCAGGAGCTGAGGAACTCATCTCATCTCATCGCCAAGATTCCAGTCATCCGGCATATGACGAGGTCGATATCTGACAGTGTCAAACTCCCCCAAATTAGCATGAAGGGATGAAGTATCCGGGACAAGGATGAGGTAAGGATGGTGTGTTTTTGTTATTTTTACTTTTTGTCAGCGGGTCCAAGCTGGGATCCTTTTTTTTTCTTCTATCTCTCTCCTTGTTAATGACACAACAAGGCGTGCCTTTTGTTTTCTCGGAGATCCAGGGTTTGTGTGCTCACATTCCTTGTCACGCGTCGGGATATTGTGATGGAAGTTGCATATTCGCCAAAAGGTTGGCGGCACACAGCTTGGCGTTCATACTAGGAGTCGCCATTTACCCCGCATTTTGGAATGGGCTTACGAATGATGCAATCCGTGAGTTAGCCCCAAGCTGTTGGGTTTCTACCTACGTGAGATACGTGAGATACGTGAGATACGTGAGATACGTGAGATCGAGAGACGCAAACTAAAAAAATTTAATTTCAAAAAAGTAAAAATTAAAAAAGAAAAAGAAAGCAGAAGGAAAGAACTGGAGAGATAGGAAGATAGCCAGGAAGAAACGAAGAAACGAAACTGAAAAGAAAAATACATCAAGATCCCCCTCTTCTGAGCTCTTCTGAGGAAATCTGTTTACTCCAGAAGGTTGAACTATGATTAGCCGAGCTTTACTTCTCTTTCCTCTGGGTTTGCCTTTGGGTGGAGTACGACCGTGCACTGTATACCCGCCAATGCTTAACTTCTAGACCCCCTTGAACCCATGTGAAACTAGATTAGATTTCGAGAAAGGAAAAAACAACAACAACAGATGACCAGAGAGTGATGGGGGCTAAAGGTTGTTGGTCGCTTACGAAGGGGCGACAACACAGGGAGATACGATACGGAGCAAAAGAGTCATCCGAAAGAAGTGTATGTATCAAATTCTAGGCGAAATCATTGGCAAAAAGCATAATGTAATCTCCAGATGGCGTTTTTTCACTTTTCAGATGATTACTCAAAGCGCGCGCAAGCACTCGGTTTTTGCTGTTCTTGTTGACAAAGCATCAACCAACGAGAATGGACGCAATCTATTTCACCTCGTATATGACTGGCGCATCACACGTCCAGCTGTTCAGGACGATCATTTCACCTATTCTACTTCCAGCTGGTGCGTCGTTCGTGTGTCCGATTTTCCTGCCGGAGTTGGATTCCGACCACTGCGACATCAACGATGCTCGATCTCTCTATCTATTCTCTACACGTCCAAAGTGTCGGTCAGGGGCAGGTCAGCCAGCCGGTGCAGAACTCTCACCATGAACCTGCTTATGGCTATTCTCAGACAACAAGCTTCCCGGTAAGTCTCCGAATGTCCATGTCCAGCAGTGTGGTCATTGGGGCTGAAAAGAACGCAAGCCACCTCTTGCTGTTTCGGCGCGCTTCCTTCCCAATGCAAATGCAAATGCAAATCCCCTACGTGATATGTATAGCGCATTTGATTGACTATCATCGCTATGAAACCCGACTCTGTGGAGAAAGGATGAGGGGGTTCTGGAAAAACAGACCCCACTCATAACGACAACATCAACATCAACACCAACACCAAATCGCCTCCCACCTCCTGATGACAATTCGAAATATTCCATTTACCTCCCCCCACGAATCCACCACAGATGTATCAATACTGCCTATCGGTGACAACGCCACATGCGATGCTGATACGCTCACCTCCTTACCGATGAACCCCGTGTTTGCCGCAACAGTAATCATCTCCGGAATCTGACTCTCACCGACAAGGATAGGGACGGAATTTTGGGACAGAATGGCGACCTCAAAATTTAGAATACGGGAATTATCATCCCTAGAGAAGTATTATCTTGCCATCTCCCCTTTTTTGTTGGCTAACCCGAGGCCGGCGCGGCGGTGGGGGTGGGTTGGTCAGCCAAGACGAGACTCCATCCTGACTAGGGCTGACACCCTTGGCGCGCGGTGGTTCTCACATCCCTGCGCAGTCATCTGATTCCTTTCCGGCCATGTCCCCGAGGGCAGTAGTAGCACTAGAAAAGTATCGGAAAAGGGACTGTGATTGTGACCGTGACGTCGTCTCCCTGCGCGGCTCGGCCGTCGGGTAGGAGAATTATCATGCATGCCCGCGGTTTCACGAAGAAAAGGAGGGGTTGGAAGTGGAAGAATCGGGTTTATCTCGACGCAGTAGCCGGCCCCCTCCCTTGTTGGGCTGTGGGTTCACAGAAGTACCATTCGGCAACGGGTGGCTTTTTCCACTGTAGAATTGGATATCCATACTCCGCAGGTATAGTTGTGGGGCCATCTATATGTAGTTCGGACAATAAGACAATAAGACAATAGTCTCGTCTCAACTATACCACACACACTCTAGTAAAAGCATCACTCTGTACAGAAATGGCAGTACCCTAGGGGAAATAAGTCACCTTCCTGGATTGCTGCAGGTAACCCGTACTTTTCCCTCGGATCCTTGCCGACGAAAGGTGATGCAAAATAGCGCCGGAGCTTTCAAATGGGGCCTGTGTTGCCATACTGGTTCTGTGAGCTGTCTCAATTCATGACTCTGCTGAACCGCTGGTCCAACTGTCATTAACAGTTGCAATTGTAGACCGAGGAGGCGTTATTCTGGACCGGAGCATAGAGCTCCAGGATTAGATTATTCCACGCCCACGCCACAAAAGAAAGGTCGCTTGCCTGATGGCGAGTGTGTACATCTTCCGCCATGAGAAGTACTTCGACTGGGACCTTGTCCGTATCCTCGCTTGAAATGGGAGCCATTCACAATTGAAACCCCACAGCGCCACATCCACCCGATGCATTTACGATGGCAGGCCATGGACACGCCATGTCGTATCCCACGGCGTGGCAAACGGCGTAGAAACTGAATTCGGATGAAAAGCTGCGCAAGCCACGCCCGAAAGAAAATGAATCCGGTTGGTCCTTTTGATTCCTTGTCATTCTTCTTGCTACCATGAATCTTATGCATTCTATTCACAATGATTATCCAAACATGCGGTTCCATCTATGTCTCCCCACCCGGCCAGAGGACGAGGCAAGAGAGGGTGAAAATTGGAGGTAAGAAAAAAGGGCTAACTTGACTAGCACTGGAACCTACCAGCTCGTCAACCCGCGCTGGCGATCAAACCCAGCCCTCAGTTGAGATTCAGGTTTGAGGACTTTGCCTTGCAGGACAGTATACCGAATGATGTTTTCACACTCCTCTGGCCGCACGCGTGCCAACCAAATGCCTTGAGAAGCACCTTCTTCTTCATCTGCAGCGCGTGTTTCCTCGCGCTTGTACCAATCAAAGTCCCTGCGACGGTATACGATCACATTGGCTGAATACTTGTGCCCACCAACATGGTTAATAAAATATATGCCCACGCCGCCAGGTCGCTGATCATCCATGTCACGGTACAGGCCCAACGGCCGCAGATGCCGCTCAAATTCCTTGCGCAGCAGGGGTGCGGACTGGCCGCAACGTGCGTCGCGGGTACGCTGCGAGCAGAGAAGAATCACAGCGGCATGAGGGCAAGGGTGAGATGTGAGAGGAGTTGATGTGATGGATGTATTGGAGGGGTGCGGTGGCTGTTGCTCCTGCTGCTCCTGCTGCTCCTGCTGCTCCTGCTGCTCCTGCTGCTCCTGCTGCTCCTGCTGCTCCTTGTCTGGAGAGTCCACTCCATCCTCGCTCTTCTTTTCTGGAGGAATGCCGCCGAGTGGTGTGGTTGTTGTCGGAGAATTGTTGATAAAGTTTGCAATCAGATCGGGTGCCAGCTGTGGAGTTACATTTTCCACGATGGTGAAGCTGGGTAGCAGGAGCACATTTGTTGGTTGTTGCCCTGGCTCATGCATGTGGTATTCATCTGGTACCGGCATGTTTGAGGCGGATAGTTTCAATCTCTGAGCGGAATATCCCACGTTAGTTTGTTTGCTACCCAACGTGTTTGGAGGACAGATAGCTTACCCCGTTGCTGGGCTCGACTCCTCCCTTCTCGATTGCTTCCATGATGCTCCCTTTCTCATCTGCAACATCGCGCACCCAATCTGATTTGCCAGTAGCAACGAGCATGTGTGTCGCCCACCCATTCACATTCCCGTAAAGCTCATCCTCCAAGTCCACGTCAAATTTTGCGGGGTATTTCACAGTGCAGCTTGAGCAGTCGTGGAGGCATTCTTCGCCATCGATAGATGCTTCGGGCTTTGTGAAAAGCTTATCAGATGCTGAAACAGACTGGAATCCTTCCGTAGCGAGAGCGCTATCCCCCACAGCGTCGGTGGTGATGTCGGTCTTAGAGGAGGCGAGTGAAACGTTGGACGAACTGAAGAGTGAGGAGGTACCTCGGCGGAAGAGATGCATTCTGACGGCCGAGGGAGTCACGCGTTGTCGAATAGGAAATGGTGATACTAGTTTCGAGTCAGGGGGAGAAGAAGCGACCGAGGGATGCCTTTTTGATTTCTAGTTTGGATGACGCGAGCGCAAAGTGATCTTATCAATCACTGTGCATTCCCGCTAAGCGTTCGGAATGTTGCCGCGTGACTAAGCCCCCGCTCGGGGCCGATTGATATCGAGTGGTCTTCTATTCACTAATAATACATATGATCTGAATGGATTTCTCGGGTGGGGGAGAGTGGGCCTATCTACGGCCTGCGTAGTTGAAATTATATGGCAGATCCCCCGGGTTTTGCGGCTGGGTCAGCCGAATCACACTTCCTCCTGAACTACCAGACTGGCCCGACTGTACACGCCGCAGTGACTGGGTTGATGGTGTACGCAGTGGGCCCCTTCCAATACGAGCGCTTCTCACCGATGACATCCCCGAAGCGGGGCTCTGTACTGCTGGTGCGGTATCATAGCCTGACTGTGTGTCCCACGTCGACGCATTCGACGGGCGCAGACTATTGCTTCGCATCGGTGTAAACGTTCCACCATAATCGAAATTTTCCACAGTATCCGTTTCTCCCTCCTCGTCAGAGGGTCCGATAATTGACTCAGTGTCCGTCCGGTGGTAGCTTGCGCTGTCTCGGATTTCCTCAATGGCTGGCTGTGCTGGGGCTGTCATTCCCCGTAGAATTTCCGCAAATAGGTGCATCAGTTCGCGGAATTCCGTCTCGTGTAACTGATGTGAAGAAAATCGTGCTCGCTCATAGAGTGCTAAGAACTCGGCTCCGATCTCCGGTGGGTTGATCACTCCTAGAAATGTGAGATGGCCGATGTATTGGCGTAAGCCCATAGAGACCGGTCGCTGGAGCACTTCCACCACGCGCATATCTGGTAAAGACTCCATTGCAACTTCGCTAGTCGGGTCAAAGGGATTGGGGTCATTAGGGTATAATGTATCGGGAGGGGCGAGTGATACGGCTTTCGCCTCGATAAGGTTGGGTAGTTCTTGGACAACAGTGCGGTATGGTAGATCGGGCAGGTCAGGCGAGGCGGGTGATGACCAGCCAGGGTGCTCAACGCGACCCCATGGCGGGTGCTTGAGGTTGATCAGAAGCTCCTTGTGGTTCTGAAAGCTCCCGAGTTCATCTGAGGTATCGCGCGGGCGAGCCTGGTACGCAAGAACCACACTTTTGGCTATTCCATCCTTGACCATATGCCTCACACTCTTGCTCACGTCTTCCTTTTCGACGGGGATCCAAGCTTTCGGAATGCCAGCCAGGGTACTGCGATTCGTATATATGCGTGTCGCATAAATGAGGACTGCAAGGAGGAATGTGATCACATAGGCGCCAGTGATGAAAAAGATATTCGTGAGTCGGTTGGTCTCGTAACACTGGTAGATGGCGTCGGCTGGGGTCAGGAGGATTAGACAGAAAAGGATTACGGCAAAGAAGAAGAATACGCTCGAGTTAAAAAATATCTCGAGTCCCGCAGTTGTCATGATGTTCCGCGCATACTGTGCAAAGAGCACGGCATCTAGTGGAAGACTCGAAGCTTTCGAGGATGTCAAGGGCGAGGGAGCTGCCGCGGAGATAAGCCAATCACGTGTTAGCGCAAGTATGGGATTCCGTACGGTAGCTATGCAGAACCACCAGGCACCAGCCAGGGTATATGCCATAAGGTAGCTGCTAGATGAATCTAGATTTACCAGTTTCTTGCGTACCTTTCCCATAAAGATACTTCGACCTTGAAAAAATTGCGGTGTTCTCGGCTCACTTGTTGGTACCTGGGTATCACATGACCCCCTATCGGCCAAAAGTGGCAGTCCCTGGATCGCCGAATAATTTCAAAGTCAAGCAAGCCATGGGCGAATACATTCCTCTTCAGGAGGAGCGGGATCTCTACATTCTAGTAACAGGCGCAAACAGGTACGCTACTCCACATTGGCCAAGCAGTTCACACCCTCCGCCACATACCCGTTTGTTTCGACGCTAATTGATCCTCCGCAGCGGCCTCGGCTTTTCGATATGCTGTCGCCTCGCAGACGAATTCCTCTCTTCGCACCCAGATGATGAGTCCCTTACGATCATCTTCACGACTCGCAGCGCTCGCAAAGCCCAAGACACTCGCCGCCAGCTAGAGCAGCACCTTCAATCCTCCAACCCCTCCCCCTCGGACTCCGCGCGCGTGAAATTCGTCTCTGAGAGTGTCGACCTAGGAGACCTTCTCTCTGTCCGCTCGCTCACCCGCAGACTTCTAGAAAACTTCCCGAAACTCGATGCGATTATTTTAAATGCTGGGATCGGTGGTTGGTCGGGCCTTGACTGGCCAGCTGCTATCTGGGGCGTCTGCACCGATCTCATCCACCAAACAACCTGGCCAAAGTACAAGCTCGCAGCGGTGGGCAAATTGACAAACAGGCAAACAAAGGAAGAGGAGGAGCCACAGCTGGGTAATACCTTCTGCTCCAACGTGTTCGGTCATTACATGCTGGCACATAACGTGGTGCCATTGCTGAAGCGAGCCAACTCGCCCAACGGGACGGGACGGGTTGTTTGGGTCTCGAGTATCGAAGCGACGATCAAGTTTTTTGACATCAATGACATGCAAGGTCTCCGGACTTTGGCACCTTACGAGTCTTCCAAGGCTCTGACCGATGTCCTGGCTTTGACTTCCGATCTCCCTGGTACTGCCCCCTGGGCAGTGGATAGCTTCATGCGTTCAGATACCGAGCTAGAGGGAACCAAGGCCAAAGCTCATTTGAGCACCCCGACGGTTCACGTCTCTCACCCGGGAATTTGTGCCACGTCCATTGTTCCCCTTATCCTCCCTCTTGCCTGGGCGATGGTAGCGGCATTCTTCGGTGCGCGCCTCCTGGGCTCTCCGTGGCACACCCTGGACACGTACCTCGGCGCCTGTTCTCCTGTTTTTCTTGCCTTGTCACGGCAGTCCGAGCTGGAGGATGCCGAGTCGCCTTATCGCCAAGGTGGGGGAGGAAGAGTAAAATGGGGCTCATCGGCCTCTCGCTGGGGCAAGGAAGGTGTCGCTTCAACTGAGACGGACGGTTGGGGAAATGGCGGGGTGGTGGGCGCTGCTGTGGTTGATGCTGATCGGAATCGGCGTCGAAAGCGCGGCATGGTTGATTTGACTCAGGAACAGAAAGAGAGCTTCGAGGATCTTGGGCGCCAATGCTGGAAGCAAATGGAAGAGCTTAGGATCAAGTGGGACGGGATCCTCGACCAGGCTGAGCAGCGCGCGGCGGCTGAGAAGACACAATAGCCTTGAAAAAGGCGCTAATCGGCTACTTGCAAGCTTATGGCTCTCTTCTTGGGCCACTGCCAGCTGATGAAAACAACACTAATTTCATGTAATATATCTAAAATTACCCTTTTCGGAAGGCGTAAAAATCATTTTAATGCCGACACTATCCATGGATACCTATTGTTATCTCAATTACCTAGACTCAAATGAATTTAATTCTATATCCTTTAAATTCTGCCTCCAGAATCATTTTACATCAACAGAGCCGCACTATCCGTGATGATTTTATTAAGTTCAGACGATGTGCTATTGATTTCTATTTTCACTAGGATGACTGGAACCTTGGGAAACCGGAAAGCAAAAGGCCCGACATGCGCACGATGGGGATGTATGAATATTTTGAAATTTCGGGTCAAATAAGTGACTAAAATGTGATAATGTTGCAGAAAAAAAAGGAACCGAGTATCCACGCAGGTCTGCCATCTAGGCTTCGTGCCGCGGTGGCTTTGTCATGAACAGGATTAAAAGGTTTTCGCCAGCGCAAAGCGAAGGCGATAGACTGTGACGGGCAAGAAGCAGGAAAACAAGGACCGAAGAGGCTCGGGACAATAGAAGATAAGATCACGCAGAAAACGACTCCGGTTCCATGCATCAAGACGGGGGAAGAGAGGTATCGGCAGGTGAGAGGGGATGTAAATTTGCGTAGCGACGTGAAAAAAGAGAAAAAAGGGGGAGAGAAAAGATTACATGATAATCGCAGGAACTGTCTCGGAGGTTAGCATTTAATTCGGGTACTCTTATAGGCATAGATTGCATCAACTTACCATCAATGTTTTGCTTGATGCTCTTATGGGGCAGGATTGAGCCACCGTTGACATATACCTCGTCGGCGATGGTAACATCATCACCCAGGACGGTGACATTCTCAAGACGAGCCCAGCGGCCGACGGAGCTGTTCCATCCGACGATGGTCGACTTGATCCAGGCATGGTCCTTGACCTTGCAGTTCTCCATCACGACGCAGCGCTGAAGGCGAACACCATCACCAATCACAACATTGGGGCCGATGACAACGTTAGGACCGATGCGGCAGTTGTTGCCAATCTTGGCGGAGGGATCGACCATAACGTTTCCGCCGTGGACGAAAGGCTCGGAGTTGGAAGCAAGCTTCTTGGGGTTGCGCTTGGCGAGCGAGCTGAGGTACAGGCAAGTACCAGTGAGGAAGTCCTTAGGTTGACCGACATCCATCCAGAAGCTCTCGAGGTCGAACGAGTGGAGCTGGCCGTCCTTGCAGATCGCGGGGAAGGTCTCTTGCTCGATTGAGGTCGGGCGGAGCTCAATGCGGTTGAGGACACTGGGGTTCAGGATGTAGATACCGGCGTTGATACGGTTTCCAACAAACTCGACGGGCTTCTCGACGAAGCGGTCGATGCGGGAGGGGTGGTTAGGCTTGTGGACGACGACACCGTACTTGGAGGGCTCGTCAACCTTGGTAACGACAATGGTACCCTCATTACCGTGGGCCTTGTGGAAGGCAGCGAGTTCCTGGAAGGGATAGTCACAGATAACATCGGAGTTCAGAACGAAGAATGGGGAGTCGTCTTTGCCCAGGATCTTCTCCGCCAGCTTGAGCGGGCCAGCCGTGCCCAGCGGTTCCGACTCGACGGAGAACTCAATGTTCACGCCATATTGCTCCTCGTACTTCTTGAGAGCGGCAACCATAACATCAGGGCGATAGTTGACAGCGAGTACGATATCGGTAACACCAGCAGCAGCCAAGCTCTCGACTTGATGCAGGATCATAGGCCGGTTGCCGAATTCGACGAGGGGCTTAGGGAGAGTGAGAGTCTAGGTGGAGAGAAAGGAATGCGTTAGCCCTGTTGACTCCGAGTTCGAGAGAGGCATGGCGATGGCCAGTCAAGAGACAAAAATCAATTGGAACGGTCAATGCGAATGAGAGGATCGACAAGGACTCACCAAAGGACGCAGACGGGTACCGAACCCTCCGACAAGAATTAAAGCTAGGAGAGGGTCAATGACGGGCGGGGAGAGAGGGGGGAAGCATTGCATGGAGGGGTAAACATACCTTTCATGATGTGTGGGGTAAAAAGGGTGAATCAAGGAAGTAAAGATAGAATCAATCAGATCGATGGGGTGGAAGAAGATGATCCAAAGAACATCGGACCTTGATACTCTCAGGGAGGAAATAGCATTATTTAGGGAACACCTGGCCGTTGATGGATTTATTTTTGGGGGGGGGAAAGACTTGAGTGGGGCACGTGCGTGGCCGATGATTGGGGAAGGCACACGTTTGCAGCGAAAAGGGGTGGGTGGAGCCATTATTGCCTTGTCCAGTACAGGTACGAGTCTCAGATACTCTTCCTACACTACATGTACAGCCCTACTCTGTCGAGTATGGAGGATTCATGCGAGACCAGTCCCGATGCATTCAATTGACCAAATATATCCCCGTTTGCATGGAGGGTACGGATATACAGAGTAGGTACAGAGTACTCCCTCCTTCACTGCGGGACTTCCCTGCTGAAGTCGCCGCATCTCAGACGGGTCACACTGGGTCCAGCCCCTAGCCCATCCCAGCCCATCCCGGCCCCGATACCTCCATTGCCGTCCTTGACTGGATCGGGACCGCCGAGTTGTCTTCCCCGCGAACTTTCAAGACGCCTCCGTGTGTACTCCCTAAGTACCCTCGTAGGTCAGACGATGTCGCCCCTGAGGAGGGTGGCACTGGGTAGTCATAGTTGTAGTCGTTGGTTTCGGTCTCGTGGAATAAAAGGTCTCTCCTTCCGTCGCACCATCCGATCATCTGACTGGGACGCTGCCAACTGCGGGCCCCAAGAGATTGATTCCCTGCTCCCCTCCCCCCTTTTATTATTGCGTGTCCGGAGGCAGCCGATGACCAGGTGTTGTTGGCATTCCTGAATAGTGACCGCCTGCTTCATCCGTTGCACATACGAATTGGAGAACCCATTCACTTACCCGGCGAGCTTTCTGAAGCAAGAGCGGCTGATCGACAAGCAAGTCATGAAAGCTACCCGCATCCGTCATCTCCACTGGCCGCCGGTGTAAAAGGTCAACTTGGGTCATTCCCCCCCGTAAGGTTTGTCCATAAACCCGGTTCTGGAACGAACTTAACCCTACTGTCCGAAGTAAGATGATATCTTGAGGTCGAAGCATGGCCAGCGATCGGCCAAGGCGATCGATCTGCTTGGTCTTGGCAGCCACCACGCTCCGCTCCTGGGGGAGCCAAATGTTAACCCCAAACCCCGTCCTCGTTTCGTCTCCAACCACCATCTCAATAATGTCGAATTCGGTCTTCCACTGTCGTGTAACCACACTACGTGGTGGTTGTATCGCAATGATGCCCACGATTAGATTCACCGTCATAGTTTGCGGAACGATTGATTCGAGATAGGTTGCTGTAGGAATGTCCTGCAGGTCGCAGATTGGACCACTCATCCTGAAAGATGTTTGTAGTCTAGCTGCATCGTCCTTTTCTCTCTCTCCTTGTGAACTGATAGTGGAGACCATGCTGTTCGAGGCTGTCCCGCTTTCCTGCGTAATGTATTCGAGTTCGGAGACATCAATCTCGGAGGTCTCATGGACGGCAAATGAATGATTGTAGAATTCTGATAAAACCGAATCTCCCTCTGTTGATATTTCACCAGTGGTGACTAATTGGTTCGTCGTCCAAAATTTTGGATCTTCTGGCCCGTAATAGAAAGTAGTATGAAAGTGGTCTGGCTGGCAGCTTGGCAGAGGTTGGAGAATTCTCCATTTCGCAGAGGGCGGGTCTGGGCCAATTGATGTCTGCAGACAGTGGTTCAAGTTCAATTTGTGGTTGGGGATTTCGGGATCTTGAAATGGTGGCAGGGAGGTGTCAAGAAGTTCATCATTTTCCCAATCTAGACTGCTGGGCAATGGACTTCCCACTAGAAAGATCATCTTTGGAGCCATTCTGCCTCAATGTACTTAGGAAATCTCGGTGATAGTCCTTCAGGCTCAGTTCTTGAGTCTCTTGATGCTATGCAGGTGAAGTTTCTCGATCCATGCTTTCATTGTTGAATGGAATCCGGGTGATTTGGAGGCTGTGAAGCTGAAGCTGGTGTCACGATATGAAACCAAGCAGCAGGCATTACAGACGAGAACTTTAGGTTGTCTGCGATGGTACTTTGCTGCAGAGTGGTTGATGTTTCAACTAAGATTGAAGTTCAAGCTCTGAGGAGGACTCGGGACTCGGAGGTTCAAACTTGGAACCGAACCATGGGCCGCCGTATTCGGGATGGAGTGTCTAGACTCGGATCCAACCTTGGGGGTTTCAAGTTATATGGAGGTAGTAGTACATATGCAAGAAAATCAGAAAGCTCAACATATCACAAGGAATCTTAATATTCCAGGCTTCCAGCCTAGTACCCCGGCACAAATTTATTGTTGCTTATATTGCTCTCATCTAGGCGAATGATTAAATAACTTATCCAAGCTGGCTGGTAACCGGCTCACTAATACGAGTGGTGGTAGAACCGGCCCTTCCGCCTATGTTATACCCCACGTGATCTACGGATACTCAGACCGCCCAAAGTGGCAACCGACATTCGCCGCAGCGGCGGAGTAAAAGCCATCGTCACCGTTTCCCCTCCCCTTCGCCTCTACTTTTCAATCAGAGATAGCCGTTGGCTCAACCTAAAGGTCATCTCTTTTGGATTATTCCCCTCGGTCATCAAAATATTCACCCGAAGAGCAGACTCTTCCTTCTCACGCGGCCAAGCGCCGCCGTTCATCGGACAACTATGGCCTTCCAAGGCCTTCCCCGGCCGGTGCGAATTCATCCTGACCTCCTCTCCACCATCTGGATCCCCATCACTAACCTGTGCGACGATGATTCAGAATGTCACTGCTGTGACATCCGATCTCTGGCCCTCTATGTCTAGTCTTTTCGCGGCTTCCTTGAAGCGGTCCGGCCGAAGTCCGACTCTCGTCCGCGCTTTCGCAGTCCCGGCCACTCGTTCCATTTCGACAGTGTCACCCTTCCGCTTCAAATCGTTACAGACCGCACCAAAGCCACAAGGTCTGTCACAGCTCCAACAACAGAGGTTCATCTTTGGAGGCTCTTCGCAGAATCTACTGGCACAGAAGGAGAAGACCGCGAACAACAATCCGAATAGCGCCAATGCCCAGAATGCCTTCTACCAAGCTCTTCTGCGTGCAAACATGCCCGCGATCGTTGTGGAAAGATACCGGACCGCTCAATTCGCAAGCAACTCGACAACAGAGGCCCTCTTCACTCAAGCTCTGCAGCGCGTCGGCGGTGCTGAGGCCATCGGTTTTGGAGCGCAGACCCAGGGTCTCAAGTCTGAACAGCTTCAGGCCGTTGGACAGGCCGTTGCTGCGCAGAACGGTGGAGGTCAAATTGGAATGGCAACTCGGCAAACTGGCACTGGCGCGAAGGAGGCCCCTCTCTACGTTGTAGTGGATGAGTCTCTGAGCAGCGTGGTTTTCCGCTGGGTTAAATTCCTTTTGATCTTTGGATTTTTCTGCTATCTCTCCCTCGTTGTGGTTACCGTCTTGATCGAGACTACCGGTGTTATGAAGAACATTCGCGGCGCACAGACCAATGAAGCCCAGCCTCAGCAGCAAACTGTGCGGTTCAGTGACGTTCACGGTTGTGACGAGGCCAAGGATGAGCTCCAGGAGCTTGTCGAGTTTCTTCTCAACCCCGAGCGTTTCTCATCCTGGGTGGTAAGCTCCCCAAGGGTGTTCTTCTGGTTGGTCCTCCCGGTACTGGTAAAACCCTGCTCGCCCGTGCTGTCGCGGGAGAAGCCGGTGTCCCGTTCTTCTACATGTCTGGCTCCGAATTCGATGAGGTCTATGTCGGCGTTGGCGCTAAGCGTGTCCGCGAACTCTTCAGTCAAGCCCGTGGCAAATCCCCCGCCATCATCTTCATTGATGAGCTGGATGCCATAGGTGCGAAGAGGAATGAGCGTGATGCTGCCTATGTCAAGCAAACCCTTAACCAGCTGCTCACCGAACTTGATGGCTTCTCCCAGAGCAGCGGTGTTATCATTCTTGGCGCTACCAACTACCCCCAACTACTCGATAAGGCATTGACCCGACCTGGTCGATTCGACCGCAAGGTCACTGTCGGTCTTCCTGACGTCCGCGGCCGTATGGATATTCTTCGACACCACATGAAGGATGTTCAGATCGGCACTGATATCGATCTTGCTGTTATCGCCCGTGGCACTCCCGGTTTCTCTGGTGCAGACCTTGAGAATCTTGTCAACCAGGCTGCAATCCACGCCAGTCGTGACCGCAAGACCAAGGTCGGCTCGTTCGACTTTGACTGGGCCAAGGACAAGATCATGATGGGTGCTGAGGCTAGGAGCCGCATCATTCAAGATAAGGATAAGCTTTCGACTGCCTACCACGAAGCTGGTCATGCTCTTGTTTCCTACTTCTCGCCCTCCTCTACCCCCCCTGTATAAGATTACTATCGTCCCTCGTGGCATGGCTCTTGGTTTGACTCACTTCCTGCCGGAAATGGATGCCGTCTCGCGTAATTATTCCGAGTTCCTGTCTGATATTGCTGTTGCTATGGGTGGCCGGGCTGCCGAGGAGCTGATCTATGGCCCGGAGAATGTGTCGAGTGGTATATCTGGAGTGAGTTTTCCATACGTCCTTCCCCCTCAAAAATCCATCAATAGTACTAATTATGTTCATAGGACATCCAACAAGCGACCGAGACAGCCTTCACCCTGATCACACGTTTTGGATACTCCAAGAAGCTCGGCAACGTTGACCTATCCAGCAACTACGACAGCCTATCCTCCGAAACAAAGCAGGAGATCGAGGGCGAAGTCCGTCGCCTCGTCGAGGAGGCACGGGATAAGGCCACCAAAATTCTGACTGAGAAGCGCGATGAACTCGAACTCCTGACCAAGGCTCTGATCGAGTACGAAACTCTCACCAAGGACGAGATGGAGAAGGTTCTTAAAGGAGAGAAGCTCGAGGGCAAGCTTTTGGCGTCGCCCACTGCACCGCTAAAGTTGCCAGAGGCTCTCCAGGTCCCTAGCCTGAACCCCACTGGGACTGAGCAACCACCCACAGCGGCGGACTAAACTCATATTTATCCCGAGTCTTTATTTCATTTTCATTTCTCTCTGCGTTTTGTGTCTGATTAGGAACGGGTCAGTTGTTCCCTCATTGTGCATTCCCGGATCGTTCGGGCGTCTCTACTGAAAATACCATTTTTATCCCTTTCCCGCTCCGCTCCCCATCTTTGTACCTTTTTTTCTTGTGTGTGTTTTCCCCCATTTTGTATTGTTGTGTACATACACACTCTGTATGCCTACTATACCTGCACGCAAATACTATCATTTGTGCCCAGTATTTACCACTCAACCGCTAAACTGTAAAGCCTGCATCGCTACCGCTACCGCTACCGCTATCAACATTGTCTCATCTAAAGCCTTCATTAGGCCATAATCAAGACCACGAGTATTGCTATGCTTTCAAGCTTGATTCTTAAATTCCCGTCTCCTTGATAACCCCCCCCCCCCACAGTCCCCACACTAAGTGATGTCATAAACTCTGGCTTGCCGCGACCCCTCAATTGGTGCCTGGTTCGAATATCCTCGATGCAGGGCAGAGAGTCGTCACATCATACTAGTTCTAAACATTGGCATGATGCAGAGGTGTTGTAATTTCCGAGTCTAAGTCTGTTAAGAGGTGGAGCCAGTCAAAAATCGCTCTCGGTGAACCTGATGGTGGAACTGAAGTTTTTTCCAAGGTTGTTAGGCCAGTACCTGTTGGAAGTCCGATTGAAAGGTCAAGTTCAGTTTTAGTAGTATTACGCGTATAATAAAGAACTAAGTGATTTGGATTTTTTTTATTCATTTCCTCCTTTGTTTCTAGTATATATACATATTATATATATATAGAACAGAAGATTGTTTCCATAAGAATCCGGATGGTATGTACACAAGATAAAAATGCATCGTCGACGCTTGGTCGACAGTCAACCGCCAAAAAACGCGAAGAAAAGAAGAATTCGAGGCCAAGGGAGCAGAAAGAAAAAGGGAGGGAAATGGTGAAGAGGTGAAATGATCAAGAACCCAGCTCTCTCCGAGAACCAGAGCTGGAGAAATGTAAAACACAACCATCGTCAAGGTCATGAGGCGGGTATGTAGCGCAGCATCCCAAGTCGCTACGCCAACCAGCGCACCTATTAGGATAGCGAGGCTATCTAAGAAGACTCTAAATATGTATAGTGGAAGATGAGGGTGAATGTTTGTCCTGGTGCGCACTCGCAGGGATTGGAAAAGGTGAAGGTCATGGCCGAGGAATCCGAAGAGAGGGTGTAGAATGAAGGGTCATAGAGGATGATGGGTGGATGAATGGGTAGGTGTTCGGTCCTCGGTTAAATGACAGGCCTCCCGGGAGGATGGCAGACCGGCTCGCGGTCGTATCCCGTAGGTAGAATAGGTAGGTAGGAAGGGTAGGAAAGCGGATATGGCTGGTGCGCGCTTTACATGTCGCCCTCGAATAGCTCTTTTTTACGGTCAAAGTCGTCGTCGTCATCCGACTCTTCAGCCTGGTCGTTCATCCAGCCTCGAGACATCTCGACGGCCTTGGACCACTTCGAGTACATGCGTGTACTGGCCTTCGGAGAGATATGTGGGGTGAAGGTGGCGCGGTTTGCGCGATTCATATGCTTGAGATCGGAGAAATCTTTCCACACATCGATGGCGAAAGCTGCGGCGATAGCGGCGCCGAGGGCAGTGGTTTCGTGCATAGCGGGGCGCTCGACGGGGATTTGGATGATATCGGATTGGGTCTATGAGAGAAGGGGAGCCGTCAGTATTCGAAAAGCCAGTCACGCATGCAAAGAAAATGAGTTCTTCTTACCTGCATGCAAATGTCGGAATTACTCATGCCACCGTCCACGGCCAACTCTGTTAATTTCTTGCCACTGTCCATCTCCATGGCGTCCAGAATAGCCTTGGTCTGGAAGCAGGCGGCTTCCATTGTTGCACGGGCAATGTGACCACGCTGAGTGTGGTGGGTAATGCCCCCTATCGAATGGTCAGTTGGTCCCATTCAGACAAGGTCACACAGCAGTATCAATACTTACAAATAGTTCCTTGGGCATCATCAATCCAGTAAGGGGCGAAGAGACCACTGAATGCAGTGACAAAAATACAACCTCCGCTGTCCGGGACAGTCGCGGCCAGGTCGCTAACCTTACGGGAATCGCGGAAGAAACCCATGTTGTTCATTAAGAAAGATACACCACTTCCTGCCACGGCAACACTGCCTTCTAGGGCATACACGGGCTTGCGATCCCGGCCCAGCTGGAATCCAACCGTGCCGAGCAGGCCATGTTTGGAGATGACGGGCTTTTCGCCCACGTTGTAGAGAAGGAAACAACCGGTACCATATGTGTTCTTGGCGCTTCCTGGGGTGAAAGCGCAGTGGCCGACCAGGGCGGAGGCTTGATCACCCAGGCAGCTGGTGATGCGGGTTCCTTCCAGGGGACCCTCGTAGATTTCACCGAAGCCTTCCTTGTCGGCGGAGGGCATGATTTCGGGGAGGCGGATTTTCTTGGGATCAATATCGAAAAATTTCAGAAGGGTATCGTCATATTTGAGAGTTTCGAGGTTCATAAACATGGTCCGCGAGGCGTTGGTGACATCGGTGACATGGCGTTTATTCTGAGCACCGCCGTTCAAGTTATAGAGTAGCCACGAGTCGACCGTACCAAAGGCGGCGCGGCCATCGTCATAGGCTGACCGGACATCCGGGAGGTTGTCCAGCATCCAGCGTAAAGTTACGGAAGAGGGGTATGTGGAGAGGGGGAGACCGCACAGGTTGACCAGGTTCTCGGCCCCGGGTTTCTCCTTCAGTTCACGCACCAAGTTCATGGTACGAGTATCGGTCCAAGTGATGGCGTTATGCAAGGGTTCACCAGTTTCCCAATCCCAGACCAGGACGGTCTCTCGCTGAGTGGTGAGACCGACGGCTTCGACGTCGGATCGTGAATGGCCCAATGCTAGGAACGATTTCATCGCCTCTTCGATACAGATGAAAACCGACTCCACCAACTCGTAGGGATCTTGTTCGTGCCATCTGTCAAACAGCAAGAATATTGTTAATTGGGCTGTGCTAAGCAGTCATTTGCAGTGTGGCATGTTTGCTTGCTGGCCGAGCCAGAAGGAGGGGAGAGGGTTTGAGAGAGTGGGAGTGGGATTGGGGGGAGGAGGGGGAGGAGGGGGAGGAGGGGGAGGCAAAACCTACCCAGGATGTTCATGAATCTGGCGAAACTCGGTTTGATATTTGGCGATGGGCACCCCTGTGCAGTCGAAGATAATAAAGCGAGTACTGGTGGTACCCTGATCAATAGTACCGATGAAGCGTTCCTTCAGGTCATCTCCGCGTCGCTCTTCGTCCTGCAAGATGGCGCGTTCACCATCATCGTCCTCTTCGGGCGCTGTAACCACCTCGAATTGGCGACCGTCGATCTCATCAATGTCGTTCGCGGGCTTGGAGTCCCCATCCACACTGGACTCGTCAAACTCGAAGAAAGGGTTGCGCATTTTTTCTTCTGTGTGATGTGGTGGTGGTGGGTTGTGGTTGTGATGGTGGTGGATGGAGAGAGGGGGGGGGAAAGGCGGATGTGGGGGTGAAGAGAGAAGTTGAATAGATTACGCGGAGAGAGAGAGGCAGAAAGAGAGGGAGAGAGAGAGAGACAGAGAGAGAATGAATCTACAAGTGGCGGAGAGAGAGTACTTTCAAGTTGCCCCAAGTCCACAGGGCCAAGGCAGGGCAAGAGTGGAGCGCGTTGACGTACGAGGGGCGAAGGCAAAAAGAGAGAGCTCTCTCACTCATTTGGGTCTCTCCAGGTTGACCTACCTTTTTATCCAACAAAGTGGATCGACATTTGAACGCGAGTGGGGGGTCCCCCCAAATCCGGTTCGGGGGGGGGTTTTTTTTCTGATCAGAAGACCTCATCACTCCCCACTTGGCCGTGCATCATTTGTGGTGCATCATCCTTTTTTCTTTTCTTTTTCCCTTTTCCATTTCCATTGATCGGAATTCTTATCTGGTATGCTTAGGGTACTCCGTATACGGAGTACAGATATCTCAGATCCTGGATGTATACTATTATCTTGCGGAGTCCGGAGTACTCTACTACTGTAGTATGTAATCCCCCGCCTATAATTGCCCTCTCTTGCACGGAGTATATAGAAGTATCTCGGTATAACCACCACGGTATACTGCCAATGCCCCTAACCACTGGCAGCTAACTCACCAACTCCCACCAATGCGATTGTCCCCTTAATCAATTCTCTGGAAGTAGTGGATATCTATCAGCCCCGTCGATCGCACACATGACACGATCCATTTTTCCCCTGCGGTCCCTTTAGTTGGTTCTAGACCCCCCTTTTTTCCGATGGCTGTTTCTTTTCCTTCTATCGAACGAGCTAGTCCCCTCCGGGTCACTTTGCGCTACTCATCTGATTCATGGAGAATTCATGGAGAAATGCGGAACAATTGTTGGCTGAAGAGGCTGGAGACTGGGGACCGGAGAGAGGGGGGGGGGGCAACGAAACGAACTACCCGGTTACGAGTACCGTAGAATAAAAACCTTGGAATCAAAAGAAACCACTCTAGTCGCAGCCAAGAACAACCCTCGAAGCCTTCAAGTTCTTCTGCCCCTGCCACCCCCCTTCGAATCCACTTTGCGTCTCCATAAATCAATTTTTCTCCAAGACTGTGGAAGTCTGGGCAAGCATGCCCCGGCCCAGTCAACAGCCACACGGTGGCTCTATAGATAGATTCCAACCTGATCCCCAGGGTGGTGACGTCTTAACCTTAGTCCTGATGCATATAAGATGCAATTGAAACCTTCGATCCAACACTTTGGAAGGGCTAAAAAGAACCGGTTCTCCCACCAAGCCCAAGCCCAAGACTAAGACTAAGACCCTAAGCCCCCCCTCGCACCGCGGGGAAAAGGGAACCGTCGCCTGCCAGGGACGGGGACGTGCACTGGGAGCAGATCACGCGAGGAGTGGGCGACGATCCGACAGGAATCTGGCGCGTACGAATACAGAGTATAGCTGGGCCTCTATCGCAACCAAAGAATGAGGAGGGGCCCGTTATGCACCATTTTTAGCCAGTCAATGGGCCACCCTCTTTTTAAAGCCCTCGCTCTACCTTCCTTCCGTTGCCAGCCACACCCAAGGGTTGACACGCTAGATCCGCCCAGATCAACTAGATTGGGTTTCCATTTGCCCCCCCCTTCTCCTCTCTTCCCCCCCCTCTCTCTCCGTACTCTGGCTTCCCTTTGGTAATGCAGGTGACCCCGTGGATTCGGATTCGCGGAAGACGGGAGGATAACCTTGGTTTTAAGCTAAAGCCCGAGCCGATCAATGTAAACGTAAAAATTTACTAGCTTTAAAAAAAATTGAGAGATTAGCTGCTACTGTACGTCCAGGCACACTACAGTACACACGGCTCTTGGACCCGGGAGTCGGGGATCGTCGTTGGCAACCGGCTTCGGCCCTTGCAAACTTGAATGGGGACCCGATCGGTCACGGCAACCCGGTTTGCTTTTTTTGGTTCCCCCTCAGTTCAAGTTGATTTCTTTCAAGTCGGCGAACAAGTACATCTCGTATGCTTTTGGCGGCCCAATCCGGTTTAGCACCATTTGACCTCCAGGTCCATCCCAACTGCCGCACGTGGGTACACTGGTCAATCTGATCCATTGACTTTGCAGCTTTTTATAATTAGAACTTGTACTTGAACGTCATGGATGTCATGTCACGTCATGTCACGTCCACCCGGGCGGTCATTTCTCAGGAAAGACAAATGGAAACATATATTTTCGAAAGTCTTTTGGGGACACTCCAATTCAAACAAAGGAAATAAACAAGCTTTCAGCCCTAGTGCGTTCTGCGTATATTCTACATGAAATCACGGGGAATGTAACAATCGAGAGAGAACACGGGGGCTCCCACCAATCAGCCCCTCCCCTTCAACACAACTTCAAAACATGGTTTCGTCCGAATTTACTCCGAGTCCTCGATCTCGGCCTTGCGGCGGGCATCGGCCTCCTCCTTCTCCTTCTTCTGCAGGAAGAGCAGGGCCTTGACCTTGTCCGAGATGGTGTGCTCGGTGTTGATGGTCGACTGGATCTGCTCACGGCCGATCAGGGTGGCGACGATGGAGGCACCGACAACGAAGGTCAGGACGAAACGGTACATGCCGTACCAGTGGGGAGCACGGCCAACGGCGGCAGCGCGGGCGTCGTTGTAGTACAGGAAGGTGAAGGCAAGGAACTGGGTGATCAGGGCGTACTCAGTGGGGAACAGCAGAGTAGGCCAGGCCACGGCAGGAGCGATCACACCGGCGGCGTAACGGCGATAGCCGAACTTGCCGCCGTAGCCAGCCCACTCAAGACCCCAGTGGATGGCACCAAGGAAGGAGAGGATCTATAAGAGAGTTTAGCGAGTGGAGATCTCCAAATTTGATGCTGACGTCAATATATCTACTTACAACGGCACCGTAGGTGACCTGGAGGGGCTCGAGCATGTGCAGGAGCAGCTCAGCGCTCTGACCGGAGAAGAGCAGACCATCGCCAAGGGAAGCGGCGCGGTTGATCTCATAGGAGAGGTAGACAGTCTCCAGAGAGGTGGCCAGGTAGGGGATGACACCGGCCATGCCGAGGTAGAGAGCCTCCTTGGGAACCTCAGCCAGGCTGAAAGTGTCCTTGATGACTTTCTACAATGTGAATTCCTAGGTCAGTCTCTGCTCCAAGGCAATTGATTGAAGAAATGAACGCATGAGGATAACGTACAGCCTCGGACTTCATACCGGCCATCATGTCGACATCATCGTCATCCTATATCGAGGGTTAGCCAATTGATCAGTGGTATGCCGCACGGGGTCGCGCGGGAATCTGGAAGCATCTCCTACCTTGCTGGAAGAGGAGGCGTGGCGAACAAGGGCGGTGGTGACGGGCTTGTGAGCAGCGAGCGCGAAGTTGGACTTGACGGACGGGCGGACCGCATAGCGGGCGGACGAGGTCAGCTGGGCCTTGAAGACCGGGTTGACCAGGGTCGAGCGAGCCACGGAGGCATTGGAGCTCGAGATAGCCCGGAGCATAGAGCGGGCGGCGGTGGTACGGTACAGCATGGCGGGGATGGAGGAAGAAAGAAGCTTTTCGTGTGCAGTCGGGTTAGCAAGCCGCGCGGGAACGAAAAGCCTCTGGGTATGACTAGATAGGCTAGTCAACTCACCCAATTGGCCTAAAATGAAGCTGAAGAGGAGGGTGAAGAGTGGAGATGAGGGTGTTAACCCAGAAAGAGACTCAAGATCGAAGTCGGGGAGGCCGTAGGTTTCCGAGACGGGGGAGCAAATAGGAATATCCAGAATGAAGTGACTTGGTGAGGTGCCGGCATTCCGGTGGGCCACAGGGACCTGAATGGCAGTTTCCCGTTGGCGGCAACTTGACACCTGAGGCAGTCACACTGGGGATTCCCCCCAGATCCCGTGATATACACGTGACTGTAGAAGTTCAGTGCAGTTCCAAGCTGCACGGGACTGATGTCACTCTGCGCGCACACCAGTAAACAAGCGTATACTCGGGTACAATACAGGAGGGGGGGGGGCAGACGGAGGAGATTAATATGCCAATAAATCAATTGTTATGGTTTTCTTTGGTTTTCTAATGCTAATTCTCACTGCGAATATAATAAGGTCTTTATTTTCTGTAAATGTTTGTATTCTTTATGGTAGCTACTGTGGTTAGAGTTGGTATACACTCCAGGTTCATTCTTGGCAGTCACGGGAGTGCTTTCCTCCCGCCCCTCGTACTGTAGCTTTACCCCCCCCGTACACGCCGCCTTAGCGTAACAGATAACCAAGTGGACGGCCCTTCTTGATCCACGCAATCAGGGCCATTGGCTTGGCTTCCATACCCAACATTTACTTGCGATCCTTAGTTTGCTTCCTCAACACCCTTACGTCATTCTCACCCTACCCTCACACATCCTGGACCCTGGCTCTTTCGCTCAGCTTGAAGGTGGTTTCTCCGCCTCGGTATCGCGTGCGGCCTACCCTGTTTGGATGGCTTAAATTACTTCGATTCGATCAGAAAGAAGACCTGGGGTATTGTGAGAGCTTGCCTTGTCCCCTTCAACTAGCCTCATTGAATCAGATCACTAACAGACCTATCACTCAAGAGCTAAGATCGCCTTTCATTGATCTCGACCCACCTTATTTAACGACATCATTCCCGGCCATCGAGCCCAACCACCTGGCCCGGTCGACGGCCCCATCTAGCTATCATGTTGGAAGGTGTAGTTGCAAACCTGCTCAACCGCTTTCTGGGGATGTACGTGAAGAACTTCGACGCGACACAGCTTAACATTGGAATCTGGTCGGGCGATGTCAAACTACGGAACCTGGAACTGCGCCGGGAAGCGCTGGATCAACTGCGCTTACCCTTGAACGTCGTGGAGGGTCACCTCGGACAACTCACATTATCCATTCCATGGTCAAATCTGCGGGGTAAACCTGTCAAGGTCGACATCGAAGATGTCTTCCTGCTCGCAGCCCCAAAGGAGGATGCAGAATACGATGCTTCGGAAGAAGACAAGCGGGCGCATGCCCTGAAGATGGAACGGATCGAAAGCGCTGAAATTCTCCGCGACCGCAATGCCGAGGGTATGAGCCAAGAGGAGCAAAGACGAAACCAAAGCTTTACCCAAAGTATGGTGACGGCAGTCGTCGACAACCTGCAGATCTCGATTAAGAACGTCCATTTTAGATACGAGGATTCTATCGCCTCTCCTGGCCATCCGTTTGCTGTGGGATTGACTTTGAAGGAATTGAGTGCTGTCAGCACTGACTCCGAGTGGAACCCTACCTTTATCCAATCCACCTCCGATACAACACACAAGCTAGCCGTGCTCGGTGCCTTATCAGTATACTGGAATACGGATGCAACCCTGTTGGGAACTGGTAGAGGTTCCGATATTGGTGCTGAAGCTCAAGGAATCAGCCATGACGACCTGATGACAAAATTGCGTGACGCCATCGACAATGGCGACGGAAATCAATTCATGCTTCGTCCCGTTAGCGGTCGAGCTGGACTGGAGATGGACAAGTCCGGGAAATATGACCGTCCTGCCATGAAAGCACGATTGCTATTTGATGAGTTGGGCTTTGTTCTGGACGACAACCAGTACCGCGATGCCTTGATGCTGGTAGACCTCTTCCATTACTTTATCCGCCATCAGGAGTATAAACGATTCCAACCCAAGTGCACGGTCAAGGAAGATCCTCGAGCCTGGATGAAGTTTGCTGGAGATGCAGTTCTCAGTAAGATTCATGACCGCAATCGGCGATGGACTTGGGACTACGTGAAAGAGCGCAGAGATGATCGTATCGCGTACATCAAACTCTTCAAGAAGAAGAAAAGAGAAGAGACATTCACTCCAGAAGAAACAGAAGAGCTCGAGAAGCTAGAATGGAAGCATAACTATGAGGATATTCGATTCTGGCGATCGCTGGCTCGTAATCAGCTTCGCAAAGAGAATGTCGGCATCAAGAAGCCTGCCCAACAGCAGAGCTGGGGCGAGTGGATCTGGGGCAGTAAGAAAGAGGAGTCTGAGGAGACTGCCATGACCGACGAACAACGACAGGAGCTATATAATGCCATTGATTGGGACGAGAAGAAGGCCCTATCCGAAAGTGTCGATGTTCCCAGGAATGGGCCAAGCTGCAAATAAATTGGAGTCTTCGTGCTGGTAGCTTTACATTAAAGCAAGATCCGCATGGCGCTGCGAATGAGGTTATGAAACTTGTTTTCGACAATTTCCGCGCGAAGGCTCTTCAGCGACCGGACTCTTATCTGCTTGATCTTGATCTTGGTGGATTGAAGATGTATGATGGCACCACTGCCGGGACTCTTTATCCGCAGATAGTCAAGGTCAAGGACTCCATTCCCGAACCGAAAAAGGCCTTGGAGCAGGGTAACGACGACGACGATGATGACGATCTTGCCTCCCAAGCCAGCGCAGATGACCTGGAAGATGAAGACAGCCTGTTCCATTTGCAACTGGAGAAAAATCCCCTCGAAAGTGACGCAGACTCAGCGGTCAAGGTTAAGCTGAAGAGTATTGAGGTCATCTACAACCCGCGATTCCTCGTGGGAATTGTTAAATTCTTTGAACCACCCGAGCGCCACATGGAGTCAATTGGAGCGCTGCTGGACACTGCTGGAGCTACAGTTGAAGGTCTGCGGCAGCAAACTCGAGCAGGTTTGGAGTTTGCACTGCAAGAACACAAAAAGGTTGATGCACAATTCGATGTGCACGCGCCTTTGATCATCGTGCCCGAGAGTATCACACAGGAAAGCTCGCTGTGTCTCATCATAGACGCTGGTCATGCAAGTGTCAACAGCGAACTCGTCGACCGACAGGCTATCCGAGAACTTCAATCCAAACAGAAAAAGCAATACGAAGAGGAAGATTATAAGCAACTTGAACACTTGCTATACGATCGCTTCCTTATCAAACTGGATTCCACTCAAGTACTGATCGGTCCTGGTGTGGAAGCAACAAAAGCACAGCTTACCTCCGCCGTCGAGTCCAAAAATTTCCACATTATTGATCGAATCAATGTCGACTTTGTTCTCGAAATGTGCATTGTTCCAAAGGTTACGCAACTCACCCGGACGCGCATCTCCGGAAACCTGCCGGAGCTGCATGCTTCCATGTCTGACACCAAATACAAGGGGCTGATGAAGTTGATCGATATCGCGATTCCGCAATTTGACAACGCCAGCAGCTCTTCAGGTCCGGCAGAAGCGAAAGCTAAGGAGGAAGCGGCAATCGCTACTCGGGCTAGAGCAGCTTCATTCCTACCCCCGGCGCAACGAGATCTGCCTGTTGTCGATGATGAGGATGAACATGAAGGTGACGCAGAGCATCACAAGAAGAGCCTTGATACCCAGAATAATATTCATCGCCGGGATTTTGAGTTCAAGTTCAACGTCGGTCGTCTTCGTGGCTCGCTATTCCGGGCAGACTCGCAAGATCCACTTAAAGACAAATTGCTGGTGGAACTGGTTGCTGAGGGCTTCGAGCTTGACTTCTACATGCGTCCCTATGATATGGTAGCCGAGGTCATTCTCAAGTCCCTGAGTGTTGATGATTACATCGAAGAAAACCCACTACCAGAGTTCAAGCGGATCATTTCATCCAAGGGATTCAATGCAGATGAAGATAAAGATCTTTTCCATTTGAAGATGGTCCGTGTGAAACCCGAATCCCCAGAATTTGAGTCAACCTACGAAGGAGTCGCCATGAACCTCGATATCTCCGTCTCGACCATCAACCTTGTGGTGACGAGAAAAACGCTGCTTACTCTTCTGGACTTCATTCTTCTTACTTTCACGAGTCCTGAACAGCCAACCGATCAGGATTCACAATCAGGGAAAGTCTTGCAGGAAGCACAAAATGAGCAGGAGACACCACAGCAGGCCGGGAAGATTCGTATCAAGTCTAACTTGAAGAGTATTGCTCTTATTCTCAACAATGACGGCGTTCGCCTGGCAACCTTGAGTCTCAATACCGCTGATGTCGGAATCTTCCTTGTTGGTCATGCTATGACCATACAGTCCCGCATTGGCAGCTTGACTTTGGTCGATGACGTTAACCTGGGTGCTTCAGAAGATTCGGATGTCCGACGTCTCTTGACGATTGAGGGTGACAATTTCGCTGATTTCAAATATGAGACGTTTGACCCTGAGAGCGATACTTACCCAGGCTACGACTCCGAGGTCTATCTGCGGTCAGGCTCAATCAAGATCAATTTCCTGGAAGAGCCATATCGAAAAATTATCAATTTCCTCGTCAAGTTTGGTAAAATGCAGGCAATTTTCAACGCTGCTCGACAGGCTGCTGCGAACCAAGCGAATCAGCTCCAGGAGAATGCTTCACGGATGCGTCTAGATATCGTCATCAAAACTCCCATTGTTGTTTTCCCCAGAGTGATGACTGACGACCGACCGCGGGACACCATCACTGCGCACCTTGGTGAGATTTACGCCAAGAATGAGTTTGTTCCAATGGACGAGTCCAAAGATAGCCCGGCCGTTAACGTCATCTCCACCGGCGTTCGCAACATTCGCCTCACGTCCAAGTTCCATTTCACAGATGGTGTTGTTGAAGAATTAGATATGATTCAGAAGGTCAACCTAGAATTCAGCATATGCTATTTGGAACATCAAACCAACAATCCTCGCCCAGATATGGAGATCGAAGGTTCCCTGTCTCCAATCAATCTTCGTATATCGCAGAGTCAACTCAAGTTTCTGCTTGCCCTTTCGAAGTCGATACCTGGCGCCTTCGCCACCGATGCTGAGCAACAAGAGCTTGAGGCTATGGAATCTCTGCCTTCATCTGTCACTGAGCCCACAAGAGAAGCGACTTCCAAGGCAGTACAAGCGCAAAAAGACCAAGAGACGGACCCAGCAACTGGCAGCGAGACCAAGGAGAATTGGGTACGCCTTGACATGATTTTCAAGGTCGATAGTGTTGGGTTGGAGCTCATCCTAGCCAATGACAACCAACCTGCGGGCCACTTGGAGGATTCTAGTCTGTCCAAATTCTCTCTCAATGACACGAGAGTTAAGCTTCGCATGTTGACCGATGGGTCCATGGAGTCAGAACTCTTGATTCATTCGTTCTCAATTCGCGATAGCCGGAAGCAGGACACGAATAAGTTCAGGAACATCATGTCCTTGATCAACAATGATGTGCAGCAACAATTCATGGCTAGCGTTTCCATGTCTCCTGGACCAGACAAGCATCTCATTGCGATGTTGACTATCGACAGTCCTCGAATCATGTTCGCTTTAGACTATCTGTCTGCCTTGCAGTCTTTCAGCAATTCTGCGTTTACTTCAGACGAGGTCGTGGAAGTCATTGAGGAGGATGCTGAGTCTCCCGAAGAATCAGAGCTTGGCTCCGACGATGCTACATCCCCTGAGGGAACCGAAACTGAAGTATCTGCGGGCGATTCCTCTACTGGAACGACAACGGTTTCATTCCGAGTCAATTTGGTTGATGCTCAGGTTATCATGGTAGCCAATCCGGCGATCCCCCACTCTGAAGCTATTGTCCTCGGCACCAAGGAGATCCTTATCTCTCATCAGAATGTGTCGACTCTGCAGATCGAAAAGGTTGGCATGTTCCTGTGCCGCATGGATAAGTTTGAGACTAGCCGCCTTCGGATTTTAGATGATTTCACCGTTGAAGTGTCTGTTGACAGTCGTCCACAAGATAAGGGGTCTGCGCTCACCTCGATCGAGGCGCATATTGAGCCTCTGGTTCTTCGGCTGTCTTTGCGTGATATCCTAATGGCCACCCAGATCGTCAACAAGGCATCTGAGATGAGAGCTGGAAATTCCCAGCCCCTTGAGAGCGGAGAAGCAAAGAAGATTTCAGATGCCAAAAGCACACGAGCAAGATCTGGGAGCAAGACATCTTCGACTCTGGCCCACAGAACTCGTCGTCGTGTCAGTCAGACAGTTGAGACGCCACACAAGCATATCGAACCTCAAAGCTCAGCTGTCCTGAAACGCGAGGAGCTATCTGCAAAGATTGATGGCCTCAGAGTTATTCTTATCGGTGACTTGCATGACTTGCCATTACTGGATTGGAGCGTAAAGAAATTCAACGTGGACGTCCGTGACTGGTCTTCCACCTTGAATGTTGATACGCACTTCGAGACTTTCCTCAATGTTTACAATTTCTCGAAATCCGCTTGGGAGCCTTTGATCGAGCCGTGGCAGCTGGGATTCCACATGGCCAAAGAAACGAATCCCGATGTTTTCTCCATTGATGCTTACTCCCATAAGACCATGGAGCTGACAATGACGTCGGCCACGATTGCACTGGCCTCCAAATCCTTCCAGTTCCTCAATACAGATGAGGATGTGCTTTCTAAGCCAAGAGGCGCCGATGCCCCTTACAGAATTCGCAACTACACTGGCTTTGATCTTCGAGTGTGGGCCGATGTTAGCGCAGGCGAGGAAGGCCCGGCCGCCAAACTAAGCGACGGCGAGGAATACCCTTGGCGATTCGAAGACTCCACTGCCATTCGAGAAACCCTTACCCCTGAAGGCCATGGTGGAATTGTTGGTGTCAAGCTTGAGGGTAGCGGATTTGACAGTGTCAACCGCATTCCCGTAGTTCGAGAAGGCGAGGTTATCTACGGTCTCAAGCCCAAACGGGATAACATTCTTCACCGACTCTTGGTGGAGGTCACGCTTGGAGCAGACAATGTCAAGTACATCACCTTCCGCTCGCCCCTCCTGGTGGAGAACAACACCCAGATCCCTGTGGAGCTGGGCGTCTTCAACCCAAGCGATGGCCATCTATTGAAAATCGAGAAAATCCTGCCTGGCGATGCGCGACCTGCGCCTGTTGGATCAGCTTATCTTCATTCTGTTGTAATTCGACCTGACCAGGGTTTCGGTTACGATTGGTCACATGAGCAGCTCTTCTGGAAGGAACTTCTTCGTCGGCCTACTCGGACCGTCAAGTGCGTTAGCGAAGGGGGTCAGCAATCTCCGCCATTCTATTTCCAAGTCAATGCCACCTTCGACAACAAAGACTCTCTTACGAGCTCATATCCCTACATGAGAATTCGAATCTTTGCTCCGGTGGAGATTCAGAATCTTTTGCCCTATGACTTCAAGTATCGCATCTATGACAAGAACACCAAAAAGGACTGGACGAACTTCTTGAGGAAGGGCGGCGTGAGCCCTGTGCATGTGGTGGAACTGTCCCACCTCCTCTTGCTTAGCATCGATCTAGAGGACACAGTCTTCCGACAAAGCGAGTTTGCTATTGTCAACGGCAATGCCCAGGATTATCGCAGAGAGCACACCCTATCATTAACAGATGAGCATGGCCTCCAGCTGAAGTTGAAGCTTCATTATTTCAACATTCCTGACAGCGGGGGCGCTTTCAAGGTGTCTGTCTACAGCCCATACCTCATCTTGAACAAGACTGGACTTCCCATGGATATCCAGAGCAAGGCCTTCCTGCAGTCTGCGCGCAGTGCCGCAGGCCAAGGAATGAGAGTTGACCCAAGAGAGGGAGGCCGTGCCCTTCCTTACATGTACTCATATGGTGCCGATGACAAGAAAAACCGGTCCATTTTGAAGATTGGCGATTCGGCCTGGAGCAAGCCCCAAAGTTTCGAGGCTATCGGTAGCACCTTTGAGGCTGCTTTCCCCGACAAACAGGGAAGATCTGAGTTCCACTCCGGTGTGTCAGTCGTCGAGGGCGAGGGCAAGTACAAGATGACCAAGGTAGTTACGATCGCGCCAAGGTTCATTTTGAAGAGCAAGCTCAATGAGGATCTCCTTGTTCGCGAACCCGGTTCATCTAGCGTTCTCGAGATCAAGAGTGGCGAGCTGGTTCCACTTCACTTCCTTCGGCAATCAGCAGATAAGCAGCTTTGCCTCTGTTTCCCTGGTGTCAACAACCAATGGTCTTCTCCTTTCAACATCGCCGATGTTGGAACAGTTCATATCAAGCTGGCCAAGGCGAACCAACGACAGAAGCTGATCAAGGTCGATGTCATTCTCGAGAATGCCACTCTTTTCTTGCATTTTAGCTTCGAGACTCGCAACTGGCCATTCTCGATGCGTAACGAGAGTGACACGGAATTTATCTTCTACCAAGCCAACCCCAACGTGGAAGACGATGAGGAAGACCGATCCACTAGTTGGAAGCCTATCCGCTATCGCCTTCCTCCGCGAAGCGTTATGCCCTACGCGTGGGATTACCCCGCTACCAAGAACAAGTCGCTCACCCTCACCTGCCAAGGAAAAGAAAGACGCATTAAACTTGCTGAAATTGGCAACTTGATCCCAATGCGAATCCCACCCCGACAACCTGGCGAGTATCAGAGAATCATCGATATCAACATTGTTGCCGATGGACCCACGCAGTCTCTTGTTTTGTCCAACTTTAAGGCTTCTAAGAGTCTGTACAAGCAGCAGAAGAGTCACTCGTCACAGACAAGCATGAGCACTGGATTTGAAGTAAAAGAGATGAACTCGGATGTGAACTTCAAAGCTCAACTTCGCCTAGGTGGCATCGGTATCTCCTTGATCAACCAAAACTTGAAGGAGTTGCTTTACTTGACATTCCGCGAAATCGAAATCAAGTTCCGGGAGTCAAAGATCTACCAGACTCTCAACACAACCATCAAGTGGATCCAGATTGACAACCAATTGTACGGTGGTATCTTCCCTATCCTTTTATATCCTAGTGTGGTGCCCAAGACTGGGAAGGAAATGGAAGCCCACCCTATTTTCCATGCGATGATAACCAGAGTCAAGGACGACTCGTACGGTGTTTTGTACATCAAGTATGCCACTTTGCTTCTACAGCAGATGACACTTGAACTGGACGAGGACTTTGTTTTCGCTATGTTAGACTTCGCCAAGATTCCCGGTGCCTCGTGGTCAGAACCACAGGAGGGGGTGCTTTGTGATGGAGACCTAAACATCCCTGAGCCTCAACAGAATGACGCCGGCCAGGATGTTTACTTTGAACTGCTACACCTCCAGCCCATGCAGCTCGATATTTCATTCATGCGGACAGAACGCGTCAATGTCGAGGACACTATGCAACCATCGAATCCCCTGATGTTTGTTGTCAATGTCATGACAATGTCGATGGGCAACGTCAACGATGCACCGGTTCGCCTCAACGCTTTGATGCTTGAAAATGCTCGTGTCTCTTTTGGAAGATTGTTCGGCAACGTTCGCGCTCACTACACCCAAGAGTTCCTGCGTCAAGTCCATGTGATTCTCGGATCTGCTGACTTTATTGGAAACCCTGTTGGTCTGTTCAACAACATCAGTTCCGGTGTGGCTGATATCTTCTATGAGCCATACCAGGGTCTTGTCATGACCGACCGTCCGCAAGAGCTTGGCGTTGGAATCGCGAAGGGTGCCACAAGCTTCGTCAAGAAATCGGTCTTCGGATTCTCTGATAGTATGGCGAAGCTCACTGGAAGTATGTCCAAGGGCCTGACCGCTGCGACCCTAGACAAGGAATTCCAGGACCAACGCCGATTTTCCAAGTCTCGCAATCGTCCCAAGCATGCACTTTACGGAATCACGGCCGGTGGAAATGCATTTGCTACTAGTTTAGCGAGTGGCATTGGTGGCTTGGCACGTCATCCTCTACAGGGCGCCGAGAAGGAGGGAGTCGCAGGATTCTTCAAGGGTGTCGGAAAGGGTGTTATCGGCCTGGCTACTAAGCCCGCAATTGGTGCCTTTGACCTTGCTTCGAACCTAGCAGAGGGAGTCCGCAACACCACCACAGTCTTTGATGCCGAGGGCCTGGATCGTGTACGACTGACTCGCTTCATTGGTATAGATGGCATCGTCCGTCCCTATTCACAACGCGAGGCCCTTGGCCAATTTTGGCTCAAAACGACCGAGAACGGAAAGTTCTTCAATGAGGACTACATCGCCCATCTGGAGCTTCCCGGTCGTGAAATCATGGTGCTGTTGACATATGTCAGAATCATGCTCGTACGCACGAAGAAGCTCGATGCGGAATGGGACATCCGCCTCAAGGACATCCAGACCATTTCCAAGGAACGCACAGGAATGAGTATTACACTCAAGGGTGGTGCCAATGGACCCTTCATTCCTGTTCAGGATGAGAGCTCTCGAAACTGGCTTTACAGACAAATTGCCGTTGGTAAATACTAAATGCCCTGAGTTACCGTGACTTCCCAATGCTAACTAATTTTCCCAGCGGTGAACGCATTCAATGAAAGGTATAACCGGGGATAGACAGGCGCCTTGCCGATCTGTAACGATGTCATGAAAACGGGCTGCACTATCATTTGGGCCAAAGAGCACAAAGGAAGGAGAGTCACTCGCTTCACTTTATTCTCTCGGTTGTTTTGTTGGAAATTAGAATGTTCTCCTTCAATTCACGTATATAGTTCATTCTGCACATTTTGCTTCTATGTTCTTTTTTTGGGCCCGTCTCTATCCTACCTATTCGCACCATACGTATACAAAGCGAATATCAATATACTTTAGAGGGTTTATAAAATATTGTTAGTAGAAATACCCACCCAGGCAGTAGGAGTTGTAAGATTCTGATAAGCAGATTCATCTCTAGTCCTTAATCTCTTAATAGAATCATCCCCTAAATTAGTCGCAGGCTCGCCGCTGAGGGGATCCAGAAGGGTTCTGAGAAATACCGAGGACGTGAATCTTCTACAAGTAATCAGTTAGAATTGAGCTGTGTTACTCAACGAACTTGGACTGTACTGGTCGTTGGATGCTAAGTCGCCCGGTCATCAATAACTCATAAATCATCTCACTGAATTATTTCACATGAACTTGTGCCTATTACACCCGGGCATGTACTCGGTTCTGAGTGTGGGAATGCCAAGATACTGGCAGAACAAGATATAGTTATATACCAGACAATGTAGTAGTATTCATTCGACGAAAGTAATAGCTTGAGGAGTAGAAGAGGTGACAAGAGATAGATATAGGTGGATACCAAAGGTATAACTAGTTAGTTAACTATAGTAGTAGCACTACTATGACAACTACCTCATGTAGCCATAATTTTGTGATCAATATCATCAAAAGGCAGTTTGGCCGAGTGGTCTAAGGCGATTGACTAGAAATCAATTCTCTTCGGAGGCGGCGGTTCAAATCCGCCAGCTGTCGTTTTTTTGCTCTCGCCTTCTTTTTGAAGTTATGCTAGGAAAGGGGAATCACAACCATACACATACAGATATGTTTGTTCACTGTAACGACCCAGGGTTGCCTTTACGTGGATGGCATCTTGTTACAGCACTAGTATTTATAAGAATTGTATGCTTTCGAATGGCTTCTAATGTTATGTTAAAATCAGTATATGCTGATATCATAGCGGGGACAAGGGTCATAGGTTATGTCTCAGACATGCTTTGTTGCTGAGTATACAGGAGGATGCTCAGATACTCATAGATCAAGATACGATGAAACAGACCAGGCAGCGTATAGTAGCGGTTCAACGAAAGTAATGGCTTAAGGGAAGGAGCGAAGAAGATGAAGAAGAAGAAGGAACAAAAGCTAGGTACGGGCAGATGCCATCACAGCACCGATAAAAAATTCCAGTTCGCCTCCTTGAAAAAAAAAAAAAAAAAGGAAAAAAAAAAAAAAAAAGGCAGCGTCCTAAGGCTTTGGTTATTCATTATCGTATTCAATTGAACCGATATTCATCCGATTACCACCACCAATATTACCATTGCGGGTGCCATGGCCTTTGCCAGGCTTGGTCGAGTTGTTGGGTCGTCCCCTTTAGCATCTCTAAGTGCTTGAGCATCGATTGAGAGCTTGAAACCTCTAGGTCTGGGAGCAGAGGTTTTAGGTAATGAGACGGTTAAGCTTGAGCTTGAGTGAGAAGCTGGGAATGACCGTGCAGCAGGTTGGCTTGTACTTACTGCTTCCGACATAATGGCTGAGGTCTCTTAGGGGTATTTACTACGCACTGAAGGGTATTGGTCTAGGACTAGAGTCCCTGAGGGGTGACACGAAGCTGATTAAGATCCATATCGAAAGAGTTAAAAGTGATAAAATAAGGTCGACAGAACGACAGAGTAATAGGGCGAAAGATTAAGAAAGTGACGAGGTGACAAAGTGACAATATGGAAAAAGGGTTAGAAATGACCTCTATCGCCGCGGATGACGGATATAGCATTATTCGTGGATCTGCAGAGATTACGGGATCTCAGAGGTAAAACTAACAAAGCTTGGCTTATCGAGTTGTATCCGTTTCAGGGCGTGCCCATATAATACTCTGGGCTTCGAGTACAGGAAGCTATTATGATGTGAGGATACTTAGATACTCACAGATCAAGATATACGTAGATACCAGGCAGTGTAGTAGTAGCGGTTTGACAGAAGTAATAGCTTGAGGAGAAGAAGAAGAGACGAAGGCTAAATACAGATGTAGGCTGTGGATGCCTCCACGTAAAGCATCAACAATACAATAGTAACAGTTCTGGTTGGTTACACACTTCCCAGTTCATCCTGGATCTAACAGTCAATGTGACGAGCCTATATTATTACAGCCTGGTTGCCTTATCATTAACCCTCTGTGCCAATTTCCTGCCTTCTTCTTCTTCTATCACTCTCTTGGCCCATTACTTTTGCCATCTGTTACTACATGTTACTTGATCTTCCTATTCGATGTATTTTGATCTTCGCGTACCTGGGCTCTTCACAGTCAGAGACGAACTGTATTATAATTGCATCTTAATGTTGGGGAAGGGTGTTGCTGTGGTATCTCAGTACTTTCTTAGGATCGAATAAACCAAGGACGGTTATGGGCAATTTGATATCCGATGACAAGGACTTACTTCTTTTCGTAATGACATTAAGACTTCCCAGCCCGAATCAGAATCACTGCATTATAACAGCCCTCCCCGGTCATGGCCATGATACTTTATTAGTAACCGACCGGGCGTACACTCTAGCATTTGCTTCATCGAGTGTTTCCCTAGCGACCGCTCTCTTTTTTTTGTCTGGCCTCTATAAATTAGAGCAAACTATATCATATATCTACTAGTAGTGGAACGTTCGAGTCAGTATTTCTTCAATGGTTCAAGATTCATATACAAGTGTGACGAAATGGTATTGTTTGCATTCGCGGATGCCTTGCGCCTGCGGCATCCCACTTGGGCATCCATGCCTACTTGTACCTAGGTATGTAGTTCCATCTTAGCTTCCTTCTCTCTCTCCAGGCTGTTGCTTTAATTAAAACCGCTACTACTTCCTCTACCTGATTCGCTACATAGTATATTGATCTCTGTGGGTATCTGAGCTTCCTCACAACTAGTACATGGCATATATATATATCAGGAGAAGTATTCTAGATCCTCCAAATTAGTGCATGATGGCTAACTTCAATATAATATACTACTAGTACTATAAGAGATTCAAAACTATAATAGAACTATGTTAATACATGCTACTAGTAGTATATATACACACTCTTTATAAAAAGTATTAGTAGCTACTATATCAAAAAGAGGAGGAGGAAAGCGGTAAGTAAATTGGTTACTTTTCTACTTCATGTCCAGGAGACATGCTTTTCTGCCATTTATATATGTTAAGGCAGTTTGGCCGAGTGGTCTAAGGCGATTGACTAGAAATCAATTCTCTTCGGAGGCGGCGGTTCAAATCCGCCAGCTGTCGTTTTTTGCTCTTTTTCTCTATTAAGCCACATCTTTTTAACTGTCAGTGAGGTGTCACTTGACTCTGAAGTATTTACAATAATAAGGCAGTTTGGCCGAGTGGTCTAAGGCGATTGACTAGAAATCAATTCTCTTCGGAGGCGGCGGTTCAAATCCGCCAGCTGTCGGTTTTTGCTCTTTTTCTCTATTAACCTAAGCTTTTGCTGTGCTACTAAGGTGTCACTTGGCTCTTAAGTCTTTACAATAATAAGGCAGTTTGGCCGAGTGGTCTAAGGCGATTGACTAGAAATCAATTCTCTTCGGAGGCGGCGGTTCAAATCCGCCAGCTGTCGTTTTTGCTTTTTTTTTTTTTTCGTTTTCTCAACACTTGACTTGGTCTAAATTATTTCAGTGATTGGATTGATCTAATGTGAATAAGCAGCATAATCCATTCCCTCCCAAAGCCAACATCTGCCTGTTCTTTTTCTTTTATTTAGGTTAGCCTAGTACAGAGTGGGAATATCTCGACAGCTTTGTATAGTTATCCAGCGACTCTAGGTATGGAGTTTCAATCAATTGACTCAGTGTGACTCGACAGTGGGACCCTGGTGAAGATGAGTCGGATTTACGGTTGCCGAGATCCCTGAAACTATGGCAACGTATTTCAACCTCGAGGAAGATACACCGTAATCTGGGATTGAGGAAATAATATTGCTTCGTTATCCAGTGAGAAGGCGAATTCTGCGAACTCCGATGCCAAGTTAAATACAGGAGGTCATCCTTTAGTAATCGGCGAGTCTGAATTTTCCAGTACGACTCGAGTCCAAATGAGCCTGACATAAAGCCACCGTAAAGGCTAGAGCCGCGACTGAATTACTACAAGACCACATATCCAGGAGCTCATCTCCCACATGCATGGCTCAACACCGTCATTCCTTCAACCACAACTTCCACGACTGATCTCGCTGGGCACGGACGTTTTGCCATCTTCACCGGAATTGGAGGGGGGAAGTGGAAGATATCTGCACCCGGGTAAGAACTATCCTCGGGTCGAATATCGCAGTCTCCTCGGTTGGGCACGGTCAGGACTATGAAGACCCTTACTTCGAATGGGAGGATTAATGAGAAATTAACATGCCCGGCGCTATTCTATTCCAACCAGACCGTTCCATAGCATGGGCCAGCAAAATGGTGGAGGCTGACTGTGAAGCCACGCTTTTAGCCGTACTTAGAAGAACTTTGTCACTCTAGAAGGAATCACCACCAGTGCCAAATTGCTTTTACATTTATACAATCCCATATTATTGAAGGCTTTAAATAATGAGCAATATGTTGGATTAGGTCTATTACATTCTAAATATCGAGCTCTTGAGCTGCTAGCCACTCTTGGAATTTCAGTAATGCCTGATAACGATGGGACAATCCATTCTAGGCCAAATTTAGTTTCAAGCATCATACCCGAATAGTTTGAAAAATCCCATACCTTTTTCTCGTGCGCCATTTCCGCAAGGGTTTCGCCCTTGTGCTCAAATATTGGCTCCCAGCCTGATGTGCATTAGTAGAATATTCGAATATGCTCATTGATGGAAAACGGTATTTACCAAACACGGGTGGCCCTCTTGCAGAAACGATTTGGCCCTTTTGTATGAATCATGAGTAACTGCAGCTGATATGAAATTTAGTTACGGCGATTTCGAACAAACCTCGAGCCTTCCTTGGAAGGTGATGGGGTCGATAGAAGGCCCTGGGGTAAATGCAAATGTGCACACAGCTTCTGCCGTTTTATCGGCATATGAATGCAACAGTTTATTGAGGCCATCATTTCCGAGGAGCTCGAGAAATTGCTTTCTGATTTTTAGAAGAAGTATCAGATAAGCAAATACCAGTGGTGTATATTCTAGTATTCGAGGCAAACGCTTCTTCTGTTCCAAGGTTGGTATACTCACATATAAGGACCCGGAAGCTTGTTCATAGCATTGAATTCCAACGCGGAATCCTCAACTATTACCGGTCCTTCTACCTGTAAATTAATCAGAATCAGAGATGATATCAACAGGAGTCTATAAGATGACTCTCTGACAATTTTGGCAGCGCGTCGACATTTGTCTATTGCGATTTCTTCCAACGTGCCTTGGATTTCTGGAAGGTCCAATGCACACGGCTCTATCGATATTTTCTCCCCCAAGATAGCATTTACCTCGATAACCTTGTTGGGGTTACCGGTCACGAACGTACACGTCTTCATGGTGGATAAGGTCTGATGTGTACATTGCTCACCACAACGGAGAGAGGAAAGCCTTTGTGAGGGAGGGGAACACTAAACCGCATTAGGCCTAACCTAGTTTTACTAGTAGTTGACGCAGTGAATATCTCCAGGTCTACGACCTGCGATTGTCTGAATAGATGGTGAATTTTTGATATTCTGTTTAATACTAGAGTTCAAATGATATTATCTGCTGGACGTTTGACAGAATATGCTAAGTTTTCATGTTCCTATCCACGTCGCAATGAGCCCATAGTTTGGGCATGGATAAGTTGGCCGAGTGACTTCGAAGGCTAAAGGACCTCTAACAAGCACCGTATGTTTACCCCAGATTTTCAAGTTCATATCCGGTGTCTGACCCGGGTGGTAAAATTTGCGGGCTTTGAGTGGACGAGAGAGAGCTTGCCGGGTATCCGTCGGTTAACTGGCGCTCGCTTGTTGTTTTCGGCATATCTTGATCGATTATTAATACCGCATGTCCAAGTTGCATTTTAGCCATCATCGATTTTTATTCTTCTTAGAGTTTAATTCGCTGTATCTTTTCTACAGTAGATATTTTTGCCTCAGAGCCTCGCTAAAAAAAGAATTAGTGCCCTCATACCTAACTTAGTGAGTCACCCATGAACTTGACACCCCTTCTGAATTACAACTTGACGTCACGCGCAATCCAAATATCGCAAAAACTAAGACAAGCACCGATTGTTCAAACTACTGAACTTACTAATTTTATGATTCTTTCTCCAGGAATCATCATAAATCTCGCACACTTAGTATGTCGGATTCGCAAATGGAATATGTTCGGTACGAGCCCCGCACCTGGAGCAACTTGAAACGTCACAGCAATATCTGGTTACTTATACTGACAATTAATGGGATAAAGCCTGGGAAACTCGGGCCTAAAGATCTCCAAGATCATTCTAGGTACCATGTCATATGGCAGCAGACAATGGCAAGACTGGGTCCTGGACGAAGAGGAAGCCTTGCCCCTCATTGAGCATGCCTACAAGAAGGGAATCAACACGTGGGATACTGTAAGTGAACTGCCATTTTGGCCTGCAAATTCGTAAATTCCACCCATTGAAAATCGTGCTCATTTGTGATAGGCGGATGTCTATGCGCATGGCCGATCTGAGGAGATCGTCGGCAAAGCCCTGACGAAGTACAACATCCCGCGTAATCGCGTCGTGATCTTGACAAAGTGTTTCTACGGTGTTGACGACGAGGGCAAATTCCCATCTATCGCTGCCACAGCACGTAATGGCGGCGACTTTGTCAATCGCGTTGGTCTGTCGCGCAAGCATATCTTCGATGCTGTAGACGCCAGTGTCAAGCGCCTGGGAACCTACATTGATGTACTGCAGATCCACCGCCTGGATCGTGAGACCCCTCGCGAGGAGATCATGAAGGCATTGAATGACGTGGTTGAGAGTGGAAAGGTGCGATACATTGGTGCCAGTTCAGTAAGTAATCAGTCTGCAAGGCGACACTTGTACACCCGGGAATTTCTTTTTCATGGCAAATGGTGCACCATACTTATGATGATCCACAGATGGCCGCTTGGGAATTCCAAACCCTTCAGAACATCGCCGCCCGCAAAGGCTGGCACCAGTTCATCTCGATGCAAAACTACCATAACCTCATTGCCCGCGAAGAAGAGCGTGAGATGATCCCCTACTGTCTCGACAGTGGGGTGGGACTCATCCCATGGTCTCCCATGGCTCGCGGTGTTCTCACCCGACCTTGGGGCTCCCGCTCGAGTGTTCGTGAGAACACCGATGGCGCATTGAAAATGCTTATTCGAAGCCGCGAGACTGAATCAGACAAGGCGATCGTTGATCGCGTGGAGAAGCTGGCGGGTAAGAAGGGAGTGAGCATGGCACAGATCTCTCTGGCTTGGTCTTTGAGTCACCAGAGTGAGAACCCTATTGTCGGACTGAGCAGCATCGAGCGAATTGATGAGGCCGTGGCCAGTCTGGAGGTTAAGCTTACCCCAGGGATATCCAGTATTTAGAGGAGCCCTATGTGGCCAAGGCTGTTGCTCCTCTGGAGCGATAAAATGAATGATAGATCGCATCCATGGTGATAGATGTGGACATGGACATACATAGAGGTTATTCCAATACCTAGGTATTTCGCAACAATTCTGAGTCCAAATCGGGTTACACATTTTATCCTAGGTTAAATCTGTAGTAATTAAGCGTGGCTCTGATAGTATCTCCCCCAAACGAGGTTTCATCTATGGATGAGGGCTGCATCCAGCAATGTAAGTCAAATTTACACTGGCCTACACTATGTAGAAAGTAAAGTCCATAGGCTCGCGATCGACTATTTCTATCCACGTCATGATAAGGAGTTGAATTTGAATTCAAAGGGCCTTTATTCTCCCATCGGTCATACAACTCATACGTTCTATACGTCGATGCGGAAATTAAGGCCGGAATATTCCGGAAATGTTCACTCAGCCTTGTATGACGATAGATGGCCGAATCGATCTCACGATAGCATGCAAGTTTTAAAATGACCTTTTTTCATCAGCATGGATTCCTAGTCTAGATCTAAACAGGCTTAACAGAAGAGAATTGTTCCAAGTTTGTAAAATCTGACGGTTCAGAGAGACTCTTCTCAGCTACGTTGGGTCGGGGATCTGTTGGCACCAACATTCGCCTGGAATGTCGATGATTGTATCCAAGACTCCTCCTTGCAGTCTATACAATGATGAGCTGAAATTTGAATCGACCATCGTATTCTGCCTGAAAGCATAAAGCCATTACTTCTCTGGGCTCCGAGACCTCGTCATCATTGTCTTACCTTGGTCCTTCCTTTTCTATTAGCCCCAGTCATGTCCTTTGCCGGATTCCTCTATACGTAGCTAGTCTAGCCAATCCCACGTTTAATCATGCGCTCCTTTAATATTGTCTCGAGCTTGATGCTCACAGCCTCAGCCGTCGCCGTCGTTCCTACTGCGACCTACACTAGCGATTCCTCTTCGAAAGATGTACAGCTCCGTATTGGTAACGGCGGTGCTGGACAAAGTGGTCTTATCGAGGGTAAGGTAGCAGAGAATTAAAAAAAAAATCCATTGCACCCCAAAAATCCTAATTCTAAGCTTTATCAATACAGCCCTTGCCAATGCTTTCATCAACTCCAGCGTGAAGAACGGCTCCAACCCCTTCGCCATCGAATGGTACAAGAGTGACACCACCGAGTCGATAAACTATCTAAAAGACAATACCGTCGATATCGGCATCACCTACAGTCCCGCAGCAGAGCAGATCGCCATCAAGAAGGGAATTGCCAAGGACCCAGCCTGGTACACCTGGCGCGATCACTTCCTCCTAGTGGGCCCCAAGTCGAACCCAGCCAAGATCTCGCACAACCAAGACATCAAGAGCCAGTTCTCAGACATATACACCGCTGCTGAGAACGGTACCAGCGACCCCCCCTGTACGCTTCCTGACTCGCTACGACAAGTCCGCCACTAACATCAAGGACTCCTCGTTGTGGCTTTCTATCGGTCAGGTCCCCTGGGCCATGAAATACTCCCCCTGGTACCACCAGTGTATTGCTTATCCGATCCAGGCCCTGAATGCTGCCATAAAGCTGGAGGAGTATACCATCACCGACCGCGGCACGTTCCTCTCAATTGAACAGGATGTCGCGAGTAAGGCTGTTATCTTCAAGGCTTCTACTGATGAGCCTTCTGACCCGCTTCTCAACCCTGCTCATATCCTTGTCGGCAAGAATGCCGAGTACGAGAAGATGGCTGATAAGTTCGCTCAGTGGGCTATCGGCTCTGAGGGCCAGAAGGTTATCACTGGATTTAACAAGAATGGCCAGCAGCTGTACACCGGTGCGCCTGCTAACCGGACGGCGCAGTTCTAAAGTGGCGGTCTAACTTGGATGTGCTGTTGGCGGTGGCTGAGTGCTGTTTTGACCAACTGCAGGAAATATGAATGAGTGTAGGTGATGAAGCAACTTCTTTTGTAAACCAGCAAGATATTATTTAATGAATGTTGGTCATGACAATGTTGATTGGTATTTATTCGTAAATAATTTTCTGAGCTGGGCATCTTTGTGTCATAGCCGAAGCTAAACTAGGCCGGAGCCGAGTTTTAGTGATAGGTAGAAAAAGAAAAGGTGCATACAGGAAGATAGCAATGGTATGCAACGATAAAATGGTTGACCCGCTTGTACTGTACCGCAGTACCAGAAATGCTCTTCTGAAGGTGGGACCCATGGAAGTCACATTCGAAGGGGAATGGACAAGACCAGGCTAGAAAGAAAAGAGGTAGTGAGACTCCGTACCGGACGAGTCATATACCAGAGCAACGCCTATCCCAGATGCAATTGGGCACCGAGATAATGCTAGATAGAAATTACAGACAGATCGCTGACAAGATGCAGATGCAGGGGTATAAGTATTTGAAAAGAGAGGAGACTTGGCAAAGGGGAAGAGGGGGATGCGAGGTGAGGGTATCAATGGACCGTTCCTTTTCGGTGAAACACCGTAAAGAGAGAACTGAATCGGTGGCGTCGTTTGGTCTTTGCGGGATCGATGTCCTTGCCATGATCCTGCCATGAGGCGGGGTATGCTGCTGGGTGACGATCGAGAGTAGCCCGGTCAGGTTGAAGAGGTGGCTTGGAATTTTCGTTGGTGCCCCGAGGGTTGGATTTGGTCTGGGACCGGTCGGGACGTTGGATAGTATCATCGGGGTCGAAGGAACTCTGGCGCAAGGACGCGGGGCGAGAGACGACGACTTCACGACCGTTCTCGCCCGTGGCAGTGAACATACTATGTCGGTTGAGTCGGGTTGTGATCCCCGAGGCGGTCCGTTGCTTAGCTCTTTCCATGAACGCCGCACCAGTTGAATTTGAGCGCTTGTTTAGACTGCCGAAGGATTTATCCCCTTCCGCCGGAGCTGTGGTGATTGGCCGGCGGAAACTGGATACGGACATACAACGTTTGCCGTTGCTGGTAACTTCCTTCATTGGGCTTAAGTCATCCTGCTCATTCGTATTTTTGTTTTCGTTCTTTGCGACAGCCGGCGAGCCATTTCGAGATGAGGTTGGGGAGACAATTGGTTTGCCGTTGGAGCTAGACAAAGGGTCGCGGTAGCTGAAGTTGGGGGACCAGCCTTCCCGGAAGGCAACCCATATGCTTGTCGTGATAATCAGTGTGCGCAGGCCATCGTCGAGAGTGACGACGTCGTTGGGTTCGATAGGGGCCTCAGCGTCAGAGAGGTCACTGATGACGGACATCGCGGAAGTGGGGGTCGTCGGGCCAGTATTCGATCGAGCTACCGCAGAGTATTCATCGAAGATCTCTAACTGATTGCGGGTCATAGAGGCGATGACAGGGTGTCGACGAGTCTGGGGGTCGATGACGCTAAAGGTGAACCGCTTACCCTCTTCGCGTGGCTGAGTGACTGGGTGGACCGATGAAGATCGGCGACTTTTTCCAGCACGCAAGGCCCATCGCATCACTCGCAGACCGTTCTCCGTGCGCGCGACGAACTCATAAGAACCGCTCGGCAGCGGAGTTGCTTCCCAGATGGGGCCGAAGTTGAGGCATATTTCGGCCTTTCCTTTCAGGTGCGCATCCTCCTGGAGCATCTGACAGATGGTTGCTACCACTTCTCGGTGATCGTGATTTTCAGCCTCCGACTTTGGCGCCTTTTCTGGGATGATTGAGACAGTGCGTTCGTATAGTTCGCTCATGACTATAACCAGGTCATTCGGGCCCAGCCCATTTCGCCCACGGAACAAGGCGGGAAACTTGCCCGCGAGAAGGGAGTTATAGATCGTGGATGGTAGAATATCTAGGATGGGCAAAGGACGCGGTGTTTGGGACACCTGCTGGAGTTGAAGCAATAGCCTGGGGCGCAGTCTGAGTCGTTTGTGACGTGCATGTGAGGCTGGGTGGGCGAGCTGGTACGAGGTCTTTGGCCGCGTTGGCTTCCGATTCGTATACGAGCTGACACGAGGCTGGGCAAGAGTCGGTGGTGGCGTTGGGGTTTGAGAGGACTCGCCTTCACGAGGTGTCACCGCAACGGGACTCATGGCCGGAGCGGATGCAGATTCCGCGGGCTGGACAGGACCATCGATTTGTTTGGTGTTTGGGCTGTAGAGAGTTCCCAGAAATGGTAGAGCTGGGAGTAATAAGCCCGCGGCGTAGCAGGACGGAGAACTGGGAGCTGAAGGTGTATCAGGTTGAGGAGAGGTGGAATCGGTAGAATGGGCTGCTGCGGCATCCGCTGTGAGGCCAAGATTCAGCAGCATTCTTGGACTCGGCGGAGCCACATTGATGGGTCTTGTATTTTGACTTGGAGTATGTATAAAGGTCACGGTGTTGTTAGTTGACCCCGGGAATTCGCGTACACATCCAGGGTCAACGTGTCAGCTGTGGGGGGGATTGAAAGTGGGGGAAGAAGTCAAGGAAAACAAGGGGAAAAAGAGAGAGAGAAAGAGAAAGAAGTATGTGTGTGCGAGGTATAGAAAGAATGAAGGTGGTCAGAGTAGAATAGTGTGAATACACCTGTGGGCAAGTGATAGTAGTAGTAGAAAGTAGGTCAGGTCAGTGTTGGACCAAAGGGAAAGAGAGAATCCAGGGAGTCACGGGGATGCAAGGGATCGTGAGGGTGCCCAGCTGCTTTTCTTGCTTCTTTTCTCTCTCTTTTAGGTGGGATTACACCGAAGTTGACAGTTGACAGAGAGCAGCGGTCAGCCTTATACAATTGGATCAAATTGAAAAAATGAAAATGAAAATACCCAAACAAGGCCCACTTTGCAAGCTATGAAAGTAATGAATGGAGCGGATCGGCGATTGCGGCCTCCGACACATCCGGCGGCGCGATCGCCCTAAAAGCGTGAGCCATGTGAGGCTCCGACTCCGAGAATGCGTCATGCTGAAGTGAATGAAGAGAAATCCCCTCATTTGTTTGGCCTCTTTGGTTCTCTTTGGTCTTCCTTGGGCCTGGGCGTATCTTGGCGACGCCCCAGCGGCTTTGACGATCGCTTTATTGGTCGATCAAAAAAGTGGCCACTGACTTAGTAGTACTAGTAGATACTGGCGGCGCCGAACTTCTTCAGCTTGCTAGCTCTACTCTGGTTTGACTCTAGGGAAATCGACCAGGGTGTGCAGCTATGCAGCACAGTGTCTAGATACATAGTATTATTATACTAGTACTACTACTAGTATACTATGTACTAGAAAGCTATCCTGCGTGTCTCATCCCCTACAAGGAAATACATAGCATCACCCAGGTCGATCTACTCATACTCCATAGGAAATCTTAGTACTAGGTGTAAACGGAGTCGATGTATAATCATTAATCATTAATCATTATTCATGAGGGTCCGGACCAGGTGGGGAAAAAGTCATGCCAACAGACTTTTCTTCGTGGAACTGAGAAAAAGCACCGGGACAACCATTAGTCATTAGACACTAAACACGGGACAAACCTTGATCTCTGGAAGAGCTACCGAGGACTGTGTGCTGTACGGAGTAAGAAAGTGGTAGCAAACAAAGGCCGCGGATAGACCTCGCGCCGCGGAAGTCGGTAGGGAAAATGACCGAATTCCTTCTCGCCGGCTCGGTTCGCAGCCCCGCCAATATTGGCCAACATTGGCCAACATTGGAAGGTTACGGAGGATCTAGATAGCTCTTGGTATTGGAGGAGACAGTTCAAAGCTACAGTTAACACACATATAGTTAGCTAGGTGAATCCTGGGATGTACTAGTACAAGTTGATGCAACTGGGAGATCCCATAGTTATTCTCTGCTTCTCAAAGGTAAGTTAGTAAGCGGCTGTCCGAGAACACGGTAGGGCTGAGAGCTGCCAGGTGAGGGCCGAAGGGCCGAAGGGTCTACGAGTAAATGTCTGGTCTCGGGGTGGGTCGATTCCAAACATACAGTAACAAATGTTAAAAGGTTGTGTCTGTTTACGGATACAGTGGATTCACTCGATTTGTGTCGGATGACCAACTGCCAAGATGGGTCTGTCGTGTGCGTACAGCCAGCGGTGGCCAGCGGTTGCCACCGGATGGGCGCTGATAGTAAGAAGATCCTCTAGAAAGTTCAAGTTTCAATCAAGATTGGAAAAAAGGAACAAACAGTATAAAAATAGTGCACGAACACTATAGCAGCGGTGTAAAAAATAATGCGTCAGCGCCAGGGTTCGAACCTGGGCACCCGAAGGTACTAGATATCTGAAAGATTTATCCTCAGGATAGGATCCTGTAAGAACATTCAAGTCTAGCGCGTTAGACCACTCCGCCACACTGACAGTTGCTTCTTTTGGGTACACAGTGTTGGTTATAGCAGCTATACACTGTAGCACTAGGATAGTATGTTCGGCACAGCGGAAGGTCCCACATCCGCTGACTCACTATTCGTGCATAATTTATAATTTATGCGCATCCTTGACCACCAGCACTACTCCTCTGGCCCTGGCCCTGGCATCTCCTGGACCTACTCCGAATGAAGTACCCATACTAGTAGTAGCTAATCACTGCCTCGGTTACTTCCGAGCCCTTTGCTAAACGCCCCTTCAACTTCAACTCAAATGACCCACAGAGTCACGCCACTTGGGAATGTCCTCAATTGGTCGTGGCGCCGCCTTGTTGCGACTGGATAACCCTGGTCGGAGCTTGACCGTGGCCTTTACCCTCTGGAAAGCTCTCTTGTTCCTCGCCGTCGTTGCTTGTCCAGGTCCCGGATACGATACCTCCACCACGCTCCTCACCAACGAGCATGCCGGCCTGGCCCCTGACAGCCCGGCCGCCGCGCTCCCTCTGTCTTTGAAATTTGCCCGATGGGATGCAATTTACTTTGTGCATACCGCCGAACATGGCTACGTGTTTGAGCAGGAGTGGGCTTTCAGTTACTCTCGAGTCCTCGGTTTCTTTCTCTCCGGTAAGTAGTCATGCCTAGCCTGCTTGCAAACCTCGGGGGGTTTCATCTTGTTGATTTGTTATCATTAGGAATCCGCCAGTCTGGCGGTCTGAGTGGACCGGTCACGGCGGCTTTAATCGGCGTGGCCTTGTCTCACGTTGCCCATTACCTCTCCGTGTTGGCCTTGTATGGTCTTTCGGCCAATGTTTTCGGCCATGAAACTCCCACCCAGAGACTCATTTGCTTCTTGTCGGCTGCCTTGCACATTATCAGCCCGGCGGGTGCCTTTCTCTCGGCCCCGTATGGAGAACCAATATTCTCATTCCTGAATATCTCGGGCTTCTATCTTTATACATCCTCGCTCATTGCTGATCACAAGGGCGCGGTCCGTTTCCGAGATATTCTCGTTATCACAGCTGCCGTGCTTTTCGCTCTGGCGACACTCGTCCGCAGCAATGGTATCTTGAGTGGATTCTTATTTGCCTACGATGCTGCCATATTAGCCTGGTCGACTGTGATCCAGGGGCCCTCTCGCCGTACCCTTCGTCGCTTGGCCGTGATCATTTTTGGGGGCTCAATTGTGGCATTGGGAATGACCGTGCCACAGATCCTGGCCTACCGCGAGTACTGCTTACTGGAGGTCAATGCTCGGCCGTGGTGTAGCTGGACTGTGCCTAGCATCTATACTTGGGTGCAGGGTCAGTATTGGTATGTGATACCCCCCCACGCCTGGCCGTTAATTGAGTTGAGCACACTTCTAAAGCCTTGCTAACGAATTTAGGAATGTTGGTTTTCTTCGGTACTGGACGGTTTCCAATATTCCTCTATTTTTACTGGCAGCCCCAATGCTGGTCATTCTTTGCAGATCGTCCTGGTGGGCGCTTCAAGCTCCATCAACCTTGGCGTCTGGATCTGGTGGCCACTCCGCCTCGGGTGTTAGTCCGGGGTCGATGCTCTTCCGTCTTGCGGTACCCCAGGGTCTGCTGGCGATTATGGCATTGACTAGTTATCATGTTCAGATCATCAACCGAATCTCATCTGGATATCCTCTATGGTATTGGTGGTTGGTGTCGACAGCTATGGATGGCTGGCAGGGGCCCCGCGAGAGCCGGAGCCGCAGTCTTTTCTCGGTCGCAACCCAAGCCATGGTGGGCTATGCGTTGATCCAAGGGGTTCTCTTTGGTTCTTTTTTACCGCCGGCATGATAATTTGTGCCTGTGAAAAATAAATCAATCACTAATGATAATCTTGTGGTTGGACTCGGGTACTCTTAGTGTTCCGCTTGCGTAAGGTATTGTCTGCCTAAGTTGGGCTTGGGCTGGTGAGGCGTACTCGCTGCCTAGCAAAGAAAACCAAAAACTTGAAGCCCGTATCCCCGTATAAAGTAGGTGAATCAGATCCTAAGATTTAAAAGAAACATTTTTCAATCATCGAAACAGCTCCACTTGAGATATAATAGTATACTACTAGTACACTACAGTATACTATACTATGTACTAGTTCACTGCTGCAGCTCTTCTCTTTTTGGCAGTTACGTGGAATTATGTCATCCAGCTCCAACTGAGCCAACTGCCAGTGAGACCTCTCATCCTTCTGGTTGAACCTCCCAGCCTTCCCAAGGTTGTTGATTACTCCCTCACAGAACCATACTCCATCGATTACTAAGAGCTGGCGCCTAAATTGAACTTGATCGCCAGCCCACTTTGGAGCTTCGCGTTGCTTTCCCCGAGAGCCCAGTACCTCATGCGCTTTCGGCCGTGTGCAACACTTTCTCCGGCCTCATCTCTCCTACCCAACGGCGTGGAATTCCGAGCTTTGTGCTGAAAAAAGGTATGCTAACAATCAATTCCCTGATTCCTGTGATATGACAGGTGATGCTTCCGAGGACCTTTTTTGGGGGGGGGCTTGCTGACGTATCTCAGATCAGACCCCGATCTGACCTCCACGCCAACTCCCTTCCTCGCCCCAATCTCCACCTTCTCCCCTCACCCTCCTACCCCCTCCCTCGCATGCGATTATGGACGCCTCAAGCCTCAAGGCGATTCTGACATCCGATAATTTCCCTCATGCCTCAGAGATTTCCCGGGCCACCTCACCGGGTGGTGAGCCTGCCGCGGTAAACGGCAGCAGCGAACCCAAAGCCCGTGTTCGCCCGCGCACCTATCCATACTTTGATTATCTTCCATATCCGTTAGAGGATGAGACAGAACGGGAAAGAACTCTGAGAGAGATCTTGAATCAGTTATATGTCTCCGTGGAGGCTGGCGATTTCAGTCCGGGAGCTGTCCACTGGACACGCGAGCTCCGAGGATGGCTATCGCTGAAGTTCGACCCGACTCGAAAGGAGCGGATCAACCTCGTGAAGCTGTACTACGAGCTTTCGCTAGCTCCCGGGATAGATCCCGGCGTCTCTGAGCGATTCGCGAGCATGTTCATGCTTCTTACCAAGTGAGCGATACCCGGATAACCTGGATGAGCGGGGAAGCTTTGGTGCTAACCATAACGCAGGCGCAAGCACTACCTTCGACCCGTGAAAGACCTGACTCTTGACTGGAAGCCTCTCTACAAAGAACTGAAGGCCTTTGTACTCCCGACCGAGTCCGGATTGGTTCACTCGACAAACCTGAAACGAAATGTGAAGACGTTGACCAAACTTTGCGCCTTCGCGCAGCTGTTCATCGACCCGTGCGAGGTTCCCGCGATGCTCGAAGAATTCCTACCTCACTACACAACCTCGTTCTCCGAAGGTGCTTTCGTGGTTGCGGGGTTGATCAACCTGTTGCTTCCAACATCGCCCGCCCCGGCGGACCGACAAGACCTCCTCCCTCAAACCTATCTCCCGACTCATTTCCACCTATGGTCTCTGGTAGGGCGCTCGAAGACCTTCGACACGACATACTTGGACTATTTGTCACGATTGGCTCGGGATTCCTTGACAGCCGCTCAAATCCCATTCTCCGAGCATGGTCTTTTTACAAAGGAACAATCCTCACTTATTTTCACGGCGACCCTACGACTTTTGGAGATTCCAGTAGGACAGTCTTCTTCGCCTTACAGCGCCTTGGTAGATATTTCTTCCGGGTTGGGTATCATGCTTGATCGCGATACACGGAAGCACCCCTGTTGCCCACCACATCGCCCGTTGGATAGTAATGTCGCTCTCTCCTGCTTGTCTGGAGTCTGAAGATTCCGTTCTTTCACATTTGGAGGGCCTCATTCAGGCCGTTGAAACATTCTTCCATCCGTCGAACTCGGGTAGCTGGACAAAAACCCTATCACAATTAGTTTACTATCTAACAGACTTCTTCGTGATGCGTTGGAATCGTGAGCAAAGTGGAGAGATGGAAGTACCAGCTGAGCGACGACTGAGTGAGCCACTGAAGCGCCGCTTTGTGTTGTGTCTGAGAGACGTAATCTTCATGGGCATCTACGCCAAGAGCAGCACTGCCATGACCTTCTCGCTGTCAACCCTTCAAGGTCTTGCCTATTTGGAACCCCATCTGATCCTCCCCGGGGCCTTGCAGAGAATCTATCCCGCTCTACAGGGTCTGGTCGAGGTTCACCGGACAACATCCTCCCTGCGCGCCATGCAAGTACTATCCCGCGTCATCACTCGAACTAAGGGGCTACCGTTGTCATATGACAACTCTCCTTGGTCTTTCTTTGCCTGGTATCGATGCCAATGATCTAGAGAAGTCGCTCCATGCCCTTTCTTTCATCCAGTCAGCATGCTATAACATCCCTATGGTTGACATGACTCAGGGAAGAGAGGATGTTAACTGTAACATGCTGGCCATGCAGTGGATTTCTGGCGAAATGGAGCGAATGGAGGAGGAAGGGTCTGATGTGCAGTTCAATTATGATACTGAGCTTGACGATACAACCGAGGAAATGATTTTGCGATCATCGACCTGTGGTTTTGGTGATTTTACCATCTCATTCCTTGGCCGCGTCTTCACGCTTCTCGAGAACTTACCAGATGTAACTCGCGTTCGCAACGGCTCCCCAGAAGAGAACATCGTGAACACACTGCCCGCCACCTTCATGCCCCTCCTTGCTTCCCTTTCACCCGAATACTACGACATTGCCCTCTCCAAGATCGTCGATTTTGTGTCCAACCACGTTATTCACCAGGCTCGAGACGCCATGGCCTTCATTTGCAATGCACTTTGCAAGGTCAATCCTGAAAAGGCGCTCAAACGCTTCATCCCAGTTCTCACCCAAGCGATTCGCACCGAAATTGAGGATAATGGTGCCGGATCGACACGAACAACTGGTACGGACGTTCTGCCTCGTGATCGTGGTTTGGTTTGGAACGTCAGCATGTTGAGCATGTGTGTGGTTCATGTTGGCGATGCCGTCCTGGCTCATCGCCAGGAGCTCTTTGACATCGCAGTCTATATGCAGAACAAATGTCGCGGTATTCCGACCGTTCATATCTCCAATTTCATTCACCATCTCTTGCTTAATCTCACTGGCACATACACCAGTGATTACTCCCTCTACGAGAAGGCGGACACAGCTGGCGGAATCGAGCCGAAACACTGGAGCTACAGCGCCGATGTGCGAAATCTCAACATAAATTGGCATGTGCCTAAGCGCGAAGAGCTGGAGTTTGCCGTCGACGTCTTCAAAAACCAGGCCGAATCGGCTTTGAAGCATTTGACCGGTCTGACGAATGAGACCTCGAGCATCAAGCGAGACGGCAGCGGCAAGGAATGGTCTGATGAAGTTACCCGGAACTTGGTGCTTCTGCGACTGCTCCTCTCTGGTATTTCTGTTCTCTTTGATCCCAAGGCGGCGGCCAAGACCTCGCCCGATATCTTGAAGAGCGCATCTGCCGTCTCTAGTGAGTTTGAGCAGGCTGATGATTCTGCTTTTTCGAATGGAACAACCGATGAAGAGACTGAGACTGCTCTCGATAATACTGATGAGGCCCTTATCAGGGAAAGTTTCCCTTACCCTACCGGATATCCGCTACAAGAAAGCGATCCTCTCTACAACGCCATCCATGAGATTCGCGAGCGAGCAGGTTGGGTCCTGCATGAGACCCATCGTTTCTTAAGTGACAAGCAGGAAGATGATGTGCCTTGTTTCGGAGCCCTCTATTCGGCATTTCGATCCTGGTTTGTGGACGTTGGCATCGAAAGATCAGCTCACGTTCTGGACCGTGTCACACGACTTCTAGCTGCTGACATTCACCCATACAAGATGAGCGGTATTCGCAAAGACTACCCGAGAGCATTGCTTGTGCGAAGGGCCAATGTGTATCACCTGCAGCGGCTCCGTCATAATGCTGCCCGCGTCCTCGATCTAAGCTCGACGAAGTACTACTCTACGATCTTGCTGAATCCTGCGTCTCTCTGTACACAGAGACTCGACGTAACGCCCAAAATGCTGGCGAATCAGCACTTAAGGCAGTGTGGGGAGCTCGCAATCTTATTATTCCGCCTCTTCTCAGGGCTCTGCAGAGGGGCGTGAAGGAGAATGACTATGCGCGCATCAAGGGTGCACTCTTCTCACTTCTTCTCAGCAGTGTTGCAAAGACAGCAGGCAGGAATTGGAAGTTTACGCCGGCCTTAATTCGGACCTTCATCGATGCCAGCGCTGTTGATAAACCTTCTGTCCAGAAGATCTGCTCTGGTGCCGTGTTCCAGATTATGGATTACGGTCGCGCTATGGAAAGGATGGCTATCCTCGATCGCGACATTGTGGAAGCAATTGCTCCAATTAACGATTTCAGTGATGAAATTGAGCAGAAGCGAAAGGTTATCAATAAGAAACGTGCAACAATCGAAAAGAAGAAGGCCGACCTTGCCGAAGAGCTAGTCAACCTAGCACGCGTCTCACACTGGAAGATTGCTAGCCGTGCTGCGACAATTGTAATCACAATGGGTCTGCGTTTTGACTACATTGCCAGCCAGAATTTGATTGAACTGGTTACCCTTGGCTCGATCGATGACCATCCCGGCCTGCGGGGCATGTATTCTCAGGCGCTCATTGCGTTGTTCACGATGATTGACGTACGAGCTATTTGCAGCCACGAGTACAAGAACTACATTCTGGGCCACCAGCGGTTCCCTTCGAAGATCAAGGTTGCGACGCGCCCATATGAGAAAGACTGGACACAGGAGTATTTGACCAGCTTTGCCAACCCCGAGGCCGAATACTACGTGGACCATGATTTCCCTGGATGGCTGGTATGGGGCAAAACTATGCCCGCATATAAGTCTAACGTGGCTCGTGATATCGAGTACGACGAAGTTGAGTGGAACGTACGGACTCAAATGGGCAAACTTTTCACCCGCGAGTGGTTCTCCAAGTTCTTCGCCTACTTGAAACAGGAGCCTAGAGATCCCTCTGCAGACAAGTTCCGCATGTCGTGCGCTATGATGCTCCTCTATGCTTTCGAGCTTATGCTTCGTGATGGACTTACAGCTGTTTCATTCAAGGATATCCAGGAAGAGATCCAAATTGTCTTTGAAGACGGTAGTGATAAGCACCAGCACCGCGCCACTGCTGAGATTCTTGGCGCCTTGATCAGTTCAGTGACTGACTCGAGCGTGGAGAACCGCGCCATGGTTTGGGAATATGCCTTCCCCATCGTAAGGAAGGTCTTCACAGACGGTCTGACACCCGAAAACTCTGGGTACTGGACAACTTTCCTTCACATGATCCTTCAGTGTCGCGACCCGCGACGAGCCTGGCCTTTGGTCGATTGGCTTGCTAGCTTCCGGCTAGACATGTCAACTAACGCAGCTTTTAAGGAAAGCTCGAAGATCAACCTGCTCCATCAATGCATTATCGACGCTGGCTGGCATTTCCAGTTGGAGAAGCCGATCGTCAAGGATTTCCTCGCGCACTTGGATCACCCCTACAAGGGTGTTCGTGAAGCCATGGGTCAAACCCTTGCCACGATCTACCGCACCAGGTATCACGAGTCGTATCCTGATCTTCAACACCTCTTGGATGCTCAGAAGTCCGCATCATCAGTTGGAAGCTATCCATACACTCCTTCCGATGAGTTCTCATCAATGGTTCGCGGCGTTTTTGACCAAATTGAAGAATGGCGAAAGGCCAGAACCCCTGGTCAGCAAACGCCAACGTCCTACACATCTGGCAGCAAAACTGTACTTCTTTGGCTGGATTCAACCCTCTCCTCCCACGAATGCACACAGTTGGTCCCCTTCTTCCCTGATGTCTTCACCGCGCAGCTTCTGCATATGATGGATGTCAAGGAAGACCCTGAGCTCCAGTCTCTTGCCTACCATGTTTTCCGCCACCTTCCTAACATCCCCTACCCTGCCGAGAAGGACTCTGAGTTCATTCAGTCCCTTATTCGTATTGGACAGACATCCTTATCGTGGCATCAGCGTCTACGTGTCATGATTAATATCCAGATCATTTATTTCCGCCGCCTCTTCCTGCTCGACCCTGCCGACCGGGATAAGCTATTCGAGTGCATTGCATCCATGCTTGAAGACCCTCAGCATGAAGTCCGCGCAGGCGCCTCGGCTACCCTCTCAGGAATGATTCGCTGCTCGCCCATTTTCTTGCGTAACAAGATGGTCAACCGATTCCAGGAGCGTTTCACCAAACTCCTTGCGGATAATCCGCTTCCCAAAAAGCCGAAGAACTTCCGCTCTGGAATTTCCTCTGCGGTCTCTTCTGGCGCCGGAACCCCTACCCCCGAGCACAACCGCCTGATTATTGTCCGTCACGGCGCGGTGCTGGGACTTGGCGCGTTGATCCAGGCATTCCCATACAGCAGTCCCCCTCCACACTGGATGCCAGAGGCTTTGACTACACTCAGCATTAGGGCTGCAAATGACCCTGGCGTCGTTGGTTCCAGTGTGAAGTCGATAATTAGTGAATTCAAGAAGACCAGACAAGATACCTGGCATATTGATGCGAAGGTGAGTTACCATTGCAATGCAATCTTCACTCTAAGTTGAATACTGACGCCATTCTAGGCATTTACACAGGATCAACTTGAGGATCTTTCGGGTGTTCTTTGGAAGAGCTACTTCGCTTAATCCAAAAATACCATTCCCTGCCCTCAAAAGGTTTGATATCTTTGATAGCATCATGAATACACTTGTGGATAATCAATTTCGAAGTGCATTGCTACGCCATGGGCATGCTTGTAAAGACTTGAAGAGGCTTCCCAGAGGGGGCCATTAGATTATCACGTTCATTGTCTGAACATACCCTGATCAGGCTGTTCTTTTGAAGTTCCTACTTTTTCCTTCTGTTCTTGTTTTGTCCATACCCAGGTCGGCTCTCTGAATGGAATTCATTTCTTAATCGATTGAGTAATTATATGAAAGTTCCCAGTCATGGATTAAATGTAAGCACTAAATAGTATAATTTCTTGAGTTTCGAGCGCTGCTAGAGACTTTAAATGCAATATGGTAGTATACGTAGTACTATGATGCCCAAGATAAGGGTCGAGGGGAAGTGATCTAGATTGTCAAGCCGGGACGCAGTCAAGACTGCGTAGTAATGACATCGTCGTCTCAGACACCCGGCACCGTGTCCCTACCTGTCAATGACTAGGAGTGGGAGATCGGCAACGCGACTTGGTACTAATATAATCCAATTGCTACTATTCGACAAATCTGTCGGGCTATGTGATACTTGGCGACACCTAGGTCGGCAACTCACAATGGACCCGGTACTGGGATTGCAACTCCAAAAGCCCCCGAGGTTTAGGACTAGGAGATCACTACGCGTGCGCCCGGCAACATGGATGCGATGGCTTGGATATTTGGCCTTTGCGATGACTGTTCTTGAGACGTACTCATACCTCTCTGTTCATCCGGAGCTCTCACTTCTTTGTGCGTTGGTCTCATATCAGAAGCCGGGAATCCTTCGTCCTGGCCAATACCATGATGCTGATGGGATCGAATACGTTTTCGTCCCGGGCGAGACCGAAGTCGAAGACCGGCGCGAAGTAGATGACATGGGGTTCGTGCATGCGAAAAGGTTTGTCCACGGGCAATTGAAGTTGGCATTAAATTGCGTGATGAAGCTCCTACTACTAGTAGTAGCGCTAATGTATATGGCACGTAGGGATATCAGATTCTACATTGGCGGAACCTTGACCCTCACCAGCAGTGATGAATTCGACACTCCCGACCCCGCTCACCCAGAGCCTTCGATATACGACCCTTACCCTCGATATAACAGTCGAAAATGGAAGAAGGAGAATGAGGGGAATTTTGAACCCTGCCTAGGCCCAAGAGGCCGAGATCTTGACCGAACCCGTTTCGAAGATATGATGCTCGTTTACAAAGGGAACCAGATTGGATTCCCCGAGTCTCAGTTCGGCTCATTTGATGTCATGGGTCTCGATGGGAACGTCTGCACCGATCGATACTCTCGCTTTGGAGCCTATGGTTACGATGAAATGAGCGAAGAAGACGTCCCTGGGTTTACCCGTCCTCTCCAGGTTCCTTGGTCTGAAGTTGATTGGCATGAGCTACAATCTCTCTGCTTCGAGAGAAATGCCGACCGATATCGTCCGGGATCGGCGACGAATCAATCTCAAGAACGACCTCTCTCGTTTGAGCTGAGACGGCCTCCGCAAAAGACTTACGACTCCTATGATGCCCCTTTGCCTGGTAAGAAGCGGCATCATAATAGGTCGGCTTTACTTATACGAGCGTGGCATACTATGGCCTGGACCGAGAATCATCGTCAATACCTTCGAGCTTTAATCATGGAGCTTTCTCTGCATTCTGGGGCGGAGTATGAAGTCTTTCTTTTAGTTCATGTGAAGGATGATGAACTCCCCATATTCTCTGATGCAAAAACGATGAACCGACTCCGAAACTCGATTCCCGCAGAGTTTCGCAGCATGGCTCTCTTCTTCAACAATAAGCTACTCGAGGCGTGGTATCCTAAAATTGTCGAGCACAGGTAAGACATTTGCTTAGGGTTATCTGCTAATAGTTTCAACATTGCTTGTGCTAATTCCAACTTATTGGTAGCCCCATTTTGCAACACCATCAGCCACTGGAAATATTCTCTCAATTATACCCCAACTTCGATTTCTACTGGCAGCTAGAAATGGATGGTCGGCATACCGGTCATGTTTACCACTTCCTGGACAAAGTGGTGTCATTTGCGAGAAGACAGCCGCGCAAGTACCTATGGGAGCGCAATGCCTATTTTTATACACCTGGTGCACATGGAAAATGGGAGCAATTTACTAGAATGGTCGATGAGAGCCTTGCAGAGGTATCAGACAATACAGTCTGGGGACCGATATTCGGAACTGGAATTCGATCGCTCGGTCCGAGTCCGCCGACCGCAAGCCCGAAAGATGACAACTATACCTGGGGTGTTGGTGAAGAAGCAGATATGATAACCTTTCTTCCAATTTTCAACCCGAAAGACACAGTATGGACATTCCCGGATATCATTTGGAACTTCAGGTATGGCATCGACACTCCACGCCGCGCAGCAGTTATTACGATGGGCCGGTATTCGAAGCGTCTACTGGATTTGATCCACAATGCACAAGCGACAAAAGGATTGGGCCTTGCATCGGAAATGACCGGCGCGTCATGGGCTATGTATCACGGTCTGAAAGCAGTCCACGTTCCACATCCAATCTATGCGGACGGCCAATGGACATCTGAAGAGCTCGCACGCATCTACAATCGAGGGGTGCCGGAAAATATAAATGGTGGTCCAGATAGTATCTGGAACTTTGATCACCTATATGATCACATCATGTACCGACTTTCGTACATGTTCACCACTCATACCGCGGAGGACATGTATAGACGGTGGATGGGGTTTCGAACCGCAGCTAATGAAGGCGGAAAGAGGGTATGTCCCATATTTCTTTCTAAATTTATTTGTCATTCACACGAAGGAGCTATTTACTCCTGGGAATCGCGCTAACTTCTGTCCTACTGCAGTCAACAGAGGTTTTCTATGGTCGGCATTGCTTTCCATCTATGTTTCTTCACACCGTGAAAAACACGGCCCGGAGGTTTGGGCCTGACAGGGCTGTACCATGAGACCAGACCAAAATGTCTCATTTATTTTCTTTTGTACTAGTACCCTTTTGACTCTTAATTGCTTTGTTTCATTTTTCTTAATTGTGCTTATGACGGGGAGCGGATCTTTTAGATGTTACCTGCAGCTTTCGTTTCGTGCGTTGGTAATGATTAGACCTAAACTTCAGAAATACTTAAACATCATATATTTGAAAATTCAGATTGGGTGAATGGTGAACGCATTCAAGACTAAAGCCAGACATTGTCGCCATCGTAAATCTATTCTGTCGAGCAATATCTTGTTTCGTCTGCCATGGATGCCGTCATCGGCTGCAGCGGTCCCCAGTGGCCACGAACGGGGTTGATACGAATCAGGTGAAAAGGTGTGATTGGGTTATGCTTAATATCCTGGCTCCTTCAATAGAGAATTTCCCCAGGCCATGTGCTCATCAAACCAGCCACAACCCCTCTAACCCCGCAAAATTCCCGTATCGTCCGGGCCAATATTAGTAGACGTTGGCCGGGGCAAATTTCCCGTTTTTGCAAGGGCAACTTTCCCCGTCCCTCCAAGACCCACTCTGGCCACAGAGAGGTCATAGGGTGAACGGAACGATCGGTTATTGGCAGCCTATACTGATACACCCTGCGGTACGGAGTAGATGATCTGGTTTCTCAAACCCTTACCAGGAAATCGTCGTCGAGGAACGCGGGTTGTATTTCCAGGCCAGGTGGTATGCAGCCCCTCCACACCTGGCTGACCCGTGGGGAAGGCATCTGAATATAGTTTGAAAAGCTGGGCCCAAATTTCAAAATGATACTTATATCGCCATCCACCTGGGCAGTTGGTTTTATTTCAAGTCCCAAGTCAGACTCGGAGTCATCAGCTTTTATTTCTAGTTTCTTTACAGTCCTGCTCAGGCCTTTGGTTCTAAGACTATCTTTGCCGAGAACTCTCTTGTTCGACATGGCCTCTTTGGCAGCAAACCTGAGCCAATCCGGCACTATGTGGTCGGTTATCTCAGTGGCTCCATATGCAATTGGTCTTAGCTTCTTTGCTTTCGCATACTTTGTCATTCTACCGTATATCGAATATCTCCGCGATCCAAAGGGTATGGTACCAAGCATCAGAGACATATTGCAGGAGATTGCTAACGGCAACTAGGATTGCGCAAATATCCCAACCTCTCTCCCTTCTCTGGATTTTCAGCGATTCCTTTTATGCTCATGGCTGGAAGAGGCTTCCGATCAAGGGAGCTAGCAGAGCTACACAAGACGCACCCGGTTATTAGAACGGCCCCCAACGCGCTCTCCTATGGAGACGCTCGAGCTATCAAAGACATCTATGGACACAACACAAAGTGCACCAAGGACGGCGCATACTCAGTCCCTGTCGGAAGTCATTACAATTTGGCGGATGTTGTCGATAAGCCTGATCATGCCCGCAAGCGCAAGGTTCTCTCGTCGGCCTACGCCTTGAAGAACCTAGAGAGCTGGGAATACAAGGTTACTGATAAGATCCAACGAATGTTCAGGCATTTCGACAAGGTCTGCACTCTGGCTCCTAAAGAGGATGTGGCATCTGGAAAGGTAGCACCTGACCAGAAAGAACTGACTCTGGACCTACGTGGCTGGAACAACTTCTTCACTCTGGATGCTATTGCCGATATTGGACTGTCCGAGAAACTGGGGTTCCTTGATGCCGGCAACGATATGGTAACTGCTGAGCGAAAGGACGGCTCGACATACCAGACTAGCCTTCGTGAAGCACTTTATCCCACTGCTCGAAAGCAATCCTACCTTCTGTGGGATTACAACTGGTACCTGACTATCAACAAGTTGGTGGATGTGATCCCATTCTTTAAGCGCATGTCGAAGTCAGCCGATGACTGGGAAAACATTATGTGGCACCGAGGAAGCAAGCGTCTAGAACGCTACGAGAATGGCGAAAAGCTCGACGACTTCTTCCAGGCACTGATGGAGGATAAGAATGGCAATGCCAACAATCTCGAGTGGGGCGAAGTTGTTGCTGAGTGCAACATTATGATGAACGCTGGCAGTGTTACCACTGCTGTTGCTATTACCAACGTTATGTACCAGCTACTACGCAACCCCAAAGCTCTTATGAAGTTGCGAGAAGAGCTTGATTCTGTCTTGGATGAGGATGAGGTTGTCGCAGATTATGACAAGGTAAAACACTTGCCGTATCTGCGTGCTTGCCTGGATGAATCTCTTCGCATCTTCCCTCCCACTTCCCACGGACTGCCCCGTGAGACTCCCGCCGAAGGCGCCAACATTCTCGGAGACTGGGTGGCTGGAAGTACCACTGTGAGCATGTCTGCTTTTGTTGCCCATCGCCTTGAAAGCATTTTCCCCAACGCCGACCAGTACATCCCAGAGAGGTGGCTGGGAGAAGAAGGAAAGTCCCTTCAGCCATATCTCATCGCTTTCTCTGCTGGCGCTCGTTCCTGCATTGGTCGGAACATTTCTTATCTGGAACAAGCAAAGGCTGTGGCATCCATGGTGCATCGATATGACTTTGCCCTGGCCTACCCCGGATGGGAACTGCAGCGCGAGGAGACAATGAATCTGATCCTGGGAGACATGCCCGTTAAAATCTGGCGCCGGGACAGGAGTGCAGAGGCATAGATACCTTTTTGGCAACTTTCCTTTATTTTCTATCATGATTACCCCCTTTTTTGATCATACTCTAGTATTTTGATGATAACTGATGAGACGATACCTTAAAGAACACCGAATAGACCTTTCTCGATAAACAGTCGGGAATTTTACTAGAAGTTTAAATTTACACCTTTAATCCGTCTGAATAAGCTTCCATAGGAATCAGCCATGTAGTTCTAAATCGCAAGAATCTCACAAATCCAATTTTGAGCCATGGCCAAGGGTCGCGTAGAGCTTGCATGCTGCATGTCTCGCAGATCAGGCGCGTGATCGACAGCACACGTTGGGAGTAACGTTGAGTCTCAGATTTGCATGATATAGAATTCTAGCCAACTTCAGATAATCAAAATGATACCCCGCGACCTCGCCACCTCATACACCTCGAAAGTCTCGATTATCACCGGGTGATTTTCCCCCGCGCGGGGCCTTTGCCGGGGGATTGGAGATTTCCCTCTCGTTCGGGGAAATTGCCCCGGCCATCTTCGTCTGTTCTAGGCGATCTATTTTTCGCTTGCATCATGACAATAATTCCTCGAGTACTCTCGTAGGGATCTATCAGATCTCGAAAAGTCATTTGCCGGTGTTCAAACGTTATTCGGCAAACCAGCGTATAACACCCTGGCCTTGCAGGATGGCGTCCATCCCTCACACCCATAGCATTGTTGACTACCAGATCATTTTGTTTGATGAATAGATTAACCGCCACAAAGGTAAAATCTTGATGCCAAATAGCTTCATTTCTTTATCTACGGAATATTGGTTCTGCATTATCCGCGGCCTTTGGATCTCCGATACTGGAGGGTGGTGGAGACTAAGGTGGCATAAGGCGAAGTTCGTGCTTCTTCGTTTTGCCTGTTTGGCCGCTTCGGGGGATATTTTCCTATGGATGCAAGCCCCCACAAGTGTGGAATTTTGCACTCTAATCCCTCGATCCAATCAGTGAGTGGGTGCGATGATTACCCGCAAGTCAATGACCGGCGATACCCTCGCCGTGCTGGGTAATTTTCCCCGCAAGGACGTGGGGAACTTGAGCTTATGCAGATCTCAAGTCTATTTTTCGCCCCAATATCAACTCCGATCGGGATTTCTTTCTCAATTTCGGTGTACTGGGATATGCGGGGTGAAACGCTAGCTGCCCGCGGATTTGATATTTGAACGCGAGAAGGACCCCGGATTCTGTTTGCCTGGCATTGACTGATTTCCACTCACAAGTCATTTTCACCTCTTCGTCGCTCCAAAAATTTGCCATATATACATACATGCGTTGATCCGTTCTTGTCCAGAGAATTGATATCTCCGTACTACTGTCATTGGCATTACACCATGGCATCACTCTCGCAATTAGCGTCGCAGTGGAATATTCCACCGGAGTTGCTCGATGAGCTCTCCAAGTATGCAACGCCAACCGGGCTCGCCGATTATGCGGCATTGGCCGTCATTGCTGGTGTATCGGGCGCCTATATTTCTCGTGGATACCTCTGGGATCAGCCTGACCCGTATGCCTACCTGGCATATGAGAGACCGCAGCTGAAGAATGGCGGCCAGGCTGGCGCCAATGCCAACAAGGAAACGCGGAATATTGCTCAAAAACTCGAGGAATCTGGGAAAAATATCGTTGTTTTCTGGGGATCACAATCTGGTACAGCTGAAGGGTTTGCCCATCGTCTGGCCAGAGAAATATCTGTTAGATGGGGCCAGGAAAGCATGACTGCAGACCTCTCCGATTACGACCCAATCACCATCACAGAAATCCCTAACACTAAGCTCGCTATTTTCATTGTTTCTACCTACGGCGAGGGTGATCCTAGCGACAACACGGTCGACTTTTGGAGCTGGATCAACAAGGCCAAAGATGTCTCCCTTCCCTCTCTACGATATGCCGCATTCGGACTGGGAAATACCAACTACAAGTTCTACAACAAAGTCGTCGATGTTATTGTGGAGGGGTTGGATAAGTTTGGTGCCCAGGCATTGATGCCAGTTGGAAAGGCAAACGATGCAGAGGGTGCGACTGAAGAAGATTTCATGTCTTGGAAAGATCAATTATTCTCAGTCTTTAAGGAGCAGCTGGGCTTCCAAGAAATCGAAGCCAAGTACACCCCAAGCTTGCTGATCCAAGAAGACGAGTCTTTGGAACCTATCGACTTGCATCATGGAGAGCCTCATGGCCAGGCCGATGGAAAAGCAAACCAATCCTCGGCGGTTCGCACGCTGAGCATCTCGAATTCGCGGGAGCTCTTTACCTCATCTGACCGTCACTGTCTACACATGGACCTTGACTTGACCAACCAGCCAGAACTTACCTATAAGACTGGTGATCATCTGGCTATTTGGCCAGGGAACCCTGACTCCGAAGTCGAGCTTCTTCTCCAGGTTCTTGGTACTTCCGAACGACGCGATATACCTCTCCACATCAAGGCCATTGACTCGGCCACCAAGGTCACTATCCCATCACCCACAAGCACAAACGCGCTGTTCCGCTACTACCTCGAGATCTGTGCTCCGGTTAATCGTGACAATGTTCGTGATCTTGCACAATTCGCACCAACCCCAGAGGCAAAAGCCTACCTTACTCAACTCGGCCAAGACAAGGACAACTACGCCAGTTTCATCAATCGCACCCACCTAAACCTCGGTCGCCTCCTGCAACTTGCATGCCCAGGCCAGACGTGGTCTGACATTCCACTCTCATACCTGACCGAAACTCTGCCTCATATTCGCCCTCGTTACTACTCTATCTCATCAAGCAGCGTGGTCTCCCCACGCAAGCCATCTATCACCGCAATCGCCACTACGACTCCTCTACCTGACAACTCGAGCGAACTTGTCCATGGTGTCACATCCAATTACCTTTTAGCCATTTCTCAACAAGCTCAATCTCAACCGCACCCTTACGGAGTTACCTACCACCTCAATGGCCCTAGTAACGCTTTAGAGGGTGGTAAGGTTTTCGCTCACATTCGTCGAAGCAAGTTCAAGCTGCCTATAACTGGAAAGACCCCGCTGGTCATGGTTGGAGCCGGAACAGGTCTTGCTCCTTTCCGCGCATTCCTTTCGGAAAGATGTCAGGTCCAGAAGATTGGAAAGGATGTTGGCCAAATGATTCTTTTCTTCGGATGTCGCAACCCGAACGAAGACTTTATCTACCAACAGGAATTGGAGGAAATGCAAAAGGTCCTTGGCGATAAATTGCGTGTCGTGACGGCATTCTCGAGAAAAGAAGGTACCCCACGCAAATATGTACAAGATCGAGTTTCGGAGTTCGGTGATGATGTCGTGAAGCTCATTGACGAGGGAGGCAGTTTTTATGTTTGTGGGCGCGCAGGAATGGCCCGCGAAGTTGAAAAGGCTGTTGGGGAAACCATGAGGAAGGTCAAGGGATGGTCTGAAGACGAGGTGAACAACTGGAGCAAGGCAGTTAAGAGGAAGAATAAGTGGCAAGAAGACGTCTGGGGTTAGGTTTTTTCATGTTCGTGTTCCTCGTTTGCTAGGGGGGTTTCAAGTTTCAAGGCGCATTGGCTTGACTGTGATATCTATAGTTATATATTTGATTTGACGGCTAGACATTCAAGTTAGACATCAATTACGCTGATTATGAAAGATATTTCAAAATGACACAAGAGATTCGAAGTAACATCCCTGCGGGATTGAAAAGGCCGTCGCTTCCGGCAAGATCTGGCACCTGTCATCTCGCTACCAATGCCTATTCTACGTTTCGTGTTCGGAAGGGTCTTGTATTCCGATTGGTCGAATAAAGAAATCGATCTAGTTAAGCTATCATGATGTCATATCTCAATGTTAAATCTATTGCTTACCAACAGTCGGGTAGTCCGTGTAGTGGAAGACATTGTCTTCAAACGGCCCGTAGAAGCGAGTGCGATCATAAGGTGTCAAAGGCAGCCCCTTGGCCAGACGGTGCACCAGATCTGGGTTACTGATAAAGTAACGGCCGTAAAGAAGTCCGTCATACTTTCTGGATTCCACAATACCCCACGAATTGGTATCATCGAAGCCTCCAGCGGAGAAGAAAGGGGTGGAGCCAAAGATCTTGCGGAACCGATCAAGAGTCACATCCTTCAGTCCCCAGCTCTGGAGGAAGGTGTCCTTCTCTTCTTCACTGAAGATTTGCTCAAAGCGCTGAATAGAAATGTTAGCCTTTCGAAAATGTGCTAAAGGATGTAGGGAGATATACCGGCTCAACGAAGCTCACGTAAGAAAGGGCAGGGTGATCCTTCTTCAGACCCTCGCAAAGATGAGTCCAGGTTTCAAGACGTTGCTCTCCGCGAGCCTGGTTGAACAGACCGAAAGGCGAAAGGCGAATTGCCAAGTTCTGCTCGCCAATGGTCTTCGCAACCTCGGCCATCAACTCGAAGACAAATTGGCAACGCTTCTCAGGAGAACCACCATAGTCATCGGTCCGCTTGTTGACATTCGAGCTAAGGAATTGCTCAGGGAGGTATCCATTTCCGCCATGGATCTCCACGCCATCGAAGCCAATTTCCATAGCTGTCTTGGCTGCTTTGCAATAGTCTTGAATGGTCTGCTTGATATGCGCCACGGACATTTCAATAGGCGGATGATTGGCGTATGGGACGGGCTCAGTGGATCCCACGGGAGGATGGGAAAAACATTCCGTGGGAGAGTCCCACACGCTGGCTGAGGGGCAGACAGCGGGCGATCCAGTCATCTGGGGAATTGTCGCACGGCCAGCATGCCACAATTGACAGAAAATGAAGCCCCCCTTTGCGTGCACGGCTTCAACGACTTTCTTCCAGCCATTGGCCTGTTCGGGAGTGAAAAGTCCAGGCACACCAGGCATGCCATTGCTCTGTTTTAATTTGCCAAGGGTCAGACTCCACATGAAATAGTCAATTGAGCCATGGGTACTCGTATGTAAGGTAAGATAGGGCACGGGACGGGAATAGGTACCTCGAGTGAAGGTGGAATTCCCTCAGAGATGAGAAGACCACCCTCAGTGGCACGCTGGCTATAGTAGTCGGCAATGAGGTCGCCAGGAACCCAGATACGATTAGGATTCTCGGGAGTACTGATAGGGTTCAAAGGCACCCCGCGGTTACGGGTCAGAGGCGCATGGATGATACGGTGGCGGAGAGTGAGGGAGCCATTGGAAATATCCAGAGGCCGGAAGAGGCCAGATTCTTCGCCGCTGATGTAGTGGATAGTCATGGTTCAGGCAAAAGGAACAATGGGATTATGTTTATGCCAACTTGAAACTTGAAAGAATTAAGAAAAGAAATCAAACATTCAGGTTACATGACAAGTCCTCATCTCCCCCTATTTTTTTTGTTGCTTGGCCTGTCAAAACTGTCACCTCGGCTAACCCAGAATTAGGGTTTATGTGAAATCCACTCATGCCACTTGGTAAAACAACGGTGGCAATGAACGTGGGAATGAGACTTTGCTGGCGTGCAAAGACTGCAAATACGAGGCCAGGTACCCGCAGCACTTGACTAAAAATGGAGAGTGGAGTTTCTGCAGTGGATGCTTTTTCATTTCGCGGAACTCGCGAAGAACTATTCATCGGGCCCCGGCCACGTAATAGTTTCCGATATCCGGGCTCGTCCAAACTATATCGCGTCAGTAGTCAATCAGGGACTATTGGAGACAAGGATTCAATAGCGCTTGGCCCCACTTTGGTATAACTTGCGCCTATCTTTATCCTAATTTTTCAGTCGGAGGGCGCCTAGCGGCTTGTGGTTCAGCGGAGATCTGCCTGTCAGGACCTTTATGTGTCACTCACACCCCCCGGCTTTCCTCGCATGATCGATTTCTAAGTTATGTTCACGAGCTGAGTGACAGCTTCAAAAATAAAATGGCCGCTGGGAACACCTTGGGGCCCACCCCAAAGGACGTGTATCGCACGCTGAATCTGGTGGTGCAATGTCTGTGCATTCCGATCGTATCAGCGGCTGTCGCCCTACGATTTTACACTCGTTTTCGATTTAAGCAGCGCCTCGGAATTGAGGACTGTGAGTTCCGCGGCAAACCCCCTTACTGCTTGAATCTTTACTGACATGAAAACACAGATGCATGCACTGTAGCTTGGGTACGATCCATATGACTGACTACTAGTCCCCTCAACGATGATCAATTACTGACTAGATTTCCAGGGCCTGTTCATGGCATATTGCGCTATTGGTATCCTCAGTAAGTCTTTTTGATACTTGGATGGGGCTATTATTGCAGAATACTGATGATCTTACTTTTATTTACATAGTTGGTCGCCATGGAGGAGGTTATCACGTCGACGAAGTCCTGGCTTGGAACCCGGCGGAGATCATTCAATTCAAGAAATGGTGCTACATCGCCACCCTTCTTTACTGCCCTATGGCACTATTCGTCAAAATCGCCCTACTCTCGATCCTTACTCGCATCTTCGCTCCCTATCGAAACAAGGTCTTCTTCATCTACGGCCTTCTCGGCGCACTCTGCGTCTACTACACCATCGCCCTGATCATCAAAATCCGCATCTGTTACCCCATTCCATATTACTGGCTGGGAGATGAGCTCGAGGGTGGTGGAACTTGTCTCGACCAGACGGCCGCCCTAATAGCCGACTCCGTTATCAGTGTCGTTAGCGATATCATTATTCTCATCCTACCCTTGCCGTTGACCTGGTCACTCCAAATGTCTAAGAACAAGAAGCTACGTGTTATGGGTTTGCTCGGAGCCGGTGGTTTCGCTGTTGGCTTCAGTCTCTATCGACTCGTGTTGGTGCTTCAAGATGGTACATCGCCCGACCAGACTATCGTCTTCATGTGTGTCATTATGTCTGGGTATGTGTCCAACCTCCCCTTTCCAGTCCGAAATTGCCCCTTCTGACTTATCTTTAGAAATGCCGAGGGTGGTGTCGGTCTGATCTGCGCTTGTCTCCCCGTTCTGAACGTCTTGCTCGCTCATTACCGGAAGAACTACTCGTCCCAAAAGTACTACAACCAGAGCTCCGAGATTCAACTCGGTGACCGCAAGACAGGGTCCACATCTAAGAATGCGTCGCAATCGCAATGGGACAAGGCAACGAACTTTGGTGATCAAAGTCACCTTATTTCCTTTGCTGGAGCCCCCGAGGCAGCGGACTCTCTGTATAATGAAAATGGTATCCGCAAGACAGTTGCGGTAGAACAAACTGTCGAGAGCCGAGACAGCGATAGCCGCTGACCAAGTTAGACGCCGGGCATGACCGCATGAAGATGTATATCTTATTATAAGAAGCCATATTTAATCATTCAAATCATCATTTCATTTCTTTTTGTGAAAATATTCTGGGTATCTGTGTGGGCGGGAAAAATTATCGCACAGAAGGATTCGGATCGAATAGACCCGAGTTGTGCCACAGACCATCGAGGCCAGCGTCAAATCCTGCGGCCCACGATGCATCAATGAAGGGCCATTGGAACATGTCCGTCTCGAAGTCAGGATGCCCTGCTAATATAGTGCCGTCTCTGTTAAAAAGCGAGTTATCGCCTTCAAAACTGGGTGACGATGCTGCCCGGTGTATGTTATGTGAGCTTTGGGTGTTTCCAGGCTCGGAACTCATTGCCCTTGGGCGAGAACGAATGTCACCATATTCATCGAGTGTTCCTGCTAAAGCAAACCTTCTAGGGCTATGCATGCCGGACTCGGGGTGTGTCTGAGAGTTCTTCACTGTTTCGTAAAACCGGTTTGCTTCTTGTACAGTTCGCCACTTTGATTCTAGTTAGTGTCAAGACTGCTAGATGAATTTGAATTTAACTCACCCAGCTCCGACCGACTGGCCATAGTTTACTGAGTCGCTCGAGATAGGCGAGATTCTGAATTTTCTCTTCCTCTGCTCTCTCGACTCCTCCAGGATAGCGTGCTGGGGCGATAGTACCGTACATATTGATGTGCACCGCGACAAATACGCTGAACCCGGAGTAGGGGGTCATGACTGCTGCTTTTGAATTTTCAAGTGCCGATAGTACCCCTCCAATGTTCTGTGCAGCTTCAAATAACTGCTTGATTGTGTAAGGCTCGAATTGGTCATCGTGGTTCATGTCGTGAAAAACGTCAGAGTGCGGTTTGAGATTTGAGAGAAAGCGATCGCGGTGCAAAAATAAAATACTTGAACAGGGGTCAATGTTGTTTCGGAGCCATTTGTGGGCGAGAAATAACTTACCTCATGAAGTAGAGTAGATTTATGTAGGCAAACAGCTCCCCATATCCGAGGGAAACATGTGCTTGGGCGGCTGTGTCTGGGTAACGGACTGTCCTATCCTGGAGTGACCTCCATTCGTCCAGCTCTTCTTTGAGCCGTTGCCAATCCCGATGAAGTGGCGACGCTTCGGAATCGTCTGAAGTTAGAGAAGCAAGAGCACGGCGATGTTCATTTGCAAATCTCAAGATCCGCACAAATATGTCGAAGCCACGGGTAACGATCGTCAGACCGTGCTCAATTGTTAGGTTTCTTGCAAGACTGCTTTGCTTGTTCATATCGGCCGGCATCAGCCTCCTTTCTGGTACCTGGTTAAAGGCGAAATCTCGGTCGCTAATTGGAAGCGGGACTGAAATGTGAGAAAATGATAGAGCAAAATGCTGCCGAGCTCCGGAGCTCAGTTCGCAATCTTGCGCAAAACAAACCCAGTAAGTGCGGACGAGCTGTTCGTATTGGGTTTGGGAAGCATGGAATTCTTGGGGATTATGCTCCATGCTGTCGTCGGCCATTTTGAGAAGCGATTGAATCATGTAGGTGGCCATGCCTGGCAGTGTCAAATGTCAGAATATCCCATAAATGATAGAAGGCTCCAGATGAACTTACCACTGTACATCCAAGCCTGGTATGGGCGCCCAGTCCCCCATTCATAAAACGAAATAATAACTAGTGATTGAGCGAGGTATAATGAAGGAGCCTCGAGGACACGGTGCGCAAGATTTCTCCGGGCATAATCAGCGTAGATGTCCTCATCCCCAAGCGCATCCCCGGCCATGAAACGCCTGCACAGAGATAAAAGGGAGGCAATGAATATCGGCTCTATGGATTCGAAATTAGAGGAAATGTCGGAAATTAAAGATGGGTAGTGCAGGAAATTCGCGACCGGGAATTTCTTTCGATATGTTTCGACGGCACTGATCACAGTGGCTTGCGATAAGGTTGAGATCGGATTCTCCTGGCTGTCAACGAGATTACCAGGTGTCATCCTGCTGATGCTGTGATCGCTCTCAAGCGTTGCAGACAGTTCGGAGGTAGCCTTTCGCTTCCGCGAAGCCACGGATTTCGCGTTCCCTTTTGGCTTGTCTGGCCTTGAAACGCGGGGATCTGTCAGGCGCATCCCTGGGCCTTGAGTCGTTGGCAGCGCCCACAAGGAGGGCTGCCATCATGGACACATTTCACTTTGGCTCGGCTAGTTCAAATTAGCGAATGTATGAAGCATAGGCATAGTGAGACTTCGGAGGATACTTACCGACAACCATCACAAGATATAGATAACCTCATTGGGTGGGTGGATGTCGATAATGATCAAGCAAGGCTGCAATGGCAGACCTGCAGAGTTTCCTTGCAGATTCCGACAATTCATAGGAGCGGGTATTATCGGACTAAATCGATGCTGCCATTTAGGGGACTTTGAATCTTGGAGCCTGCAATGGAAGAGAGGAGGAAGGTAGGATTCCAGAGCCAAAAGCTAAGGCGTCGATCTCGACGGTCATGTGATTTCGATCTATAGAGTGCTTATCTCTTACTTGTGTACAAAGACCAGGATTGCCAGGCAAATATGATACTTTCATAGCAAAAGGCCGTGTCTCATTAAATTCTATTAATTATGCAATAATTATGCAATGGTATATGAAGACCAAGCTCTAAGTGGCGAATTCCTTAGTCGCCGCCGTCCACTGCCTCACCCACGCATTGAACTTGTCGACCTGCAACTCGTCCGTAGCCCAAGATGTCACGATTCTCACGACAACTTGACCATCATCTAACTGATCCCAGATGTAGAATCGGAACCTATCCTGGAGCCTTTGAGCCAACTGCTGCGGCATCGTAATGAAGACTTGATTTGTCTCTGTTTCCGCCGCCAGCTGGTATCCTAGCTCTTCAAAATTGGCGGAGATCTTCTCAGCCATGGTATTGGCATGTGTGGCCAGCGTGAAGAAAAGATCGTTTTTGAACAATTCCATAAACTGCACACCCATAATCCGTCCCTTTGCTAAGAGTGCACCGTGCTGTTTGAGATGGAACACAAATCCCTCGGCGATGGCCTTCTTGACGACAATCGCCTCTCCCATGAGCGCACCAGCTTTGGTGCCACCGATCCAGAAAATATCAGCGAACTCGAAGATATCTCGTAGAGTCATGTCGTTTTTCTTTGAGCACATGGCTGTTCCGATCCGAGCACCGTCCACCAGAAGTAAGAGGTTCATCTTTTTGCACAAAGCAGATAGACTGCTCAGCTCGCGCTTAGTATAAACCGTACCGGTCTCCGAGGCATTGGAAACATAAAGCAGTCGAGGCTTAGCCATGTGAGGGAAGAATTGATTCTGTTGCAAAGCCTTTTGCAAATTTGTCGTCGTCATTTTGCCGTCAACGGCCGGGACGAGGATAAGCTTGTGGCCGGTGGCTTCAATTGCGCCAGCTTCCTTGCAGGCAATATGGCCCGAGTCCAAGGTAATGACAGCCTCATAGGGTCGTAAACAGCTAGCGATTGAAATGAGATTTGCTGATGTTCCGCTGGGCACGAAAAAAATGTCTGCCTCATCTTCGCCACAGTCGATTCGCTCTCGAATCATTCGCCTCGCCGCATCTGAATATTCATCATTTCCGTAAGAAACTTGCTGGGTAGAGTTTGTGCGGAGAAGAGCTTCAAGAATTTGTGGGTGGGCTCCTTCGCTGTAATCGTCCATGAGACTGTATGGAGGACATGTCTCGTCTTGGCAGAGACTGGTTGACGGCATGTTCAGAAGTCACTCTAATGGGTTTGATTGGATGAAGAAGAATGTAGAGTTGTCGAGTAGAAGAGAAAAAATACTGAGATAACCTGTCTGACTCAAAGCTTGTGTGGCGATTCGAGTCCAGACTAAATAAAGCAGTCAAAGTAGTCGGGAAAGCAGAAGCAGTGGGAAAGAATCTCGGGAATAGCGGACCCGCGATTGTTAATAGAAACCTTGCAGTTCCCGTTCAGGCTTGGTCCAGTAATTGTATTACTAATTTGTAATCAAATTCAGGGTGTCTTCGTACCCATTGTGTCAGCAAATACGTAATAATGATACCGCACCATGCCTATATTGGCAGCAACAGACCCACAAGCCGAAACTGAGCCCGGGAATACTGCCTATTCCCGAGCAGATCCCTTGCTTGATCCACAGACCAGGTTCTTTTCATGTAATGCGTGGGCCTGAATATTGGAGAACGCATTCTTGTTGAGGATCAAGCACCTATTCGTTGATTATTGATCAATGATCACGCGCCTCCATCATGGAGAGACAGCTACAGTTGAGTTAGTATGTAGACTCGTGGAACGCTGGAACCTTTCGGAACTCCGGCGGTCATCTTCTAATGTTTCACATAGAATCCGCGTCCCGAAAATAGCAAATTTGCACAAGAACTCGACATTGGCAATGCATACGCGGGGATGCCAACGTTGCATTCAGGTTACGCGGGGATCTCGTCAATTTGGAGATCCCCCGCCGTCGCTTTCCAGCGGCTTGTGGGGATGTTGGACCGTTGGGTTGGCCTGTCAGATATGATCAATTAAACTAGTAAGGAAACTCTGGGATGACCTATCATTTGTTGCAAAGATAGCATTTCAATGAGAAAGATTGAATGAGCTTGGATATCAACTAACCTAGGGCTATACATGGCTATTTACAGATGAAAGCACGCCTTACCAGTGTAAAACACTAATGTACAACAAACTCCCGCAGATAATGCAAGACTGGAATCCGAAGAATTCCCAGCCAACGGAGAATCAATCGTCTTCTGACTGACGCAGGCGGGTTTCTTCCTCAGGTAGCCCTTCTTCCAATTTAACTTGCTGATAGAACCGGACCCGCCAGCCGCGAATCAGCATGAAGGCTCCCATGACGGTGGCCATCATGGCGAGGAGGAGAACGAGGGCGAATAGACCGCCAATGTTGCGGACGGCCGACTGGGCCTTTGAGAGCATCTGCGTCGCCTTGATAACCTCTGCCTTTGCAGTTCCATCTGATGATGGCACCGGGCCATTGTCAATGTCATTCTCATCCGCAACGCCATCTCCGCTCGGGTAGAGCACGCCGGGATCTTGTGGTTTGGGAAGTTCTCCGGAAAAGCCCGTCCAACCAACAGCGTCCCAGTCAGGGAAATCAGTTCGGTGGACGTTCGAAGAGCCGAGGGCCTCGCCGTTGCGATCAATGGCCTCGGCGGTGATCCAGTCCAGGTAGCCACGGGCAATAAACATGGTTTCAAAGTCAAGTTTCGTGACGTTGCCGATGAAAACGGGGTTGTCGAATTGAGACTTGCGCGCGTAGAAGCTCCATGTAGCCACTTCCGTTGCTCCGTTCCAGCTCACCCAGATTGAAGTTACCAGGTTAGTCTCATCTGTGCCATGAACGGAAGCCACCATGTCCGGGGGAAGGGTCGGGCGGCCGACGAATTCATTTTTATAGGCGCGATAGTTCGAGAAACGTGGGGATGTGAAGCGGGCAGACATGACCAGCTCACCATCCTCAGTAAATTCTGAGATATAACCACCTTGACTCCAGCAAGCGAACATGTTTTTGTTCGGGAGAACTTGAGCGTTTCCTCGGAGCCGGGTAAGATCTTCGTCAGGCCGTTTGTAGCGCCGGATTGCCCTCGCTGTCATGGGAGTAGTACTGGTTTCGATTTCAATTACCAAAGCGGATGAGACACTCTCGTCGTTAAACTCTTCATCGGACGCATTGTTGAGTAGTGAGATGATATGGTGAGTTCCTTCCGAATGGAGGAATTTGGCGTCATGCTGCTTCGAGAAGATGAAGTCTTGGTCGAATTCGCCATTACGTCGACCATTTAATCGCCACATAATGTGCCCGTCGGCTCCAGATACCATATAGAGGGTGTTAGTGAATCGCATGGAGAGTAAATAGTCACCGGCGCTATTTTTGTCGACTGAATTTATGTGCACGTAGTCCCAGCCAGGATCTTCTTCCACGCGAGACAGGGGAGAGTAGTGAACGGTCTCGGCCAGCGAGATCTGATTGTATGATTTCCACTCGTGGAGAACCTGGGCAGTAGTGAGGTCCAGTTCAGCGAAGCCGCCGACCTCCAGTTGTGTTTTTTCATCGGGACGATTGTACTCCTCCAGGGAGATTTCTTGCGTCGTATAGGTGGTGACAAGGGCCGACTTGCCAGTGTCGAGGACATTGAATTCGTGGATATCGAACAATCCGAGATCGCCTCGCAGTGCGACCTTTCGGATGATCTCGAAGTTGGGATTCATCACCAACCCGTAGCCTCGGTGGTCGTCATTGAAGGGAAATTGCTGAATCATCGAGATGTGAGTTTCATTGCCGAAGCTGTTGATACCTCTGAAGTCGAAGACATTGTGGTTGTCGAACATTATGGAACCGGTCCACACAAGACGCTAGAGTAGAGACCAGGATTAGCATTAGCGCGTGTTGGCATTGAAGGGTATGGATCCGAATCAGGATCGGGTCGGGATCGAGATCGAGATCGAGATCAGGGTGACCCGAGGGACGATGAACATACCCCGTCCTGGTCGTAGATATGCGGGCCGACCTGGAAGGGCTCGAAGGCACTGGTCGGGCCATCCGGGGCAAAGTGCAAATAAGGCGACACGAACCAATACCCGGGGGCAGCACGGTCGCGATCAAGGTGTTCGATGTCGAATTTGACCGCCCTGACATCCGGTAGCTAGGAGGATGACGCGATCTTAGCATGGGGTCGTCGCATTGTGGGTTGCACACCACTTACGGTCTTGAATGTCATCAAATCATCATCCGTGTGTTCCCAGGCAGCAGCTACATTGTGCAAGCACAGTAGCAGCAGGCCGGACCAGAGCATGATGACGGCTGGGGGTAAAGAAGAAAGAGGGAGGAAAAGAGCGACAAGATTAGAAAAGAGTGGCCATGGAAGAGAAAGAAGGAGAGGGAGGGATTGAAGGTACGAGTATCCGCCACGGGGAGATCCTGGGAAGGCTCAGACACAGGCTCAAGCACAAGCACAAGCACACCGGCACAGGCACAGCACTTGACCAACGGGGGGGTGGGCAAAAAGGGCCGACCTAGCCCCGTTTCAAGAACAAATTCAAATTCAGTGATGAGACTGGCCCTGCTCTGGTGGGGCCAACAGGGGTAGGCCAAGCATTTTGGAGTGATGACGCGGGGCGGCAGACAGTGGACTCTGGTAGGTTGAGGCAGACAGCAGAACAGCATTGCCAACTGCCAGTGGAGGAGGTTCTTGGCACTGGTATCTACGAGTACGCGTGTACAAGTACACATGGAGTACATCATTCCACCGATCTTCTTCAGCTTCCTTCGTATGTACAGAGTGTACAGAGTGTACAGAGTGTACAGAGTGTACAGAGTGTACAGAGTGTACAGAGTGTACAGAGTGTACAGAGTGTACAGAGTGTACAGAGTGTACAGAGTGTACAGAGTGTACAGAGTACAGAGTACGGAGTATACGTACACGCAATGCTCTTTGATCCACTAGCGCCCTCTAGCGGGAGTTTATCCCTAGCCCCATTCCGGCATTGCTTGTCAGCGGCCCCGTAAGGTCTCCGATCCGGAGATGTCATGGCTCGGGTATGAGTAGTGTAATTCCAATATCGTATACTCGTAGGTAACTGGTTATGTATACGAGTAGGTACGAAGTATAGATCTTCCATCCTTAGTGGAGCAACGTGGCGCAGCACGCATACCAACAACCAAACGAAATTGGCCGAACAGACCTGGGCAGAGAGTGATGACGCTCAGGGGTGACGATCATTTGGTGTTTCCCTCACGTGACCGACGAAGTATACTACGAGTATACTATCTAGTAAGAGCATGGTATTCAAGTTGTGTCCTGAGACTTGGTTCATTTTGGTTACTATGTTTTATCCATGGTGCTTTCACAGACACTCTAATATCTTATTGCCAGCCTCGCAGAAATATGCTTATTTGAAGAAAAAAAAGTGAGATCAAAAGCCTTGTTCGATGTAGAACTCGACTTCTCTAGCAGAACATGGGCCATGCCCTATGTTCCTTCAATATATCCATCCAACTGTATACACGCTCCTTGTCATAATTTTCCCATAACCGGGTCATCACGCATCTGGCTACCTGGAAAGGCGGGAGGCGGCAGTTGTGGTCGGACTTTTCGAGTAACTCCAAAACCGCATTTCGTTTGTCCTTCGTCATCGCTTCGCACCCTGCCATGAATACTGGCCAAATTGTACCAGGGCCAGTGTGATCAACCGTCGGCAGCTCAGCGTGTAAAGCTTGCAAGGAGCGAATCACAATGTCCACCTGCCCTGACAGAATCCCCGGGTGGACCTTGCGGACTCTCCTATAGAACAATATCACCAGCCCTGCATTGAATGCCTTGACAATATGGGCGTAGGCATCTGAGGACTCATCTGGAGAGATAGAATTAATGCTGGGGGTGATATAAGAGTGAATAACGCTCTCAAGACGGTCGCTTCGCTCTTGAAGAAATCGCGATATCTTAGAGTCCACCTGCATGTCTGCATTTTGAGCAGCCCTCACCTTCTCCAGTACGTTCGCTAAGCGTGTTGTTTGCGAGACCAGACTCAGCCACGTCTCTGAAATCCCATAAACCTGTTTGGCAAGTGTTGCTGCAGATTTTCGGGAGTCATGAAGATGGATATCGGGGATATCTTTCCTGGAATCTTTTGGTGAGTCGATATCGAGATCATTCTCCGAATGTTCCATATGAAGAAAGTCATCATGGTGTGTATTTCGATCGCTTATAGATTGTGAGGACCCTCTCATACACTCGGGGCGACATGTCTGGATTTGATGATTAAGGGCATCAATGAATTGTTGTGAAGCTGTGAAGTCTTGAAGGACGTATGTGCTTTCGCCGACAATTCGCAGCCATGTATAGACATTCACTAGGAGACGGCTTTTATATGAAGTTCTTGGCTTGTGAATTCCTCGGCGACGGAGGAGTCTTTCTGCTTCGAGAATAAAGTATCGTGCATCTTGTTGTTGACCATTGAAGTTCTAGATATGATTTAGCAAAAAATTCAGGGTCTCATACGACACAGCGACCCCTTACCGCAGCTTCTATAATCGCGCACATTGCCATCGTACGATCCTTATATTTAGCTTTGGGCATGCCAAGTGGCTCTTTCATAAAGATGAGTGTGTGCTCTTTGGCCTCATGATATGATCTGGTGGCAACTTGGTGCCAATGCGTGAGTTGGTTGTCTCCATCCGACTCAGTGGATGGTTTCTTTGCAAGAAAAACGGCGGCACACGTGAGGAGACTGTATAGATTGGCCTGTCGAGCGTGACTGACCCCCTGCGATTCTAAAATAGTCAAATCTCCAATTGTAATTAGTGCAGCTGGGAGGTTCATTATGTTCCAAGATGCTTTCTTTCCAAAGGGAACAATTGTTAATTGAGGCACAACATGCTTCTGGAAAATATGCAACAAAAAAGGAGCATCACCCAAGATATCGACGTGGGTCGTTGGGTTACTAGCAGTAGGAGTAGTTTGCAGGGTTTGGGATAGCGACATGAAATCTTGACCTAGATGCCCTGAAGATATCTGGAATATTTCGGTAGTAGAGTCAAGTATCGTTGGGGAAGATAAATTGCATGTTGTATCGTCGTATGTAAGCCAATCTGGATGGGCGGAGAAATCGGGGTAGCTCATTAAATTCAGGGGAAAGTTGGAGGTAACTCCATATAAGTCGTCATCAAGCCCAAATATAGTATCAGACCATTGTAAGAGGTCGTCTGTAAGCTCTGGCAGTTCTGCCGGTAATGGCGACCCTCGAACTGGTAGTACACTGTCGGCTGGAGGCTCAACGATCGGTTCAAGTTTGGAAGCACCGCCAGGCGGCAAGTCGCGTACTTCCTGATCGACATCATTGAAGTTCAGGACCGCAAATGGGCCAATTCGAATGTCATTAAACGGAGAAGCGAACGGCCCACATGATCTTGCGTCAATCTCCTCGATGGTCGAGTCAATTGAGCCTGAGAAGAGGCCTTTATTCAAGATAGCCCCCATAGAAACCCGGGATTGCTCTAAAAAACGAATCAGCCAAGCAGAATTATTGGAGGGTGCCCATTCATGCACGATGGACCTATCGCATATTTACCTGAGTATAGATGGCGTCTCAGACCATTTCGTTTTAGATGATTTCCCTTCACAGATGACTTCTCGTAGGTAGCCGACTGTCCCGTTTCTTGCATCCACCGCACATCGTTTGAGAATCCTTCACACGTGTAGCCTGACGCGGAACATGTTTTACATGCGGGTCGCTGCTGATCACATTTAACATGTCGACGTTGGCATGTTGCACAAGCCCCGAGCAGATGTGTTCGGCGGGATCTCGATCTACGGACCATATTGACCACAGAGGGCCAGCAAGACTCGGAAAGTTATGCTTCGTCGGTGTTTTTGTGTTTTCTGCTGCAATGCCATTGATTGACCGGATCCATGACAAACACATGCCTCTCTGATTGAAATCGCGCAGTCCGTCAACCCCGTGACCCCGCCCGGAAACACCTTCCTTCGATAGCCACACGATAATGAACATGGCCCTTGGGCATTTCCCATCCTCCCCAACAAATCCCTCACAAAAACCACATTTCGATAAGTGCTCGAATAAATTTGAAGTTGAATTTTCCTCATATCCAATGGGGGGCATTTTTTTTTCGTTATATATCATTTCGAAAAATAAGCCTACTTGCAATTAATACCCCAGACGAAGCAATCGGCTATCCTGCCGGCTCTCTGTGTCCCACTAGCGTGCCTGAGACTCTGGGTCGAGTATGAGCACCCTCGAAATCGTGTTAAATGGTAGCTGACTAGTATTTAATTCCAGCAAGACCATAAAGCCAATATGAAATTGTATTAAATGAGAAGCTACTATACTCATTTATCAGGGGGCGTTCAAGATGTTTGCTTGACTAGTTGGTTAACTTGATTGAAACATGTGTATTGAAAATTGCGAATCAGCTTTCCGTCTAAAGACTCTATGAGTCCGGGTATCTCAGAAAAATCAAGCCTATGCAGGCTTAGCACTCTTGCGAAGGGTAAGCACAGTCTGTACATGCTCAATGTTAAGGTCCTTCTTCTGTGACCAAGCCAAAAGACCCGCAGTCTTGAGCATATTCTTAATCTGCCTTCCATTCAGCTCCACCGCGGCAAGACGATCCAGCTCTTCCTCCGAAAAGACCTCAGTGTTCGCAGACCGGGCAAGGAACTGGCACCAAACATGGCGACGCGATGTGAAATCGAGATTCTGGTATGCCAGAGAGACATGAATTCGAGACTCGAAGGCTGGATCGATCTCGTCAGCACGGTTGGTGGTTAGGAAGAGAATACCCTCATAGTATTCGAGCATGCGAAGGAAAATAGAGACCAGCTCGTTGCGCTGCAGGTCGGCTGAGGTACGAGCCTCCATAAATACGTCCGCTTCATCAAGAAGAAGGACGGCGCCCCATTTGGGAATCATGCGGAGGATATCCTTGAGGTTATTCTCAACCTTATAGGCCTCGCTCCCTAGATCGCCGGCGCTCATCGCGTACAGAGGAACTTGCATGACCTCTGCGACACTTTCAGCGGTCATAGTCTTGCCAACGCCAGGGGGCCCGCTCAGCTGCATGATAATACCGCGACCCTTGCCCTGAACGACATCATCGAACGACGACATGGAGTGAGACTTGGCGAATGCGAGGATGAGGTCCTTGAGGTTCTCTTGCTCTTTGGGGAGGACGAGGGAATCAAAGGCAGCCGAATTCCATTGAATTTCCGATGTGCCGTCCAGGTGGAATCGTAGCCACTCTTTGTCCCGTAGAGAGTATCCCCAGACTGAAGAAGATGCGACGAGCCGGTGTTCATCAGTTAGTTCCTCAGGAAGGTCACCCCAGACCCAGATGCTCTTGTGGGGGTGGAAAACGTTGAAAGCCTCGGTATCAATAATGATACGACTTTTGACATGGAACTTCTTGGTTTTATCGTCATCCAGGAATCCAGTGGCAGTGCCCTCATATTGCTTGTAGTGGTAACCCTTGTGCTGCTCCCAGACCTTTCCACGTGCGATCAAGCTTTCGCGAATAGACTCCTTGTCAGGATGGTAGCGCAGGGGGAAGGCAGGCAGAGAGGTGATTGGAGTAGTGCCGATAAAGACAGGAACTTCGAATCTATCGTCACTGTATCCAAAATCATCACCATCAAACTCAACAAATTTGACTTCGAGAATGATCGCCTTGGTTCGGCAGTTGATTGCATCGTCGGTGAAGAGGTATGCGTTCCGGCGACCTCCTACGGTGGCAATGACCACATCATCTGGCTCAAAGAGAGTCCATAGTAGAGAGTGAGTAATGACCCCATTCCGAATCAGGTCCTTCTTTCGTGCCAGGATGTCGCGCAGCTCCTCCTCCAGAATTTTGTGCAAAAGATCCACATGCTCCTTCGTAGTCTCGTCCAGTTCCTCTTCTTCCCGAGCCTTTAAGAAGTCCTCCCATCTGTGGACCAAGGGCTTGAAAGGAGCGGTAAATTCTAGGCGTTCCAGTGTAACTGTGATTCCAGGGTATCCTTCCAAGACCTTGCCGAGGAAAGTCTTTAAGAATTCACTTTGGATGACGATGGAGTGGATTGATAAACTCTTCCGGCCATCGTAGCACTTGACATTTCGCACGATCAGGGCATACTGAGCCGACTCCGCATCTTCTGCAGGATCGATGATAGTTTCCGGCAAGTCTTTCGACCATGATGTCTCTTCATTCTCGTCGGGTTTGGTCTGATAGACATTGTGCACGCCGCAGAGCGTGCCGGGTTTCGCGTACTTGATTTCCTCATCCTCGGATTCAGCTTGACATTCACGCATGTTAGACTTGTGTATCTTGTTTGTAATTTCTTCTTTGTCTGCTCAGTGATAAACGTACTTGGAGTATTTGAGTCCTTCGCGATGGGCTTTTTGGCTGTGTCCGAGGCCGCGGCCATGGTGGGTGCATCCGAGTCAATCGCCATTGTGAAAATATGCCTGACGCTTGTTCGAGGAGTATTGTATTTGGAAGAATGTAAGAGAGAAGGAAAAAGAGGATGAGATCGAAGTGAGGATATGAATTGAAGACCCAGCTGTCGGCAGTGAAGTTGTTGAGCTCCCAAAAGCAGGGGGATCTGAGCTCTTTTTATACCCGTAGAAAGGAGGGATCTCGCAAATATCAGCCTGCGATGCATCGATGCCTAGAATTCTGCATAAACCGTGAAAGCGGGGAGCCAAAAAAGTGTCCGACGTTGAGATCACCAGTCAGCTCACCCACTCGATGTATGAATGCACATGAATGCATACATTCGACGTGGCACTGGGACCCACTCCATCAGCCCCTTCGAAAGCCTCACTCTTCCATCTCTCGCTACAAGCCGTACGGTCAATTGAGTCAATACCACTTGGTATCAATTAGTCTTTCCAGTTTACTGTCCCTATAGGGTGCCCGAGGGCTGTCAGCCTTGTTGATGGCCGATCGCCACTGTACTTCCAACGCTTTACGGCAAGTTTGGCCCCCACCAGCCCCGCTGGTGACTCAAATCTAGATGAGGCTGACACTGCAGAAACAAAGCAGCGAGGGACATCCAATGGATGCCATGCAGTCAGATTGACCCGCTTTCGCAGCCCAACAAACCATGTAGTTCCCCGTAGGGAGTAGGTGAAACATGAAAAAGTCCGGCGCAGAGCCTCAATGAAAGAGAAAAAATAACATGTGCTAGTCTGATTCAAAATACTAGTTAGTAGTAATATCTTTATAGATTGCACTCCCAGAACTACTAGTAAACACTCGTAGAAAATAAATATAGAAGGGATTGGTTTATACACCACTAGTAGTACTAGTATTTACTAGTTTAGAATTTACAATTTCCGATCGAACCTACCAAAACGTCCAAATCCAAGGCTAAGACAGACAGCACTGGCAGGTGCCCACAATCTACAAGATCAGCAACTACAAATATGCTTTGGTATACTTCTCCAGATTCAGCAGGCGCGAACCTTCTGACTTCTAGGTACTAATACAGACTCGGAGTATCTAGTTTCAGGCTTAGAAACAGACCCACGGATGTTTGTGGCCACCACCACAACTTTAATCGCCATCCACACTTTGCAAGCGCCGAATAGGTTACTAGGAGCATGGACAAGGTGCTGACGGGCCTTTGGGACTTACACTTCTCGGCTTCCCTGGTCGTTTCGCCTGCTTCAACTGGAAGCAGAAAAAGAATGACCCGTAAGCTAGACACCATTATCCCTTCAAAAACCTTTTGGTGCCTTTCGGGGGCTGTTTCACGGGCATTAACAGGCCTTTCGTTACAAAGTACCAACCAACATGATAAAAGCCATAGAGCTACTTCCCCTAAGCGGCGTGATTGTACACATAGGAGCCCTGGAGGTAGAGGAGAGGAAAGCATGAAAAAAAATAACCCTTCACTGGTAGAATGTCCATTTCTAGCTGCCAATGGCGTTATGCCTTTACCGCTGCCAAAGAACTTGAATACATCGTCGGCGCCAGGGTCCAGCTGGGCACCCGGAGGTACTAGAATATCTGGAAGGACATTCCTGAGGATCTAAGAATTCCTTAAAGGAAATTCAGACTATCACTTTAGACCACTCCGTTACACTGACAGTTTCTGTAATTAAATTAAAGATTACGAACTTAGTACCTTAGAAGTTGTGCCGGGGCAAATTATCAGTAGCCTGGGAGGATTTTCCCAGATGATCTTCCACTTCTTGAAACAGAAGGGGTAATATTTCTGACCGCCGTTGAATAATGGCTAAGGCAATCGCCATGCAGTCAGCCCAATCTTCACAATTAATAAAGCCACCAGTAGTACTCCATAGGAAGAAGGTGATTAATGAAATACTCCGGCGCGGAGCCTCCATGAAGGGAAAAAAATATTTGTTCAAATCAATATCTCGCTAGATCGCGTCTCCAGAACTAAACACCGCCTGTCTTTGTTCGTAAATTCATCGTTTCCCAAGCTGCAAAACACCAAAAGCATCATATGGTCTATGCTCTTCCCAATGTGCACCAACTCTCCTCTATTCACTGTTCATTCGCCCTTCTCTTTTCCCATGGGAGAGGAGTTTCAAGTTTACTCGGTCTTGAAGGCGAGGAGACGGTGCTTGAGGGAGTCCTCGGTCTCCTGAATGTCCAGCTCGCGAAGAACACCGGAGGCCACATCGTAGATAAGACCGTGGACCTGGAGGCCGCGCTCCTGGATGGCGTTCAGGACGGCACTCTTCTGAGTGACGACACTGAGACCCTCACGGACGTTCAGCTCAACCAGCTTGAGAGCGGCCTCCTCGTCCGACAGGGACTGCAGCAGGGACAGGTTACGCTCACGCACCTGGCGCAGAGGCAGCAGCCACGGGTCTAAGATTCCCAGCTCCTTGTTACCCATTGCGGCGGCGACGCCACCACAGGAAGTGTGGCCGCAGACGACGATGTGCTTGACGCCGAGGTACTTGACGGCGTACTCGATGACGGCGCCGGAGCTGAGATCACCGGGGTGCATGATGTTGGCGATATTGCGGTGGACGAAGACATCGCCGGGCTGGAGGCCCAGCATGCTAGTCTCGGGGCATCGGGAGTCGGAGCAACCCAGCCAGAGGATCTGAGGTTTTTGACCGGTCGCGAGAGTCGGGAAGAGTTCGGGGTGATCGCGCGCGGTGTTGGCGGCCCAGTCTTTGTTCAGGCGGAGGCCATCGGTGTACTTGTCTGCTCGCAAGCCAGCCCTGTTAGTCTCGGGATCGGAGGCATCAACAGCGGCACTGGAGGGCTTGTGGTTTTTGCAGGAGAGGGGGGCAGAGGTCGCGAAGGGAGAGGCGCGAGGCAGGGATAAGGTCAAGGGTCGACTGGCAGCGTTGTGCGCCAGAACACTTCGAGCCATGAGGCCGGGTCGAGCGGCCAATCCTGCAAGATTCATGACGAACGGTGGGGGGAGGGGAAACATGTGATGTGTTCGGGGTAAGGGCCCAATTATATTAAATTAATTTGGGAGTATGTCTCACCAACCACCAAAGTACAGAGTAGAAAGATCGATATCTCTCCTCCTGTTCTCTGGACTTGGGGGGGGAGGGGGATGGATGTGCGAGAATAACCGAAGAGCGTGCGGGAATCCAAAGAAAAATGTTGGGGAGGAAAAGAGAAGAGCAGAAAAAACAAACCGGGGGGACTCCCGCTAAGGTTCACGAGGGTCTTTTCAACTGGACGTACCTGAATCCATTACGCAGGGGGGAGAACCGGGAAAGTTGGGGGATGGAAATAGAGGGTGGAGGAGATAAGAGAAGAGGAGAGGAAAGAAGGTAAATAGTTATGATGGGAAGAGAGAGAGAGAGAGTCAAGTCAGTCCACGGACTTGCTGGCCGTTGCAGTTTTGGTTTTGGAGGGGCGAGTCTTCCCGAGGGGAAAGGCGAGATCGGCACGTCTTTTTCGTTGACCGGCGAGTTTGGCTGGGCTGGGCTGGGCTGGGGGGTTTGCACTCTACTCAACATTTTATTTTATGATACCTGTCATTTCTAGGCATTCTTATGCTTCTTGCATTGCTCGTCGAACATCCTAAACTATCCATATATGCTTTTTCACCATCGCGGTGCGCAAAAAACTCTATCAAAATCATTCATCCTTCTTATATTTACCATTCAACCCTACGCGGCTCCACCACGGCCACCAACCCCGAGGAGTGTCTTCTTCTGCTCCTCGGTAATACCTGCAGCCGGTAGGGGCGAGCTCCGGCAATAGTCGGAGGAGGTAGGAATCCAATCTCAACCAGGTAAGAGGCATACTTGCCAACCAGCTCCTCGGTCACACCAGCACCGGCAGATACATCAACGCCAGACCAAACCGCATCGGACTTGAGAGCAGCGGCCGCGTTACGGTCATCCAGCTCAGGGGCCTTGGTATTCGCCGGCAGATCGTTCGTGACGAAGTGATAAAGTGGCATCCTGCATTGCGAGAGTTAGTTTGATGAAGCCCGCATCGGGTGGTAGTACAAGTTGGTGAAACTTACAAGGCGTGCTGAGAATCCTTGTCATCATGCTTGCCGTCGTTGACGTACTGCTCAAGGGACAGAGCCCAGGGAACATAATCAACCTGCGGAACATCGTAGCCGTAGAGCTCGAGCGCGCCCAGGAACTGGTTAAAGCGGAGGCGAGGGTGGCCCGTAACATGGGCGACTCCAACAGGGTCGCGAGGCGGATGGAATGCTGTGGCAATGACGATTCTCGCAACATGATCGCATGGCACCATGTTGACACTGTTGTTGACTAGGAGGAACATTAGCATATAAGCGCATTGCGTCAATGCGTGGATTGGGATACTTACTGTTGGGTCGGGCAGAGAGCTGGATGCATCCACGGAGCATGCGAACAAGGAAGTCGTCTGTGTTGGTAACAGCGGTGTTGGAATCACCTCAGGACGTATCCGGAACGGATGATGGTAGCCCTCAGACCACGGCGGCCGGCTTCGCGGACAAGGTATTCACCAGCCCACTTGCTTTGACCGTAACCCGTACCGAGACCGACGGCACTACCCTCCATGTCATCCTCTTCGCTGACACCATTTCCACCCTCGGCAATGCTGCGCTCAGAGAGTTCCACGTAATGATCCTTGTCCAAAGCACTAGTAGAACTGACAAAAGCAAGTTGCTTAGCCTTGCCAGTAGCGCACAGCTTCAAAGCATCAATGGTACCCAGGACGTTGGCAGGTCGCAGGGTCGAGTAAGGGTAGACCCAGTGCACAAGGGCACCGTTGTGAATAACCGCATCAACACGGTTAGCCAAGTCATCCCAAGTAGCATGGGGCAGACCGAACTGGGGATTTCCAAGGTCACCGGAGACGGCCTGGAGTCTGCTGGTCCAGGTCTCATCCCAGAATCCATATGCGCGGCAGGTAGAGCGGACTCTCTCAAGGGCTTGCTCGTCGCTCTTGGCGCGAACCAGGGTAACAACCTTGGCACTAGGGGACTTGCGAGTAATCAGGTCGCGCAAAATATGAGCGCCCAGGAAACCGGTTGCACCGGTGAGGAAAATGGTCGGCTCGCTGGCGAGCATAGGTTCACTACGGGTGGGGAAGCTCGCAGGCAGCTCGTTGACCAATTGCTTCGCATCCTTAGAGTACTCATCGTTGGGCGCCTCGGCCGTGGCACCGGCGTTATCGCTTGTGGCGAAGGACTCCGAGTCAAGCAGCTTGTCGATCTCACCAGCGAAGCCCTTAAGTGTTGGGCTGCGGAAGATAGCGCTCATACTAATATCGAGAGCACGCCACTGACGGCGCAGGTCGAAGAACATTTGCTGGGCGAGGATACTATGGCCACCCAGATCGAAGAACGAGTCATCAGGTCCAATCATTCGAGAAGTAACATTCGGAATACGCTTGGCCCAGATCTTAGCAAGTGCTTGCTCGGTCTCACTCAGGGCCTGCATCGCAGAAGAGCGACGGCGCGGGGCGGCGGCACTCAATTCTGCGGTGTCAGGGAAGGGGAGGGCAGGCTTGTCAATCTTGCCATTGGGGTTCAACGGCATGCGCTTGAGAGGAATGATGACAGTCGGGACAGCATACGCTGGGAGCTTGCTACGCAGGTGATCCCGGGCGTCGTCGCGGAGGGGACGGAAGCGACGAAGTAAACCGACCATGCCATCCGCGGAATCGTCATCCTGGAGGCCCTTGCTTTCAAGCCACTGGGCCCATTTGCTCATATCGGGCACGAAATAGCTGACCAGGGTCGGCTCCTCGAACTTGTCACGTCGAACAAGAGTCACATTCTCACGAACCAGAGGGTGGCGAGAAAGATGGGTATCAATTTCACCGAGCTCAATTCGGAAACCTCTGATCTTGACCTGGCTATCAGCTCGACCAGAACATTCCACGTCACCAGAAGGAGTGTAACGACCCAAGTCACCACTGCGGTAAAGACGGTCTCGAGGACCAACGTAGAATTCCCTCCAGGGCTCGTTCTTGGACTCCGCCTTATCCTTCTCGGTCCAAACCTCGGGCTTCACGAACCAGTTGGTCAGGAACTTGGTGGCATTGAGGTCCGGGGTTCCCAGGTAGCCCTCGGCGAGACCAGCAGCACGGACGTAAATCTCTCCAACCTCACCAATTGCGCAAATGCGGGTGGGGTCGTAACGGTTGACGACGAGCATCTGGACGTCGAGCATACCGTGACCGGCGGGGATAACTTCCTTCATGGTATCGAGGAATCCCTCTTGGCTGGAGTAGCTAGGGATCTCGTAGTAACTGACAGCACGCTGGGTCTCAGTGGTTCCGTACATGTTGACAATCGCAGTGTTAGGAGCAAGGCCTTGCAAGGCCTTGCAATCTCTCTTTGATCAAAACGTCTCCGACGAAGAAAGCATGGTGAAGAGCGGGGAATTGCGCGGAGGCACCACCGACCAGAATTTGGCCCATGGCTGGTGTAAGATGGGTGATAGTAGCACCATAATTTTGCATCCACTCGGCAAGCTTCTCGTTTTGAATATCCTCCTTGGCAGGGACCAGCAGCTGAGCACCCAAAAACAGAGGGGTGAAAATATCACGCTGAATTGGGTCGTGAGCAATTCCACTCAGCATAGTGAACTTCTCATCGGGAGTAAGCTTGAAGGTCTCAGACATCCAAGGGAAATAGTAGGCCAGGGAAAAGTGGCGACCACGAACACCCTTTGGACGACCCTCAGAGCCAGAAGTAAAAGAAAGTGTGGGTGTTGAATCAGGTCCAACAACAACACCGACGGGCTTGGACTTCAACTCAACCTGCTTGGTGAAAACATCCTGGCCGTTGATAGATCCACCAGTCAGAGTTCCGTCATCGTGAAGAGCAAGAGCCGACACCTCAGTGCGAAGCTCCAAGGTCTCATTGATAAAAGATCGAACAATGCCCGAAAGTTCACCAGCATCCTTGGTAGCCTTGGCGATGTTGATCAAAGCACGGGGGCGAGCAACATCCAAATAGATGTTCTGACGCTCAGGTGGATAGGCCGGGTCAATGACCGAGAATGTGGCACCAGCCTTCAAGATACCCATGACAGCAACCACCAGGTCCACACCACGGTAGGCATAGACCATGACGACCTCCCCTCGTTGGATTCCAGATTGAACGAGGTGGTGACCCAAGATATTGGAAGCCTCGTTGATCTGCTTATATGTGAATTCACGGTGGGCTTGGGAGCTCGACTTGGTCTCCACCACGCAGAGCTTCTCCGGGTGCTTCTCGGCATTCGCAGAGAAAATGTCATGGATGGCACCACGGAACTTGGACCAGTTCAGGTCCCTTGTGGGGTCTGGAAGGAGAGCTAGCTGATCATCGCTCATGAGATCAATACGGCCAACCGCCTCCTCAGCGCTGGCTGTGCTGGCAATTTGGGCCAGCTGCTGAAGGATGGTGGCTATCCGAGCACTAGAGAACAAACGCTGGTTGTAGTAGGCTCCGAGTTCAAGCTCCGATGCAGATCCGGTTGTGGCGATGTTTATGACTAGATCGGTGTTGTCGAATGTGTTGGCAGGGTACTCCTGAGAGGCAGCAGGGGCATCATATGCGGCGAAACGGAACAGAATTGGAGTTTGTTCGGACTTCGACTTGTCCTGGATATAGGAGCGAAGGCTACCGAGAGGGACTATTTCGGAGGCACCTTCTTGGAATGCCTATGGGGTCATGATATTAGCGATGGAACAGAAGTTATGACCTGCTGGAAGATATACTACATACCTTGTCGACCTTAGCATAGAGCTGGGCAAAGGTCTCGGATGCCTCGTAGGGCACACGAAGGACAAATGGACGACCATCGTCGCCAACGCTTGTGCCCACCGCGATATCTTCGTCACCAGTCAAACGAGCCACCAGGATAACCAAAGCAGTCAGAAAAACGGTGAAATCCGAGGAAGATGAACCAGAAAGCTTCTTTAGGGCCAATTGAGCTTCCTGGGGCAGTTTGATAGATTCAAAGGCCTCGATGGCCCGCTTCCCAATGCCATCCTGTTGAGTATCTGGGTAATCGCGAGTCAATGGCGACACTGTGAGATTGCTGAGGCGCTGGGACCACCTTTCCAGGCGATCCTGTAACGAAGCCGTTCCCACAGCCATGATTGATAGCTGTGTTCAATTGCTTCGAGAGGAATGACAGAAAGAAAGATGAGTCAAGTACCTCCGCCGGCCGGAGGGAGGGGCACACTGAGAAAATCCGCTTTCGCCGCGATCGGCCCGCGGTGATTGGTCAGTCGCTCTTTCCCCCACACAATTTTAGGTCTCTCACCGCCTTGACACCTTGACGCCGCTTCTTGCGTCACACAAAGTACTAAACAAGGTTGATACTAGTAGTAGTACTATGTACAGCTGGTGGCATATACCAGCTTGTAGCTTTTAATTTTTAATTTTTATATTTTATTTTGGTCGGTTACCTTCACCACTCAACTCCTCTCTTCTGTAATGTTGCGAGCTCGATCCGTGGATTATCGCTAAGGAAACAAGTGATGATGGAATGGATGAGTCAGCACTGATGCCTCAGGCGTCAGATCTACTCCTGAAGAAGATTGGCATCAGGAGAGCTGGTCTTTGCATCTGACATCATTGGATCTTCCCAAGTCAGGAGACTAAGGCGATTCCATCCGATCGCATTGATTTCATCCGATGGAATAACTTTTTGCTCCTTTTTTTTTGTTCTGCAACTGCGCTGCCTCCTTACCAAGTTTGGAGCGCGTCACTAATTCCGTTGTATTCTACAACGCATACCAACCAACCCCAGGAGAAAGCAGTATTGCGGGCGAGACTGCACATTTCTCTCAACCTTCTCTCCATTGCACCTCCACGGCATTCGCCCAGGTCTAATTACGCGCAATCAACGAGTGAAAGATGATTCCGCATCGAAGCACAGGCCTTCTGGCCATCATTGTTTTTGTCGCCCTGTTACTCTTTATCTTCTCCTCGTCCCTGTTCCCGACCCTGACCCTGAACCCACTGCCGAAGGAGAAAAGGAAAAACAAGAACCTGCCGGTCCGCGAAAATTCCTCACAGTTCCGCAGCTCCCATCGCTGCCCGAATTCCACCTGCCGTCGTTCCGTCCCCCTTCGCACGAGGCGCCCCCAGAGCAAACAAACAGTACGAGCGGCGAGGCAAAGTGGTTCTCCAACTGGGAATGGCTGAACCCATTCTCCTCGACTATTACCCTGGATGAGGATCGATCAGTGCTTCCGCCCTTGCCTGAACGCCGCGCAATCTATACCTATTATAATCCGAAATACAATCCAAAGAAATACTCCGCCAACGATTTGAAGAAGAACCAAAATTCTGATGGGGAGCTTCTCCTATCCTGGCGGCGGGCATGGTACGCGCAAGGATTCCGCCCCGTTGTATTGGGGCCTGGAGATGCAATGAAAAATCCTCACTATGAGTTGGTGCAGAAGCTTCAATTGACTCCGGAAATGGAAAACGAAGTGTTCCGTTGGTTGGCATGGGGCCACATGGGTAGCGGTCTACTTTCTGACTTTACCTGCTTCCCCATGGCACGCTACGACGATCCTCTTCTTATTTCATTGCGACGGGGCACCGAGCCCGATTTCATTGTACGATTCGAGAACTTCCAGGGTGGTCTATTTTCTGCAGAGAAACATCGCATCGACGAAGCGATCGATGTCAGTGTGAAGAACCTGGCCGACAAATCTACATCTCTCGCAGAATTGATGCCCGTCGAATTGTTCAAGGTCCAGCAGCCAAGTTCTTTGGCATACTATAAGGGTTCCAGCATCAACTCCCGCTACCCAGAGGTGCATGAGAAGATTGGTCAAAACCCTGCGGAAGGTCGACTTCAGCTTGTGAAACTTATCAATGCCCATCTCCATAACACCTTCCAGAACGCATATCCTGCCGGGTTAGCTGTGCTCAAGCCTTTCCCCCAGCACACCACCGCCTTGGTGGAACCAGCTCTCCGACTGGCAAAGACCCTGATCGAATGCCCCGAATCCCCAGTGCCCAGCTCTTGCCCACCAAACCTGCCAGAATGCCGTCCTTGTGGCTCTGCAAAGCAACCTATGCGCATTAGCCAGCCTACCAGCTTCAAGAATACACCTTTCCTCTTCACTATCGGCACTCTACCTCACCCTTACACACTCGTTACTCTACAAAAAAGTTCCGAAGAGGTTACCGTGCGACAGATCCGCCGTGAAACTGAAAGAGACCCTTGGTTGACAGGTGTCACTCAGGATAATCTTGGCGAGGATGGACATGAGCTGAGTGCCTCATACCGAGGGGTGATGTTCAAGCAATTCGTTGCAGGTGACCAGGCCATCTCGAACTCCCTTTGGATGACGGTCGAGTCCTTGCCCGCCGAGGCAGGCCAAAGTCTTCCCTCGGAGCTCTTGGACGAATTCGAGTGGCAATTTGGCTTCAAGATTCCCCGCGGAAGCACAATTGATCCTAACACCGCCGGCGACAAGGAAAGCGTCCAGAACAAGACCCCCAGCCAACAGGGTGTCTCTCGCGAGTACGAACTGATCAAAAGGGCTCGGGAGGCAATCAAGAGCCAAGATCCTAACCGAGTCAATATCAAGGCTGTCTCCGAAGCCTGGAATATGGCGGACACCGAGGTGTGGCGATTTGTGAAAGCGTATCGGTAAGTTGCGAAGTTGTGTCCAAGCAACAACCAGTTCTTGTACCTGCCTATACTGACACTTTCTACTCTAGTGCCCGCAGCGTGGTCGAACGCAAACAGTGGCAAGAGGAGGAGAGGAAATTCGCAAGTTCCTCGCAGTGATCCTGGTGAGCATGCTGGATGTTCTGTACTACTTGCTATAATCCCATTTTCAGGTGGAACCTGTGTTTTTATTTTTATTTTTTTTCTTATTTTTTTTTTCTCTCTCTACATCTCTCCCTCCCCATTATTTGAGAATCGAGCATATCTGGCGCAATTGGAATAGAAATCAATGTCTTTCTTTTTGGTTCGATTTGGTCAATTCCACCCGATTTTAGTAATCTCGAATCGCTGTACAGTATTGATGCTTCTTGTATCGGATGGTGGCGATCCCCGCAGTTGAGGTTACGACGGTGCCATGGTGGAGTGCGGTGGGGACGCGCTTGGGCGTTTGTTCCTATCACGCGGCGGGGATTGCACAGCGGCCCAGTTAGTCGACCCTCGGCGAGTGTCATACCGGCGGCTCTGATAGCTGATCTCACCCGCAGCTCACCCCTCTTTGTTACACTTTCGGATGGCGACCTGTGACTATTCTCGTTTATCGTGGCGATAACATTAGGAAGGTCTTTGCGGTCTCGACATATATGACTTGCAGTATGATCCAGCTACACCGCTCGTGATAACTCTCACCTTTGCTTGGTTTGCTGTCTACTGATTGCCACGACCTGTCGCGATGGCACCTGGCAGCAGCATCGATACTGACTCCGCGGGGTCTACTGGCGAAATCGAAAAGCCATCGACCCTGTTCGAACTGACCGAAGATTGGGATGACACTATTCGCTTCTACCTGAACGGCACCAAGGTTGCCCTCGACACCGTCAATCCAGAGGTCACGCTTCTGGAATATCTACGAGGAATAGGTCTGACGGGAACCAAGCTTGGATGCGCTGAGGGAGGATGTGGTGCTTGTACAGTGGTGGGTACACATTTCGGCATCCCGGTCGATCCCCTTCGGAATGGTTATCAGCGCGCTAATTCCAACTTGCGTTGGCTCATTAGGTCGTTTCCCACTTCAACACCACGACAAATAAGATCTACCATGCCTCCGTGAACGCGTGCCTCGCCCCCTTGGTTAGTGTTGACGGAAAGCATGTCATTACGGTGGAAGGACTTGGCGACGTGAAGAATCCCCACGCAGTTCAGCAGCGGATCGCGATTGGCAACGGTAGCCAATGTGGCTTCTGTACTCCAGGAATTGTCATGGTGCGCTCTTTTCAACTCAAAGAACTGCAAACCTATTTTTTACTAACCCCACGAAAGAGCCTTTACGCCTTACTACGCAATGATCCAACTCCCGATGAGCATGCCGTGGAGGAAGCTTTCGATGGTAACTTGTGTCGCTGCACCGGCTACCGACCGATTCTCGATGCCGCCCAAAGTTTCAACTCGCGAAATAACTGTGGCAAGGCTTCTGCAAACGGCGGATCCGGTTGCTGCATGGAGAAGAAAGAGGGCGGCGGTGGTTGTTGCAAGGGATCCTCAACTGAAGGCGACAAGCTTGGCCCCGACGAGCCGACATTCCCTAGGCCCGACTTCAAAGCATACAGCCCCGATACGGAGCTAATATTCCCGAATGCTTTGCGGAAACATGAGTTCAAGCCACTTGTCTTTGGTAACAAGAGGAAGAAGTGGTATCGACCTGTAACGGTGGATGAATTGCTCAGAATCAAGAATATCCACCCCGAGGCTAAACTGATTGGCGGAAGTACCGAGACTCAGATCGAAATCAAGTTCAAGGCCATGCTCTACAAAGCCTCAGTCTACCTTGGCGATATCCCTGAGCTGAGGACATTCAAGTTTCATGACGACTACCTGGAGATTGGCGCCAATATATCACTGACAGACTTGGAAGCCATCTGCGAGCAGGCTGTCGAAAAGTACGGACCAATTCGCTGCCAGCCCTTCAAGGCTATCAAGAAACAGCTGCACTATTTTGCGGGAAGACAAATTCGAAACGTCGCATCCCCGGCAGGTAACTTGGCTACTGCTTCGCCTATCTCAGATTTGAACCCCGTGCTCGTGGCAACAAATACTATCCTAGTCGCCAGGTCCCTCTCGGGTGAAAAAGAAATCCCGATGACCGAATTCTTCCAAGGTTATCGTAAGACAGCTCTGGCCCCAGACGCGATCATTGCCAGTCTTCGCATTCCGGCTGCCGCTGAGAAGGGCGAGCATATGCGTGCTTATAAGCAATCTAAGCGAAAGGATGATGATATTGCCATTGTTAACGCCGCCCTTCGCGTTTCCCTGTCTGACACCAACGATGTGACCAGCTGCAACTTGGTATTTGGTGGTATGGCCCCATTGACGGTATCTGCGAAGAACGCGGAGGCTGCTTTGATTGGCCAAAAATTCACCAGTCCGGCAACTCTTGAGGCTGTGATGAGTGCATTGGAGAAAGACTTCAGTCTTCCATTCGGTGTCCCCGGTGGCATGGCCACTTACCGCAAGTCTTTGGCGATGGGTTTCTTCTACCGTTTCTACCACGATGTGCTCTCGGGGATGGAAGTCAAGGCCGAGGACATGGACGAGGACGTGGTTGCAGAGATTGAACGTGCTATCTCGTCTGGAAAGCAAGATAACCAAGCCTCGGTTGCCTATCAACAAAAGATTCTTGGTCAAGCTAGACCTCATGTTGCCGCGCTTAAACAGTCAACCGGCCAGGCGCAATACACCGATGATATCCCTGTTCAACAGAACGAGCTGTTCGCATGCATGGTTCTTTCTACAAAGGCCCACGCGAAGATTTTGAGCGTCGATGCCTCAGAAGCACTGGAAATCCCCGGAGTGGCTCATTACATCGATCACACGGATATGCCCAGCCCCGAGGCAAACTGGTGGGGAGCTCCTGTTTCGGACGAACAGTTCTTCGCCGTGGATGAAGTTAGAACTGCTGGTCAACCCATTGGTGTTATTTTAGCAAACTCAGCCAAGATTGCAGAACTGGGAATGAGAGCCGTCAAGGTTGAATATGAAGACTTGCCTGCAATCCTGAGTATCGAGGAGGCTATTGAGGCTGAGTCTTTCTACGGCCATTACCGCTTCATCAAATGCGGTGACACTGAGGAGGCATTTAAGAATGCCGATCATGTCTTCGAAGGTATTTCTCGCATGGGAGGACAGGAGCATTTCTATCTGGAAACGAATGCTTGCTTGGCAATCCCCAAGCCGGAGGATGGTGAAATGGAGGTTTGGAGCGGCACTCAGAACCCCACTGAAACGTAAGTTGCCGAATCATATCATGGTGTGTATCGAAGCTGACAAGTCCGCTATAGACAAGCATACGTTGCTCAAGTCACTGGTGTAGCCGCGAACAAAATTGTGTCTCGCGTGAAGCGCCTTGGTGGTGGTTTCGGTGGCAAGGAATCGCGATCGGTCCAGCTGGCTGGAATTTGCGCTCTTGCTGCCCACAAGACCCGACGACCAGTCCGATGCATGCTCAATCGTGACGAGGATATTATAACTTCAGGCCAGCGCCACCCCTTCTACTGCAAGTGGAAGGTCGGTGTGACAAAGGAAGGAAAGCTTCTGGCTCTTGACGCCGATGTCTATGCCAACGGTGGCCACACACAAGATCTGTCTGGCGCCGTTGTGGAGCGAAGCTTGTCGCATATCGACGGTGTGTACAAAATTCCCAACATGTTTGTCCGTGGCCGGATCTGCAAGACAAATACCGTTTCGAATACTGCATTCCGTGGCTTCGGTGGTCCTCAGGGCCTGTTCTTTGCCGAATGCTACGTCTCGGAAGTTGCAGATCATCTCGGAATCTCAGCGGAGAGGATGCGAGAGATCAACATCTATGAGCCAGGTGAAACCACGCACTTCAATCAGGAGCTCAAGGATTGGTACGTGCCATTGATGTACAAGCAAGTCCTGGACGAGAGCAACTACTACGAGAGACGGAAGGCCGTGGAGAAATACAATGCATCTCATAAATGGTCCAAACGGGGCATGGCTATCGTCCCAACCAAGTTTGGTATCTCATTCACAGCCCTCTTCCTGAACCAAGCAGGAGCTTTGGTACACATCTACCACGACGGCAGTGTGCTTGTTGCTCACGGTGGTGTTGAGATGGGCCAAGGTCTTCACACCAAGATGGTAATGATTGCTGCTGAGGCTCTTCAAGTGCCTCAGGACAGTGTTTTCATTGCCGAGACCGCCACTAACACTGTCGCCAATACATCTGCTACGGCCGCATCGGCCAGCTCGGATCTCAACGGCTACGCCATTTTTAACGCATGTGAGCAGATTAATGAGCGACTGCGTCCTTACCGCGAGAAGATGCCGGGTGCTAGCATGAAGGAGCTCGCACACAAAGCATACTTCGACCGAGTTAACCTATCTGCGCAAGGCTACTATCGCACTCCCGATATTGGCTACGTATGGGGCGAGAATTCTGGGCAGATGTTCTTCTACTTCACTCAAGGTGTCACCGCCTCAGAGGTCCAGATCGACACACTGACTGGAGACTGGACTTGCCTGCGTTCCGATATCAAAATGGATGTTGGACGCACTATCAATCCATCCATCGACTATGGTCAGATAGAGGGTGCCTATGTTCAGGGACAAGGTCTTTTCACCACCGAAGAGAGTCTCTGGCATCGTGGGTCCGGTCAGGTCTTCACCCGCGGTCCGGGTAACTACAAGATTCCCGGTTTCCGTGATATTCCACAGATCTTCAATGTCAGTCTACTCAAGGATGTTGAATGGGAGAATCTGCGCACTATCCAACGTTCTCGCGGAATTGGCGAGCCGCCCCTTTTCATGGGAAGTGCTGTATTCTTTGCTATCCGTGATGCCCTGAAGGCCGCACGAAAGCAGTGGGGCAACGAAGAGGTCCTTAGCCTGGTCAGCCCGGCTACCCCAGAGCGCATTCGTGTTAGCTGCTCAGACCCTATTTTGGAGCGGGCTCGAGTTCATCCAAAGGATGGCGAAAAGAGCTTCTTTGTGGCTATTTAAAGACCAGATTGTTCGTTTTATGATTTATGTTTGTATGACAATAAACCCATCAGGGGAGTGTTCTATATAGGCAATCAAATTGCATTGATGATTTATCTACAATCTACTTATTCCTTCCTTAAATTTCAAATCTGAAAGACCATTACACAGGTGTTGTTTGGATTCAAGTTGTAATATTTTCATGTAGTATTTTGATTCTTTGGAAGATGCTATAGATCAACTTGAACGCCGATAGATGTGCAATTCTCAAGCAAACTCCTGAGGTCGCCGGTACCTCATGCTCTTAGTACAAAGAAAGGAATTTAGAGTCCATGCGACTCAGGACTATCACCTCTTTACATCATATTCAACATAGTTACTCTTCCTCATAGAAGCCGAGTCAACATGATAACTTCTGTGCCCTGCAAATCCTAGCTTCTCATTAGGGAATTCAGATCCACCTCGTGCCACGGAGCTCTCCACTGGGGTTTCATATTGCGGCGTCGCATTGATAGAGCCAAGGCTACCCTTCGGAACAGCAGTGAGTGGGACATCTGTGAAGCCAGCTCCGGATGAACTTGGAGCTGGTGCAGGATGGTTGGGTATCGCGTCCATAGCATGACCGCCGCCCTCACCACGGATTCGATCATGTCCCCACCAGAGCGCCATGGCGCGCACGACACCGATCAGGACGATTATCACCCAGAGGAGAAGAATACAAGTGGCAATGATGGCTTCGACTCTGAGACCGGCGTAGAGCTTGTTGATTACAGACGTCACGACTTCGCTGATCTTGTTGGAGGTCTCATCGCCGGCATCAGCTAGGAAACTCTCTGATGGATCGGAGCCGTCGGAAATACTGCTCTGTGCGCCGCGAGAAAACGTGTCGTTTGGTAGTAGGGGGAAATCAATGTGAGCATGGTCGCTGACCCACGTCAGACCCTGCTGCACGCTCTCAACTTTCATTTCGATGAGACAATCGAAGATGCCCTTAATGGGCACGTAGAGAAGAGTGTCGCCGAAAGCGTCACTCAGGACGCCGTTTGTCTTATTAATGAAAGCCTCGAGAGTGTCATTAATTGCACCGGTGGTTGTATTCACCCACCCCAACACGTTATGATTTAGATCATCATCAAAATCAGTGATCACCTTGTTGGCGCCGTTTGACCAGTCCGCTGAAGCATTTTGAAGCGAGTCGACAACTTTATCAGCGAAAGCACCGACCTCTGTAGTCAGTGCTGGGACTGTCTTTGCAACTGCCCTGAGCAATATGTATTGACACAGGCAGGCGAAAAGGGCGGCGAGGGCGAGGGCCAGAACTAGGAGTGCAGTTGGTGATGTAGCATAGGCTATTGCCCAGCGAACCAGGATTTGACGACGACTGTTGCTGAAACGGCTGGCAGCCTTGATACCTGCAGCTGCGGAGTAAGGTCTTGAAACGATATAAACGACATCCATCGGGTCGTGGGTGTCCTTGCGCACCAGCTGTGAGCGTTCATTCATATGTCGCCAACGTCGGATTTCTTGCCATGCCACAGGAACGCACGCCAGGATAGCAGCCACGACCAGCACGGCAATGAAGATTCTTTTGGCGGTGGAGACGACATCCCTACCCCATCAAAGAATCCGTTGATACCATCATTATCATTGCAGAATGTCAACTGCTTCTTTTGGGGAACAGGAAGCCCCGAGCGGTCGAATGTGTAGTTTCCCAGGTGGAGATTGAGCAGCTTCTTGACTTCTTCGAAGGGCAACCGAATGATCTTTTCGGTCTCGTTTTGAACTTGGTCGAAAGTGGGAATCGAGCTGTTGAGTTTGTCGAGCTTCTCATCTATTCCTGATGGGATAGAAAGGTCGATGCCTTTTATTGAATCGATAGTGCTGGTCAGATTCACGTCGGGGAGGTCCTCACCCAGGAGTGTGGCAGCTTTGTTGACTTGGCTCATAATGTCTCCGAGTGCACTCTCAAATTTGTCCGCTGTTTTCGTAAGACCGCTGCTGATATCGTGTAGAGTGTTGTTTAATCCATCAAGCACATCTTCAATCAGCCCGGTTGTCACTGATACAGTTGCGCGCACAGCCAGTGTGATAAGGCACAAATATGTCTGATACATCATTTTGATAACGAAAAGAATGAGCTCTTCCACGCCTGTGATGGTCAACAGCAGCATTGATCGCATACCGTGGACCGCCTCCTCGATACCCGAAGCGGTAAGTTCATTGACGCCCTCAGAAAGGTAATGCGGCATCGACGCCATCGCACTGCCCATCGATTCCACCGAAGTACAAGCAGAAAGAGCTTCTCTTTTTGCGCTCGACATATCGCTATCCACACCCGAGGTTGCTATGAGTACTCGGACGAGCACAAGTAATAACAAAATCGTCCAGCGATTGATCCACACTTGTGACAGTCGAGCTCGCAAGCCGAGATAAGGAGTGAGTCCGTCAGGGTGTGATGGAATTACCCGTCCATCATTTGGATCATGTGCCCCGTATGGGGGGAAGGGGAAAGACTGATCGCCCTGATCGTGAGAATATCATATTGTCGAGTAGTCGTAAATGAGTCGTATCTTTTGCGCCAGCGCTTTGAGTATAGGAAGGGAAAGGAAAAGAGTCGGTGTCTCAGAGAATATTTGAAAGATGGAACACAAATAGGTAGTGAGATAGGAAAGTAGAGAGTAGAGATCTAGGCTGAAGGTTTCTATTCAAAGCCCATATTGTGTATTGTCAAGATTGATTAGGTATGGGTAGTGAATGGTGAGCGGATTCACTAGAATGTGTCGTAAGGAAAGGAAAAGGAAATATGCAAGGTGACGGCACCAGAGAGGATGAATAAGAGATCAAATACAAGGTCATCGACGGCTTCTCTGAAAGAATCTTTGAGTAAGCTCGGCGCCAACAATATCTACAAAACGCCCAATCTTTTTATAGAGAGGGTCCATCGGTAGCAACTCGCAACCACGTGACTCCCAGCAACCAATCAGGCAGGGAGACACCAACCTGGTTAACCCAAAGGATGAGTAAAAATAAACCCTGCAGACAGGTGACCGGGGTAGTGTTTGTTTCATCATCTTGAAGAAAGGCGCGTAGGTTTGTGTTGTTGCAGACAGCGCCGGCTGCCAAATATAGCCCCACCCGGCGCTTAGCCCCTGTCGATGAGAGCCAATCATTGGTAACCTTGAAGGCAAGGCTCAAACAAAATCCTCTTTGATGATTTTATCCTCTGGTCTACAAACCTGCTCATAGGTCGGAAACTAGGCAGCTGATCTTTGTTGAGTTGAGACTCGTGGTTTGAGAGTCTTTGTCATTGTTTCGGAGTCTAGCTGTCGTATTCCCAGGCAACTCACCCCAAACAGCCAACCAACCTTGCAACACTAGACCCCTATGCTAGTGAAATGCTTAAAAATTTCTGCAAGGGTTATCTCTTCTGCCTTGAATGCTAGATAAGCTGAGACTCAGTGAGCGCGCTGGGGGAGGGCATGGCGGGTGGGAGATCGGCAGTGGGGCGCACGCGAGATGCGAGATACTACGTAGTTTTGTACTAACTATGTAGAGAGCACCACCAACAAGAGCAAAGGCGTGTGACTATATAAATAACATTTAGAGAGTACTACTAGTATTAGGGAAAGAAATGCCATGCTACTATGTATAAACAATATCCGAGCCATAGTACCCCAGGGCCACCACCTACCTACTAGTAGTAACTTGAATATATCCACCTCAGGCTGCCGGGCAGGCATGGATACCTACCTAGGTACCTATATCATAGTACCATGATGTAGTAGTAGTTATACACTACTAGTACTAATCGAACTAGTATGGAGTAACCATTTCAAGTTATTAGTTTAAACAGTACTTTCTTAATATCTATCCTTATATACTATTACTACCCAATTAGTACTAGTCTTATTAAAATCTATAAATTTTGAAATCCTTCCAATCCAACAGTTGTCAAAACATCGAGTTTCCTGCTAGGTTATTGTTCAAAGGAGACATTTCTTCAATCCAGTCTGATATCACTACTACTCTGAAGCTGAAAGCGCAGCTGGGATCACGACTCGGGGCGATTTAAGTTGCCCCCGACTTGTTGCCGTGGATCTGACATCAACGTACACTGCTAGTGGATTATTCTAAACAGAAAGTTCCAACAAAACTTGAAAATCGAAACTATTAATGCTGGTAAAACCTACCATAGAGATCTAAAATATCGAGTTGGTCAACGAATGAAAGAATAAAATAAAATCATCAGAGAATAAGCATGGAAATGTAGGGGACGGGGGAGGGCTCTGATGCCTGAGCCCAAGGTCCCATTGCGCGAACATCCAACAAACTGGACAAACGATTACCTCTCAGGCACCAGAAGTAAACAGATGTCACTTAGTAGATTTTCCCTTCACAACCTTTAATCTCTTCGTCACTCCACCTCGCAATCCTCAACTCTCCGCTCCCTGAGCTTCCCATCTGTGTTTGGCCCAGATCTCTCTTTTCTCACTCCCTCCCCAATACACACCCTCGGAGATATGAGTACCACTACGTCGAAGGGCCCCGAGGGGAGTGAGGATTCAATCCCCAAATCGACCGAGCCTTGCGCAATGAGGCTGACGATCAGGAATTGGCTCTCGCACGAGCGATCGTTCCAGGTGGATCCCTACTCAAACCTAGAGCCCTCGGGCTCTGACTTCAATTACCAGATTGATTGGGTGATGGACCTTGTAGAATTCTCATTCAGCCTTCCTCATGACTACCCTGATACACGAGAGGGGCTCCTTCGCAAAACCCAGCAGCTCATTCAAGGAGCCAATATCCTCGGCATGAGAACAACATACACGGGAGAGTCGGAGGTGACCACGGTCAAACAGGACTTGAAACGGAAAACCCACCTGAGGAACTTGAAAAAATGTCAGAATCGCAAATCCAATAGTTTCGGGTGCAACCTCAACTGGATTCGGCGTGCGGGACTTTGCTATCTCCAGTTTGAAGTTGACTCCAAAGACCACTTGATCGTGACGGTCGATGAAAATGATGCTGAATACCAAGGCGCTGGATTAGATCCCGTCAGAGCTCTTTTCCCCCTCTCCCAAAGGCTTACGACTAACTTTTGATAGGTCAAGTTCTCAAAAATCATGGTCCTCCCGGTTCGAATATGGCTACGGTTTCAATATTGGACTACACTGTATCGGAGAAAGGATGGATTTAGCATGCCAAACCTCACCACCGCACTTTATTTCAAGGCAAAGACCGCAATTTTGATGGCAAGGACCTCCGGTAACCTGCTGGCTGGAATAATTGCGAGCCGGTTTCAGAAAGCGCATCCGGACATAACTTCACATCGAAGGAAAACGAAAGGCAAGGGACGACTGAAATTAGAAAGCCAAGAAGAACATGGAGACGTGTCCAGTCTTAAAATGGAAAGAGGAACCTTGAGCCGAAAGCCCAATTCGCTTTCTGTAGTGCATACGCCGCGGAGTAAAAATGCACAGAAGAAAGCTCGCCAAAGGAAGCGACGACAGACCCAGAAGCGAGAAGAGATAGCAGCAACTTATTCTAAGCAGCACGAAAAGCTTGAAACTCCGCTCATGGCAAGTGAACCAGCCATTGATATCTCTCCTCCCACTTCGCTCTCGTCCGCTGAAAGTGTTCTCAACTCAACTGTTGTGGGGACTCCGTTCACTATATCGACATCAGGCACCTTTGACCCCCCAACTACATGTCCCCCCAGCACACTTTGGGTCTCTCTCTCCAACAATAGTTCAATGGACCTCCAGGCTCGGCGTAGCTTCTGTGAAGGATTTGTAGATCTTGAATCATTAAGCGACGAAAAACAAATCGTTCAGACGGCAGGCATCCACGGCAAGGAGCGCATGACAGACTACGTCAGGGACTGCGAATCTCAGCAACACTTGTTATGCGGAGCCAGTGCAAACACCACGAAAGGAGGGAAATTTCCAGTTCAAAATTTATCCTCGCTTATCGATAAAATGTCCGCGTTTGTTGGTGCAGTTCAATCCAGTGCACCTCCGATGGCTTCTTTCACTCCACCACTACCACCCACCACCCACACTCAACCCATCACACAGATACCTTTGAAAAGTCGCATGAGTTCATCGAGCTCGACCTTGACAGAAATGAAAATTGACAGCTCAACTGATCCCTTCTGCACAGAATGGACGACTTCAAGTTCTCCGAACCTGGCAGCAAACTCTCAAAGTTTCCCAGGTCCTATTGCTTCGGCTCTCGCGTACATCCCGCGGTCCATTCCAGCAAACCGACAAATGGCCCAGGATTCCATGAGATATCAAGCGTTAGCAAAGCCAACAGATGGGAGCTTCTTCATTGACTTGATGTACCATCACCTAACATGCCGGAAAAGCGGATGTCAAAAGATCTGCAATCTGTACGATGGATCAACGGTAATCTGCCCATGCTGTGGGCCATATTCGAAAACCAGATACTGCTGCGAAGATCACCTGTTTCTCGATCTTCAAAGCCACTGGGGCTCCGAAAAACTGACCTTCGATCACTATTGCGTTCCAGATTCAATCCCAGGCAATGTCCGCGAAAGCATTCCTTTGCTGATCAACATCCATGGCTGGGACACTCCTCAACGCCACCGACAGGCTGTTTGTTTCAACACCTCACATAAATCAGCTGACTATTGCGTTTTTAATTACAGCAGTCCCAGCGCTACGGGTCAGGAGAACCCCTACGCACAGCAGAAGATGTCTGTCGTGCCTCTCTATCACCTCAAGTTCGACGATCCCGAGGAAAGGGACCGATTCCGCAGATGTCTGGCTATCAGTCTCTTCGCTCCCGTGACCAATTCTAGATTGGTCGAGTACTTCTTTCGACTGGTTAGGGACAAGATGAAGAGGCTTAATCTATGGAATTGCTACAACGCAGCCCTTGTGCAGGACCAGATCTTCCGAGAAACTGGCCTCGATTTTCCTCCAAATATCGTGGGCCCAAAACACGCCTGCCAGACAGAATGGAACGGCAGAAACCCCAACCACTGCCACAATGCAGTCTGTTACAGTGAACGTCTACAATATATGATGGGAGACCAAAGAACGAGAGTTTTTCACCGATTGGAATGCGAACGGTTGGAATCTCTGCACTGGATCTTGCGTGTCAACCGAACTACTCATCCAACAGTGAAGAAAGCACAAGATCGAATGCGCGGTGTGGGCTTTGGCGATGTGTTACTCGAACACCAGCGCGTTTTCCGACGCGGTGAGCAGTTTGAAGGGGCAGGATCTGGGCCGATTGAACTTGAAGGGGTCAATTGCTGAAGATATGAAGGAGGTGGTCAGGCTTTTATTATTTTCGCGGTGATACTCACAATCTCAAAATTGAAATGAATACATGGATCTTGTATGGATTATAAGCCCCTGTAGGATTTACGTGAAGTTCGTATTGGAACGACCCGTGGGCGTTGGAATAGAGTTTCCCATGTGGATCTTGGCTCTAGTAGAAACAAGTGACAAGACAAAATCATGAACTTCAGGGACATTGATCAAATCCGAATGTGATAACGGATATCCAATCTCAATTTTACATCAAGCTATTTAAAAGAGATTTGTTCGATGATGTTGGGTTGGGCCCACTCTCTACGCTATGTGCCTCCACCTCTTTATCCATCTATAAGTAAGCATAAACACCTCTTTTCTCTAGGAAATATACTTCTTGAGACCCCGGAGTCTCTCCTTGGCAGTCTCAAGAATGTCATCATTCTTGCAAACGGCAAAACGGAGGTAGTCCTCCGCGATGTGTGCGTTCGCATCGGTGTAGAACTCTGTTGGAGGGATGGCAGCCACCCCGACCTCATGAATGAGGAACCAGCAGAGCTTGAAGTCACGAGGGCGGTTAGCGACATGAGGCGGGAAGGGATAATCGGCTGGCAACTTGACAGAGGCCATGTTAGCCAGCACGAAATAACCACCTTCAGGCTCGGAGTACTAAATGCTCGTTAGCGGCGTTCTTCTTTGAAATAACACATAAAAAGATACTTACGGGGATCTTCAGTTCATCAAAGACCTCGCAAAACAGCTTCATCTTCTGCTGCATCTCATTCTTGCTCTCTTCCCAGAAACCCTGCTTGTCTGCCTGCTCGAAGGCGACTGCGGCCGCCTCTTGAAGCGGAGACACACTGCTGTAACAGATACGGGTATGCGCAGCAGCGACGTATTTGATCAGATGCTCGGGTCCGATCAAGTAGCCGACGCGCCATCCAGTGGCGTAGAAGGCCTTACCCGCCGATCCCACGGTAAGGGTGCGCTCGTAAAGTTCGGGGGAAAGAGTCGCGATTCGGGTATAGGGGACATAGAAAAGACGGTCGTAAACCTCATCAGACAAGATGATGAGATTATACTTCACGCACAGATCACCAATGCGTTGGAGCTCCTCTCGGGAGAAGACCTTGCCTACGGGGTTGTGGGGTGAGTTCAAGACCTTTTTTCATCACCAAGTTAGCATTCGGGTAATAGACGAACGGTATAGGTTTAGAAACTCACAATCATCTTGGTCTTGGGGTTGATGGTGTTCTCCAGCTCCTGGAAATCGATCTTCCACTCCGACGCGGGCGAAGTCTTGGTCGCACCATCCTTTGGTGGGTGGAGGGGCACATATCGGATCGTCCCGCCGGGCATTTCGATGTTGCTGATATACCTATTTCCCACTTGTTGAGCACCCCGATAAACCTCGGAAAGAATGCCGAAACTCACTGGTCGAAGAAGGGCTCGAAGATGATGACTTCGTCGCCAGGCTCAATGAAGCCCATGAAAGCACTGAGCATTCCTGGTTATATAGTATCCTTCGTCAGCTGAATATTCCGGGATCGCACGTATGACTGACTGTCGCATAGTCTCACCTTCGTTGGCTCCAGTCGTGATGGAGACCTCGGTCTCGGGGTTGATTGTCTTGCCGAAAAAGGGCGAGTATGCATCTGCAATAGCCTGCTTGAGGCGAGGACGACCCTAGTTTACTGTGAACAAATTGTTCTGCGGTTTCGGTGTGTTCAGAACATGCTCACCTTCGTCGGGGAATATTGGTTGCATTCTACCCGGTCCAGGGCATCCTTGGCAGCATCAATTGCGAATTGGGGAGGATTGTAGCCACTGCAGAGAAGAAGATAGAAGAAGAGCTTAAGTTAGAGCAGTTCAATTGACAAACGACCAGGGCATGTATATCATATTCCTGATTACTCACAAGAACCCTTGACCCATGTTCACGATCGGTTGAACTGGCGAAGCGGCAGCCGCTTCATTGACAATCGACCTGTATGTGCAAGATTAGCGGTGCTTGCAAGGTGTGCGCTTTGCCAATTGATGGGCGTACCAAACATCCTGACGTTGGCCAGCCACTCTCGCTGCTGGCTTGAAAGGGTCGGGCCGCGCAGCGGTTGCCGACATTGTTCTTGCGCCGTAACCGGAGATGCGGGGTAGAGGGGAAATGGAGGCAAATTGTCGCGAGGGGCGCGTAGATCGAGCAAGGGAGAGAAGAGGATATCGAGTTGCAAGCATGGAGGAGGGTAAGTGCGGGGGAGAACAGAGCAAATTGGCAATGGAGTCACGGTCTCGGAGCCACGGAGTCACGGCGGATTGCGTGCTAGCTTTCCGAGGTCGGGACAGTTTTCTCCGCAGGGTACGAGTAGTATGCAGAAGTACTATGTAGTAGTACTAGTATTCGGAGAATACCTAGTGTTGAGCTGTTCCATGAATTGTTATTTCTTATTTATTGCTTGTTAATTATTGATTAATTCCATTGAATCCTACTATTGAATTATCGACTGCACTTTTTCTTCTTCCCCTTTGTATCCATGTCTTTTTTAGCTCTTCTCTCCTCCAGCTCTGAGGTTGTCAGGCACTCAGGCAGAAACTCCGGATCACGAGCTGACTAATCTACGCGTCGCGTCGCTTCAGCCAATCAACCATCAGAGTCATCAACCATCATTAAGCTGTGTCAACTCAACTGTACCAGTTCTACCTGGCCTCGCATGTACAACTCCCTTGCCCTACCCAGTCCAAATATACCATGGTGTCCTGTCCGATTTGCAGCAAGTCTGTTCCACAATTAAAGATCAACGATCATATCGATTCCGATTGTCAGAACTTCTTGGAAGACTCATCGTCCTCTCCCGGAGATCAGCCCTCGTCCCAAAAAGGCCCAGTACCCAGCATCTTCCAACCACCCTCTGCTCGGAAAGCATCTACTCAACCCAATACTACCAAAGAATCCCCCTCTCGCTCTTCCGTACCGACACCGCGCCCTCTCAATGGCAAGAGATCGTTTATGCAAGAGACACCGCCTCGAGACAAGGATACAACAATCCAACCAAATGGAAACAGTGCCGAACCACAAGGCAAGCGCCCGAAGGTGAACGCCTTCTACAAAGCAGCTCCGCTTGCTGAGCGCATGCGACCTAAAAACCTGGATGAAGTCTGCGGCCAGGAGCTTGTCGGGGAGAATGGCGTTCTTCGGGGGCTCATTGAACAGGACCGAGTTCCTAGCATGATATTATGGGGAGGTGCTGGAACCGGAAAGACCACCATCGCTCGGGTGATTGCTTCGCTGGTCGGGAGTCGCTTCGTCGAGATTAACAGCACAAGCAGTGGCGTTGCGGAGTGCAAGAAGATCTTCTCCGAAGCTCGTAGCGAACTGGGCTTGACAGGTCGGAAGACTATCATCTTCTGTGACGAAATCCACAGGTTTTCGAGGAGCCAACAAGATTGCTTCCTTCCAAGTGTCGAGTCGGGACAAGTAACTTTGATCGGTGCGACCACTGAGAACCCATCCTTCAAGCTTCAAAATGCTCTCCTTTCTCGCTGCAGGACATTCACCCTGGCCAAACTTACCGACGAGAACATCGAAGCGATTCTGCATCGCGCAGTGAAGGTTGAAGGTCCAAGTTACAATCCTACAGATCTGGTAGATGACGAGCTGATTCGCTATCTTGCCCGATTTGCCGATGGGGATGCCCGAACTTCCCTCAACCTCCTAGAGCTGGCTATGGATCTTTCCAAGCGACGAGGAATGACAAAGGAAGATCTAAAAGGCTCTTTAACAAAGACTCTTGTCTATGATCGGGCCGGGGATCAACATTATGATACGATATCCGCTTTCCACAAATCCATCCGAGGAAGTGATCCAGATGCAGCTTTATACTATCTAGCACGTATGATCCAATCTGGAGAGGATCCACTATACATTGCCCGACGTCTCATTGTCGTGGCATCCGAGGATATTGGACTTGCAGATAATACCATGTTGACTCTGGCCACTTCGACACATGCCGCCGTGGAGAAGATCGGTCTACCAGAGGCACGGATCAATCTTGCACATGCGACTGTTGCTATGGCACTCTCGAAGAAGAGCACTCGGGCTTATAGAGGGTTAAACAATGCCTTTGCTGCTCTCAACGAGCCAGGTGTGGCAGGACTGCCAATTCCAATTCACCTGAGAAATGCCCCCACAAAGCTGATGAAGGAGCTCGGCTATGGGAAGGAGTACAAGTACAACCCTCATTACGTCGACGGTCAGGTGGAACAGGACTATCTACCTGACCAAATACTTGGACGAACGTTCCTTGAGGATTTGGACCTAGGCACGCGAAGAGACCCTGCTCGATGGTCTGCGTAGCGGTAATGCAGTCAATCACCCGCATCCATTTTAAGCGAAACCAGTCAACGGAAGCGACTACTAAGCCGAGCTTAACGACGACTTCCTCTTTAGGACAGCTGGCAATCGTACTTTCCATATCTTGCCTAGTCGTTCCTGCTCGAAATGTTCCTCAAGAATAGTCAGGTCGACTCACGGATTTTCTTGAACCCCTATCGTTCTCCTCCCCAAAATATATCCCCCATTATCCAAACTGTCGGGGTTGGCCTAGCCCAGGTATATCAGAGATACGACGCGACTTGACTTACCTTGACTCTCATTACGGTGCAACTCCTACGTCCAGTATCATTTTATACACCTGCCTTCTTTCTCATCGCTTCTCGGTCAGCAACCTTCCCAAATATCGATACAGAGGATCACCGAGATGTCTCTCCGAACTGCCGTCCAGCCTGACTCAGGGTCGGTGAAGAGATCGGCATCGTTCGACTGGGAAAAGCCAAGCAGAATCAAGACCGCTCCAGCAGATATACAGATTGGACACATCGGCTCGTATCTTGGCTCTCAGGGGACCCATGTGGATTTTGCCCGTCTGCTCATCACCTTACACCCGAATATGCAACCACCTTGTAACAATATTCGATGGATAGACCCTACGACAGCAGAAAACTATCAAGCGCTGGAGACACCCTCACCCTCAATATTACCTGGAGCGTTCGCCCATGCCCCCCATCTTCCAACCGCTCCAAATCCACATCTTCAGTTTAGAAACGGCCAGGCGTCTCACCCCTCTCTTCCCGACAGCGCCAGGGAATATCGAGGGCATGGGTTCGCTGCCACCCTTGCCACTCCGCGTCGATATATCAGAGAGCCATCCCCTGAGTGCAATTTCAGGATCATCATGGAAGATCCGGCCAATTCAAAGTCTTACCGCGAGAAGGTGATACGAACTGACGAGGAACGAGCACAGCAGAAGGAAGACGGTCGACGTTTGAAAGAAATCGGCGGAGCATGTATTTCATGCTACCAAAGCAAGAAGAAATGTGGACTGGGTAATTCTTGCCCACCGTGTAAACGAAGTGACAAAGAGTGCATCCGAAAATACCCTGGCAGCTCTAGTCCATCTCCGAGTCGATCCGACAGTGCGCAACCATCTACGCCTGAGTCTTTTGGTCAAGGTTGTTCTCACCTGAAACTGCCTAGCAAAGACAACCCGGCAGACCTCCCTTGCTTTCCGGGTCCTCTAGACAATCTATCTACCATGGATCCGAGTATCCCCTCGGTACAGTTGGGACAATGGATGACCTCAAATGATGACCATGGCAGTATTTCTCCTCTTGGCCTCAGCCTTGACGGCGCCTTTGAGGAGAACGGGCTCGGTTACTACTATCCCCAGTTCGTATAAATATTTAGAGCTACCTACGAAGCTTGATCCTCGAATGGAATCGATCGTTTGTGACCTTTGAGTGTGTAGACTCACATGTGATGTTGGTATCGAAGCCCTGTTGATAATTTTGCGGTCCAAAGCACAGGGGCAGGCTGAGGCTGCACTTGCACACTCTTTTGTACACACTATCAGATTGCTGGTTGTTCCACCGCTGCTACACTTCGCTTCCCAACACATTAGCTTAGAAAATGGAAATCATCAACAAGCTACCACTAAGTAGTAAGTAGATGCATGCATATCAGCATTCTAGAAGTATGTAACAGACGAACAACCAGCGCCTTTTAGTCGCGGACTAGTAGCTACCTGAGATGGAATATAGTAGCTAATATATTCTATCCTGAGTAGGTACTAGCCTGCTATTAGAAGATAGTAACTAGTAATGGTAGAAAATAGGGAGTTAGAAACTTTCACAGTAGACATAGATTGAGTGTATCCAAATTTGTATGGAGATTACATACTAATCTGAATTCAGAAGGGCCCATGGTCCATTTAGCAGCCCTCGAATATAGGTATGGTGAAGGATTCCAGGTTTGAGATAGGCTCTCAGAAGAAGCAGGCTTTATTACAACTTACGATAAGTGGGAAACATACTAGTAGTACGAGGTCAACTTGAACTGTGCTGGCCCACACACTCCACGTCGGTCCTCTCATTCCGCGTCCCGCGCGTCTCAAGAATCTCTCCACCGCCAACACCTCAACTCCACATCGGGCCGCGAGCCCCAATTCTCCCAGAGGCTATCTGCTATTAACATTCTTGAAACCCTTGCCAAACCCCCGACCCATCCACCATAATGGCCTCCGGCCAACCTTTCGCCTCGCGCTCATACGCCGGGACCAAACTTCCAGATCGCTCTACCAACACAAACGCCATGCCCTTCAGCGCCTCTTCGTTCTCCAGACACCGTCCCTTGGGAGGCACCGGTCCGGCCGACTACCCTGGTGTTGAAGGCCCGAAGCCACCTCAACAATCTTCTGGCCCCGCCGTCGCGGCGCAGTCTCACGGACCGGCGCAGGATGCGAACCCGTTGAACCGCTTGACGGAGGAGCAGAGAGAGGAGATCAACGAAGCTGTAAGAATCCGGACTCAATGCCCCCAAGATTCAAGGCAGAATAATTCCATGCCATATATTCTCTCGCATGCGCCAAATATGATGAAACAGCGGACCAAGCGGGCGCCGCGCAATTCTCATCTTCAGAATGAAGAAAAGCAATGTAAAGGCTGACATCTGAAAAAATAACAAATAGTTCACTCTCTTCGACCTCGACCGTGACCGCCACCTCGACTACCATGAGCTCCGCGTCGCCTTCCGAGCCCTAGGCTTCACTCTCTCGAAACAAGAACTCATCTCCCTCCTCACAACATATGGCGTGCCACGCCCACAAGTCCAACAACAACAACAAAACAACGCCAACCCCCAAGCGCCAAAGGGCAACGCAGGCGCAAACCCGCAACACCCTTCCAACCTCCTCATGCCCCTCTCCTCTTTTCAAGCCGTGACAGCGCTGAAGATCCTCGAGCGGGACCCGCGCGACGAGATCCTGCGCGCCTTCGAGCTGTTCGATGAAGGACAGAAGGGATTTATTGACCTCGAAGATCTGCGGCGCGTGGCGAGAGAACTTGGTGAGACTGGGCTCGAGGAGGAGGAGCTTAGGGCTATGATTGAGGAGTTTGATTTGGAGGGTGCTGGTGGTGTTACCCGGGAAGCATTTGTTGGCATTTGTTGGCAGTAGCGTGGGGATTTCTTTATTACTTTCTTTTGTATGAGATATATGCATTTGTTTTTACGTTTTGTTTTTGTCAGGCTGGTCAGATTGATTGATGGGCTTGCTTGCATGGGATTCTATTTTTGTGCTTTCACTGGTGTTGGGTCCTTCGTTTTCTTATTGTTTAGTGTGAATTCTTTCTCTTACTGCGCTGAGCCTACCTACAACTTTGATATTGAAGATGAGCCTAATTCCCGATGGAGGAACTTCAAATACAAAAATACGTCTAGTCTGATGAATTGGTAGTTGAGAATACTTTCTCTCTAGAATAATAAATTGTTTCCAGAACGAACTTTAGACACATCCACAAGAAGAGAAGCCTCACAATGCAAAGAGGAAGGAGATAAAGAAATCTCCAACCCCATCGACCAATTATCGTTAACGCCGAAGAGAGTGCTAGGCATTTCCCAAGGCACTTCCAAAAGAATCCATATTATCCAAATAATGCAAAAAGGAAGGTTTATCGTTAAGGTGGAAAAAGCAAGGCAATCATCAAGCGTAGCGGGGCGGAGGCCCAGGTGGCCCGGGTGGTGGGACATTTTGATATCCATAATTAGAGTATCCATACCACTGGCCCTGCGGAGGTCCACGGGGAGGCGGAGGGCCTGCATAGCGACCCATAGGGGGTGCCCCTGGCGGGGGCCTCTTCGCTAGACGACTCTTGGCCTTAGCCATGCGACACCGGTTGATCAAGCAGAAGAATATAGCAAGGAGAATGAGGCTGCCTACGCCAACACAGATGCCAATGACGAGATTCTTATGATCCCTGATCCAGCCTGCAGCTGATGAGCCCTTGCATTGACCGGATTCGCAAGTGCCACCAGATTCACAGGGCGTCCCATCGAGATAGTTTTGATTCATCTCGATACAGGTGCCATAGGGATATTGGGTGAAAGATTTTGGCGCGCCGCAGACGAGGGAGCACGAGGGCTGGTCGGTATTGTCGCAGGCCCAGGTGTCGTTGCTGTTCAGCAAAGTACCCATCACAGAGCGACATTGGCGGTTTCGGCTCGTACACTGGCCACTAGCACATTTGAGGCCGTCACCACAGGAACTTCCGTCCTTTTCGTACGCATCTTCCGGGCAAGAGCTAGATTTCCCGTCACACTTCTCCTCCTTGTCACATTCACTGGTACTGGCCCGGCAAACAGTGGTGGCAGAGGCAAACTGGCATTTATTGCAACAGTTGTCGTTAGAGTCATCGCAGACGGCGTTGTCCTTGAATTTGCATGTTTTGGCATCACAGCAGCTATTGTCACCGCAGCCGGATTCTCCTCCACAATCGCAATCTTCCCCGGACTCCACGATACCATTGCCGCATTGGCTGCCGCTAATGGTCACAACGCCCTTGTTATCTGACAGACAAGATGACTTGACGCTGTTGCGGCCGATGGCTGCACAGATGTTGCCGATCGTGCACTGAGAGAACTTGGTCATTTTGTCATCGGCATAAGGGTTCATTATGTACTTGGCATCGGCATCGCAGGTTGACGACGAGAGCGGACAACACTGGGATGACTCATTAAGATCCTCCTGGCATGTTTGCGAATCACAGTCATGCACGGCACCGAAGGTGTGTCCAGATTCGTGTGCGAAGATTTGCCAAGTTGATCCTGAATTGCCAACTACAACGTTGGCACCAGTGACTGAACTGCCTCCACTACTGCTGAGGCTTGATGAGCATAGTCGACTCATCCATGATACGCCGACCTCCTGGCCCGTTGGGCAGCCGGTCATCAAGGTCCAGTATGCATTATCGTCCTCGTGATCAGAACGCCATTTGGAGAACTCGTTCAGGCGCCAAGTGATATTGCCGCTATCACAACCCATATTCCAAGGCGTCGCATCGTTGGCCGTGGTGGGACACGAAGCGTCGCTAACAGTCAGGTTCCGCAGACCGATAGACACGTTGAAAGAGTCTTCATAGAGGCTAGATGCGGTATTCACCAGGTTGATAACCCACTCCTTGGCAGCATCCTTGGGGGTGGAGTTGGACTTGAACTGATTGGTCATTTCACAGTCGGTAGCCACGCCAATCAACGCGACTTTCTTTGTCTTGGGGCATCCTGACGTATCTCCGATTGTTGATTTGAGATTCACGCCACCGGAGCTGCCGGAGACTCCTCCAACATCATTACGTTTGCTCATGCCAAACATGGAATTTAGTGGGCTAAATCCCCATTGGCCATCGGGCATGTCGATGCCGACCGGAAAAAGAGAGCTTGTCAATTCGGAATTATAGTCGAGTTTGTCCGCTTGGCAGCCGGTGGAATCATCGAGGGATCGCTTGAGCTCGACGTGGCCGCGGATCATATCGGTGTCTCGATATACCAACATGTAGTCGTACGCGCGGTCTTCCACGTCGGCATCGATCGCTCGCTGCTTGGCGGAGTAGGTCGAGTGCAGTTCGACATGATGCTTGTTCTCATCAACGCTGAATACACCCTCAAACAGCGGTTCAGGGCCATCCCTTCGGATGTTGACTCTTGCCCAGCCGGTAGGGGTCCATCTTCCCTTTCCCGATCCCACAAGGGCCCGGCCACGGAAGACCTTATGGGCACTCCTTTCAAAGGGTTCATCCTTCCAGTTGCCGTCACCGTCCATGTATCGCACATTCGCATCATCGGCGAGAATGTCGAGGTTAGGCTCGAGCTCCAACTTTATCCGCTTGCCATCGCGATGTAGCTCGAAGGTGAGATCGAAGTGGGAGGTGTGCTCTATTTGGTGGGAGGGTGTGTGAATCACAGCATTATCGATCGGTGTAAGTTGGCGAATCGCTTGTGAAGCGCGAGATCTCGCTAGGTAGGCTATGAGCAGACGTTCAGAGGTACGGAAACAAGACGAGACATACCTTGAACAGGCGCGATCAGAGCGGACAATGCACCGATCACGGGCAGAAAGGCCCTCGAAAACTTCATGGCCCAGGTGGTTGAAAATGTTCAACCAGAGGGAGATGGGTGGACTCAGTCTCGATAAACTTCAAGGGACCAGGCAACCATGGGGAAACAGATTCAGGGTCTCGGAGATGTCGGGATCGGCACAGCCACACCCAAAGAGGGGCTGGAAATATGCACGGGAGTAATTTGTCCGAGAAAGGATTGGAAAGAGTATTCAACGAAGGTGGTATTGAAGGAGGCAATGAGTGAGATGTAAATAACGAGTGGTGTTGAGGTAGACTGGAGGTAGATAGAGAGAAAGAGAGACAGAAAGAGAGACAGAAAGACCAAAAGGGCCGCCAAGCGACGAATCCGCCAGCCTTGGGCCTTGGCAAGCCTTACGTGAGTTGGAACTGGAACTTGAACTATTCTTGGTTCTCTCCGTTTCAGAGATCGATCACTTGGATTAATTTCCCATTGGTATTGGTAGATGCCAGAGTACTCTGCAGTCTCTGCACTCTGCACTCTGCACTCTGCACTCTGTGTCCCGTGCTCTGTATGCATACACAAAGCAGTTCTTCATCTCCCATCTCCCACTTGCTTGCCGCCCATGCCCAAAATCACCTCCCCATCTTCTCGGTGGTGGCGCATTCATAATCGCCGGGGGCTGAGCTGGTCCATTCTGCTGCTCCACTGACCCACTCAGTGTCACTTCTTGCCAAATCCCCCGCTTCCACTATCATCTGCCAAGGCCGCGTCTTCCGGAAGGCCCGATAGATTATCCCCTATACCCCGTACATATATGTAGACTGCTACGATTATGTACTCATAAATCATTATCCATCCCAGGAATGCGACTGCCTGCTGGGCTTGCATTGAAAAGTGGTATCTCCGAGTCCTCAGTCAGTACGGAGTACCCAGGAATCGTCACCCTAAAAATACTTTCATATGTGATGTATCCCATCACTAATCAGATCATTCCAATCCATTCGAAATTCCACTTGATCTAGACCCACGCAGTAGAGGCTCATACTAGTAAATACTATTATGCTCATGGATCTATTCTCAGTTAAAGTACCAAGTACCCGATCCCAAGCTCATTTGTGTATTTTCAATTCCCCCTTAATTGCCACCCCATTTCTTGTACATCATATCATAGATCTGAAGATCCTTCTTAGCATCCTCCGCAGTTGTCTTGATATCTTTGCCATTGGCAAAAGCATCGTACATGACCTGTAACTCGGCCGTGTAGGCATCCTCATAAGAGGAGAGCACATTGCGTCGTTGAATTTCACCCTGCTCGTTAACCTCCTCCACTTCGACGTAAATGGGCAAGCCCTTGACATATGGGCTATCATACTTGATGGTAACCCGCTTGGTGTCGCCGTACACAGTAATGTGGGCATCGAATATGGGCACTCGGTCAATGCCACTCTCGTAGGTCGTGGAATAGGTTGACCCATCTTGGTTGCGGAAGGTCATGATGGCACTATAGAAAGGGTCGTTGGCGGAGACTCCGTCCACGGATTCAGGAAACCCGAGTGTCTCGCGCATAAGAGAGATATCGTGGGATCCCAAGCTACCCAGGAATCGGCAGTACTTCTTCTTCTCCTCTGTGATTTCCTGGTTGGGGAACGCCTCTTTGAAAAGCGCATCCAGGCGCTTGTTGCGCTCTTCTGTGGAACTGACAGGGTAGTCGGCATTTTTGACTTGGAATGTACCACTCTGGTCCACAAATTGCGCATTGGGGCCACTGAAGTCCCGTACTCGAGCATACAGGATTTTTGGAAGAGTCGCAATTTCACGCTTGAATGCATTCAGGTAGCTGGGGGCATACCGACGCATATAGCCCACAAAAACACGGGCGTTACCCGCAGCCTTCGTTTCGGCGTCAATGATGGACTGGACCGAAGGCAAGGAAAGAGAAACAGGCTTTTCGATGAAGACGTTTTTGCCCGCTTGAAGGCTAGCGATGGCTAGTGGGACATGACTATCGTCCGAAGTCAAAATAAAGACCACAGATACCTTGGGATGTTCAATCACGTCCTGCGGCGTGGTGGTCTTGTGGGGGACAAAGAATTTGGTGGCGCAGTGATCGACTGTTGTAGGTGACAAATCACAGATTGATTCAATTTTAAACAGGTGGGATAGAAGTAGTAGGCAAGGCCCATGGCATACTTGAAAGACCTCCTGGACCGTTCGTTAGCTCGAATGCATTGGCTTGAAAGAGGGTTTGGACGTACGCCAGCCCCGATAATCCCGACTCCCAATTGACGAGACGAAGACATTCTTATTAGGTTTGAAGAATGTCTGATTCAGAAGACGACAGGATTGGAATTGATAAAGCAAACCGTTGAACGGACCCTGATGTTGAGCAGACCGTTAAACTTTGATCTTTTGATATTTTGAGGTGTTGAAGGTGCGTCATCGCGGGGCAACTCGCTTGGCGGTCACTTTGCGCTATTCTAGAGCCAGGGCTCCCTTAAAAATATAATATTCTAGTGAGATACAATATTTTGAAAATGTTTTCAAAAAAAAATATGACTGTTGACAGATACGGTATCCCAAAACAATATAGTCTAGGTGATCGTGACTATTCAACAGCGGGCATGGTACGGATAATAGTACACAGCCATGTTTCATTTTCAATGCAGTATCACAACCTTGCGCCAGGGCCTTTAAGATCCTTCTGGATTCTTTCCCATGACTCTACCCGCGGATAGCAGCGACTTCCGGTCTGCTATTCTCATCGCGCATACGACGGTCAAATGTTTCCATAGACACCCAGCCCTTATATCCCTTTTCGACAATCCAGGCACGCACAATTTCATTGACGGGCATGTATCCTCCCAAATCGGTTTCACCAGGGAATGGTCGTGCATATTTTGACCATGTAAGTTGGTGTGCCTCGCCCTCTGTATACCACGGGTGTGCCTTGGAGAATGGCGGATCGAATTTTTCCCCGTCAGATAGCTGGACATAAAAGACTTTGTCCATGGGACAACTTTTAACGAAGCGATCTAGCGTATCTTGCAGAGCCTTCTCTGCGTCCGGAAACTTGCCCGACGACACAAATGGATCGGCCCACAACTTCGTAACGATATGGAAGGTATCTAAACACAGCCCGAAATTGGATCGATTAACCTTTTCAGCCAGAGGCACTGTTGATTCCCAGGTTGAATAGTAGGTTCCCCATGATAATGCTTCGTATGCGATAGAAACAACCGGACTCTCAGCATTTCCAAGATCGGCCAGTTGTTGCAATTCCGAAACAATAACAGATTCGTCCCCAATGGCATCGAGTTTGAATTGAGAGGGGACTTGAAGATAAGGCGCCCCAATGATCCTGGTTATTTGGATCCAAAGAGTGGCGGTTTGCAGCCGTTGACTCAGCGGGGATCTGTCACCTTCGTAGTTTTCGAAGGGTGCTAGCGAGATTATTTCGATATTGAGACTATCGCATAGTTGCTTGATCTTTTTGGCCGCATCGAATATTGATAGTCCGTTCGTTCGAGAGTACCCTTCGAGGTCTGAGAAGACTAACTCGATCCCAGAATATCCAGCAAGAGCCGATGCTTTGATCTTGCGGTCGAGGGCATGGGAAGGGTGCTGACCCAGTGAAATAGTGCTGATGGCCAATTTGTGGGGGAGCATGATTTTGTGTGAAAGATACTTAAGGTAGTAGAATGGATGAAAGACCGATTGGCTAATGAAGGTGTTCTCTGCGCTGTCTAAGTATCTGCGGGATCGGAAAATCATCTCCGAAAGATCTAAGAAACTTGAACCTCAAAACTTCGATGTCTGTTTCCTTTATTCTAAAGGTTCTTTTCTTTTCTTTTCTTTTTCCTTAAGGCCCTCAAGCAATTGGGCTCCCTGTTATCTTGTGCCGTGGTTCAACAACAATCCTCTACTTTGATAGGTACATCGAAGTATGTTGGTCCAATGATATTGCTCAGATGCCAAACCATAACCTTGGAACAATATTGACTCTTATGAGAGCTCCAGCTACAGTGGCAACCACCGAGGCAATATCGCGTGAAACTTCGGGGAAATACACCCGAATGCACAATATTCGAGCTGTTGTAGCTACTACATTGCTGGGTGGGTGGTCAACACGGAGGGGTCACTTTTCAGTTGATCCTGAGCAACACTTGAGCAAATGATTTGGAGCTGAGAGACGATGCCAGGATACAGAACTTCAGTATTTCGGATGGATTGAGCAATGCCAATGCCAATTCAAAGAGACCACGCCATGCCTGGTGCCTGAAATCGCGGCGTCACCAGTTGGCGCGAGGCTGCCGCCAAGAAGAGATGCGCTCCGCACCATCGATCGCCCGCAGATCGAGGGGCAGCGGGGGCGTAACTCTGCTTTTCGCCTGGCGCATCCCTGAAAACAGAGGAAAAAGTGTCTATCCTGATATCCGTCCAGTTCTCCCTTCTTCAACTTCCAATTCCACCCCATTGTTGATCTGCCTCTAGCATCGGAGACCCTTGGTCCCCTCCCCCCACAATCCACCATGGTAGCCGAGCACCTTACAATTCGCAACAACACCAGCACGCCGATCGTCCTGAAGCGCATCGAGCGCTTCGCGGCCCCAGAACAAAACAAGGGCGTCGACGATATCACCTCTCTGGCCAGGAACTTCACTCGCGTCCTGACCAATCAAACTCGCACCGCCGAGCCGGTCAAGTCCATCAACGATGATACCCGTCCATTCGATGAGGTGAAGGGCATTGATTTGCGCATTGAGCCCTTCACGACTAAGAAGACCGAAAGAAAGGCTTTCGTTCATTCGGAGAAGGAGCGCATGCGTCTCAGTCTTCGAAGTCGATGGCGAACGTCACCAGATCCAGACGCCTGTCCCTACCACCGAGTCCGCCACAATGAAGGCACTGACTGAGAACCCTAAGCACAAGTTTACAGGCGTCTACATTACGCCCGAATCATACCTGACAATTTTCTCGTCTGCCAACCTGGATGCCTGGATGCGTGAGCTTCGCGATGATACTCTCCTCTCCGCACTATCCATCCCAGGCACGCACAATTCCCCCACCTGTCATCTCGCCCCGCCCTCGGTACGCTGCCAGGCTGTTAACCCGCGCGAGCAACTGAAGAATGGCGTGCGTTTCTTTGACATTCGCGTGCAGCCACAGTACCCCGATCGACCGGAGAAGGATGAGCTGATCCTGGTGCACAGCGTGTTCCCCATCTCACTGACAGGCAACAAGTACTTCAGTGACCTGATGCGCGAGGTCAACGAATTCCTTGAGCAGAATCCCTCTGAAACCCTCATTATCTCCCTCAAGCGTGAGGGCCCTGGAAATGCCAAGGATGAACAGCTTGCGCATATCCTTCAACAGCACTATGCCCGTGCCGACAGCCACTGGTGGGTTCGGCCCAAGATTCCAACCCTCGGTGAGGCTCGTGGCAAGGTCGTTCTCCTTCGTCGGTTCAACTTGCCGGAGGACCTGCAGAAGGAGCACGGTGGTACTGGATGGGGTATTGATGCTGCTGCGTGGGCGGATAACACCCCACACGCAAGCTGCCCCAGTGGCCAGCTCTGTATCCAGGACTTCTATGAAGTGCAGGAGTCCCTCAATATCGAAAAGAAGATCAAGTTTGTTACCGAGCAGATCGACCGTGCTGGTCACTGCCGATATCCTTTCGGAATCCAGCAGAATGTGCAGGAAACGAAGAAGTACCCCTTCTTCATCAACTTCCTAAGCGCAAGCAACTTCTGGAAAACTGATACATGGCCTGAGAAGATTGCTGCCAAGGTCAACCCTGCTGCGGTGGATTATATCTGTCGCCAGCAGCAGCAAGGCGATGGTGACTGCGGTACTGGCATTCTGGTCACTGACTGGGTTGGCTTGGATGGTAACTGGGATCTTGCGCGTTGCATTGTCGGCATGAACGCTAAGCTGCGACTCCGACATGAGTGAACATATGCAGTTCGAGAAAGGTTGGATCCAACCTTGGTTGTCTGCGGGGACATTTGCTTTTCCATCACCGTTCTATACCGCCTCATGAGTCAATGAGATACGTTATCCCATTTCGAGTTGAGAAGAATTTCAATATTTTGATTCTCACGCAATATACACCTATCCTAGGCAAAAGATATAATGAAAATAAAACAAGGCTCGAGCCCTCTAGGATGCAAAACCAACAGTGTGACCTATTATACAAAAATCAATGCATATGGACGGAGCCATATTAGGACGACTCGTCCTTCCCACCCTCGCTCTTAGGGTTCTGCTCTTCCTCCAGGACGCTTCTCCGGCTCTCCATGGTGAAGTAAAGGCTCTTTCCAGCGCCTTCCAGAGTGCTGGTAAGGCTGGAGCCCATGCTCTGCAAAGATGTAACAAGCTGGGAGCGTAGGCCATCCATACCACCCTCAATGCTACCGACCCACTTGGTCTGATCAATATCAAAGACCTGGCCATCGACACGGGCAGCCAGAAGGTTGATCTTTCGTAGACCGTTTTGAACAATAGGGTCGTGGTAGTCAGGGTTACCTTTGCGGGTAGGCGCAGGGAAGCCAGCCTCCTTCGGCGTCAGAATCGACAAGGCAGCCTTCATGTGTTCGGGAGAAACGCTCGGAATGGAAAGAACAGCGATGGGACCGACCAAGATTTCGGCAAGCTCGTGTCGACCCTTCATGTGCTTCACAGCAAGGTGAGCAGCACGAGACAAGTCGTGAGTCAGGGAAGGGTCATCCTTGGAGCCGGAGATCGTGGGGATTTCGGCGGAAGTCTGCGTAATAGGGTCGACGGCGCTAGGGGGGTTTTCCGGAAGCCTGGGCGGCATCATTGGGACGGAAATATTCCACGATGCGCAGGGCAACCTCGAAGATGCTGGTTTGAACGGTCTGGACCTTAATATAAGGAGCCAGGGCTGAAGAGATTCTGCCTTCAGAAGCAATCTTCTCATCGACCTTCTGGAGGGCCTTGGTAAGTTCTCGGCGAATGGCAGCCCATTCCATAGACTTCAGGTTGTTGTGCTGGAACATGACCAGAAGGGGAGATGTGCGGAGGAGGGAGGTGTAGGCGCGGAGGAGCTGTGATCGGCGATACTCGGGATTGCGGTGCGAGGGAGGCTGGGTAAGGGGAGTACGAGCAATTGGGGCTTTCGACTTTGTCATTTGTTCGATGGGAGCAGCTGGTGTGGTTGCCGGAGCCGCAGCGGTGCTGGCACTCCTGGCAGCGATGCGGAGTACATTATGGCATTGGAAGGCCCGTTGCCGAAATGTCGTAACACGTAGCCGGGGAGGCATTGCGACTTGAAATGTCTGCGAAGATCACGATGGAAGGAATTGGAGATGAACTTGGGGTGGACCGAGATGAACCTCCGACGGCGCGACATTTTTTGAGATCCAAAGATGGCAGGCGGTGTTGAGGGCGGGTTCTGCCGGCAGCGACAACGCGGCGTGAGGGGCTTGAGTCATTCAGTGGGGTTGGCATCATCCATTTGCGCTGCTTTTTAAAGTGACCCATTGAAGCTATTCTACGCAATAGATCGTCAATTGGATTTTCGATTTGGGAACTATGACCTCCACTCAACCGGCGCAGAGGGCCGAAAAGCCTGAGGTTGTTTCAATCTCCCCTCTGCTCCAACGCTTAGCATACCCCTCTACAGCTGAAATCCGCGTCAGCGCAGAGGACATTGCTTCAGCTTTTGCTCTGATTTTTGAAGACCGACTTTCCGATATTCAAACGGCAGCTCTTCTAACTTTGTTGCACTCGACTGGTAAGGATAAGGATGCTGCCGTCATTGCGAAATGCTCCCACCGCATGAGAGAAGCTGCTTGCCAAATCGACAAAGCTGCACTCAAGAAGGTTGTCAAAGCCCGGGGGATCCGTGAGGGTAACTACAAGGGTGGCTTGGTAAGAAACACTATTAAAACATTGGAGCTTCATTTGGCTGACATATGTTTCTTTGTTAGTGTGACATTGTTGGTACGGGAGGTGACTCTCATTCCACCTTCAACGTATCAACTACCTCCTCGATCATCGCCTCGCCACTTCTCATGACCGCTAAGCACGGTAACCGCGCGCAGACATCCTTCTCTGGATCCGCCGATGTCCTCAATGCTGTTCAACCGATTCCTCCAAACATCTCTGCAATTAATGCGGACAACGTGGCCAAGGTCTATGAAAAAACGAACTATTCATTCTTGTTTGCCCCGAACTTTCACCCTGGCATGATGTATGCGAACCCTGTTCGCCGCAGCCTCGGTCTTCGAACAATTTTCAACCTCATGGGCCCTCTCGCGAATCCTATTGAGTGGGCCATTGAGGCCCGTGTTGTTGGTGTTGCTTACCAGAGCCTCGGCCCCGTGTTCGCCGAAGCTCTCAAGCATGCTGGAGCCAAGAAGGCGCTGGTTGTGTGTGGTGCGGAGGATATGGATGAGATCAGTTGTGCCGGCCAAACGAACTGCTGGAGATTGTCAGAGTACCCCAACCCGGCATACAAGGAGTCATCCGGTGCCCAGGATGACGACTCAAGTGAAGACGAAGAAAACCCGCGCACGTTGGTAAAGATTGAACCCTTCTCGCTCCATCCCTCGGATTTCGGCTTGCCGACTCATCCTTTGACCGAGGTTTATGGGCGAAAGATGCCCAAGGACAATGCTGCCAAGCTAATGAGCATTCTCCGCAATGAGTTGCCACGAGAGGATCCCATCTTGGAGTTCGTCCTCATGAACGTTGCTGCCCTTCTTGTCACCTCCGGTATTTGCGAGGCTGAAACGAGCAACCTGGGACACGGTGATGATGGAAAGGTCATCACTGAGCGTGGCCCTGGAGGTGGTCGCTGGAAGGAGGGTCTGCGCCGTGCGCGCTGGGCGATTGAGAGTGGCCAGGCCCTGAAATGCTTTGAGCAGTTCATCGAGGTCACCAACCAACTTTAAAACGTGCAGTGCACAACAAGTTGCCAAGTTGCATATTTTCAGACATATCCAGCTTTTCGGTCTTCTCTTCTGGTCAATTAATGAGTCGACTTTACATTTCTTTCTTGTTCTTATTCCAATAATTGAGTGTGAGCTCGGGCCCACTTTTATTTTCGACTCAGATATTCCAGACGTACACTGGTCACGGTCATTCTGCTTGCAACTTAAAACAATAAAGGAAAACCAGAGTTCGAATTGATTGCAGGTAATTTTCAAACTCAACAGCTCCCCCATCCTACAATGATGGTAGAGCAACATAACCCTTACTGATACTTTTTGTCAATACTTGTTTTAAAGAGGATGTTTCCACGGAATCGTAGTCTCGTGTGATTCATATTTAGTTCTGTATAAGAACTCCAAAAACGCCAGTTGATGCATCATTCGTCGCAAGCGAGAACAGAAATAGAAGAAACAAAAAGAAGTGACAGTTCGCCAGGTCGCGAGTCGCAAACCCCATCAACTCCACCATATATCCCAAGGCCGTTAGACCGGGGTTATTATTATTCATCGGACTGAGATTCGATTTACCGGGCCTGGAACTGGACCATACTAGATAAAGCAAGGTGAGTCAGTGAATGCGCTCGGCGTCGTTCAATAGCTCGACCACAGCTGAAAGAGGATCTTACCGCTTGGTCCGCTCCTTGTATAGTACACGGTGACCACAGTCCTTGCAGCGAATCTGGTCGCCGCGCTTCAGAGGAACACGCGCGGAGCACTCGCCGCAAAGGTAGACGACAGAGGGGCTATCGACAGCCATGGCGCTGAATCCGTTGTCGGCGCCGAAGCCGTTCTGACCGCCGCCCATCGAGGGGACCTGGTATGCTTCGCGGGACATTTTGGAGATGGTTCGGTTTCAACGGAAGGTGCGCAAAGGTTTGATAATCGTGTGTCGAGGACAACGGGGTTTGGAGAGGGAAGCGTGGATGCGGAGATGTCAAATGTCTCGCGAGATTCTTTTTTCGCGGAGGATTTCTGCTTACCTCATCAAAGCCCCACCCACTTCCCTTTTTGGGACTCAATTTTCACATATGGGGTTTATAAGCTTCACAGCTTCTATGCCTTAATCAACTTTGAAGCACATTTAATCTGGTCTTCTTACTCTTGAGATACATTTATAGTAGCTTCGGGATTCTGATATTTAAGTTTATACCTATATTTAATATTGATGAAACGATCATTTACCAGCCAACAGCTATGTATCTAATACGCCCCAAAGAATGGTATCTCCCCATAAATGCAACAAATAGCCATCCCAGCGCCATGCAATAAATAAAATGTGTATCATAGTATGGGAGGAGTAGCAAAATGCTTTACCACCCACCGCCAATCTTCCCAGCAAGTTCGACCACTCGACTGGTGTCATTGGATGCATTTTGTTCTTTTCCAACATCGCTTTCCACTTTGCGATAAGTGGTATAAACAAGCTTCGACAAAGGAATACCCATGAACTGCGACCAATTTTCTAATCCTTCATGGATTCTCTGCTCCTTATCTGCAATTGAAAGGGAATTCTTGACGATTTCCGGTTCGACCTCGGAATCGGATTCCATCGAGAAATATGCTTCATCCACACGAGCGAGCCAGGCACGCTGTTCGTGAGGCGTCGGTTTCATAGCCCCTTCAGTACCCTCCGATTTTCCTGTGCTTTCTAGCGGATGCGTGATCTCACGAGCATCTTCCACTCGAATTTGCCCTCCACCATTGGTGCAACCTCCGGGGCAGGCCATCACTTCCACATAGGAATAATCCGAGCCGGAGTTTCCAGCAGCAGCATTGCGGGACATTGGCTGACGCCGGCTTGCAGGCAAAGGCTTTGCCCCAGGGAGTCTGGATACTCGCGCGGGTTTCAGTTTTCGGACCAAATTCTGAATGTTTCGGAAGCCATAGTAGCGGGCCGCCTTCATAATCGGTTGCCCGTCTTGAGAATTTAGCACATACTCAACAACATCAGCGTTGCGTCCACGATTGGTGACAAGCTCGCTGCCTGGGTTCCGGGCCTGGAATGTCCTCAGAACGTGGTGGAGGTAACCCCCGGAAGTAGAAGTTTCTAGCGACTGTTCAGTTGCTGAATGTTTAGAAGAAATAAAAGACTCGAAAGTCTTCTCCGGGAATGGTATATTGAAGGGCCCTGAAATCGGCTGAAGAGGCATGCTCGGCAGAGAGAGGCCTCGAGAGGAAGCCAATGAAAGGATTTCTCTTGTGGTGATAACACAATCAACATCACGAACAGGTTGAGAAGTTCCAAGTGCATCTTTGCCTGATTGCCATGATATATCGGTAAGTTCCTCTCGACTAGCTTCCAACTTTTTATCGAAGCATGGCATCACTGCCAAGTGCCAGATTTGGGATGCCGGGATGCCGAGAGATTTGCTCAGAACAGTTTTGAGAAAAGTTCCCGATAAAGCTTGTGGAGACTTGAGTCTAGACAAATGAGGCAGCACAAATGGGTGTGTCTTTTCAGCATAGCAAATCCAGCCTGGGCATGCAGAAGATAAGATTGGCCGCTTGGGAAGAGGAAATTCTTGACCACCGGCTAGGATAGACTCTGGCGCATTGATCGATTCCGACACCTCGTCAGCGGTAAGCACCAAGACTGCCTCACGCATGGTGTTTGTGTCGACCACCCACGAAAATCCACCGCCATGTTTCCCGCCACTGCGCAGTCCCTGCGGCCCGCGTAGGAACTGGTCGATCATATACCCAGCCTCCCTCTCAGAGATACCATAGGTAGCCGCCAAGCTGGCTCGTACCTGCGGGCTCACACTAGCAACGAAGACTCTGCCTGGGTTGGGTGTCTCGGCATTGCTTGATACCGTCGCATCGGTTTTCTGTCCCAAGGGGATCTCGGGGTGGGCGTCGAGGGTATTGAGGACTTCAGTATGTGACTGCAATGAGATCAAGACTGCTTCTGCGGATGTCACACATCCCGAGCAAGCAAGGCAGTCGGTCAAAGAAATTTGGGCGGGTGGAAGGTTCTCGGGCTCGACTTTGTCTTCAGTGGTAACTTCGTAAGGATTCTTTGAAATGAAAGGCAGTCAGTACCAAATAAAAGAGATGTGTGGTCGGATGACAGTTCGACAAACCTCCTCCTTTGTGCTCTTTTGTGGAAGGGTTTCCACTGGCTTTATACACGCGACCCCGGGCGAAATGAAATCGTTCAGATCGTCCGCCGACAGGATCGCGCTCATGGTGGCGGGGTACCGCTGCGGGCGAAACGAGACCACACAATTAGATAATAGGCCAGAAAGTATTGCAAGACAGTTCGTCAAAGGACCGTTTGCTCGGAGGTATGATTTAAAAGTAAAAGAAAGGAAGGGAGATAATGCAAAGTTACAAAATAGTGCAAGAGTCCAACGGAAGCCCTCGAACCAACAAGGTTGGCCGTTTTGTCATCCAATCTCAATCTGGTGGCGACATCGGCGCACCGATAAGCACTGACCGCCTGCCTTGCGGGGCACTGACAGCCTTGGCGTCCTCTCATTGGCCGCTCGCGATCTATTCCCTCTTTCACCCTTTGAATCCGCCTAGTATGGTAGGGACTTTGACATCAACTATCAAAGGATTGAAGATTCTGGTAATTGACTCGCTCATTACATCCGAAATAATTGGACATTCATGATCTTCTGTCTCTTTCATGAAATCAAATACCACATCAGTGCTCAAAGAAATCACCGAACCTCCCATTTGCACTTTGTAGTCCAGGCGACATTTCTTTTAAAGATGAGGTCTGGTCTCCTTCGAAATGAATGCTCGAGGGGAAAACAGTATTTCGGAGCTAAAAGCAGCTACATAATGAGCGAAAGCTTTTTTATTTTACTTTTTCAATCATACACTCCCAGCACCAGGTCGAAATAATCAAGACCAATTTCTTTAGCCATGTCACCCCCACCGCTGAAAAGGACGAGGTCGGGAAACGATCCAGTCTTTGTCAGTCCCCCGAAAGAGCACTCGAGGAAAGACCTAGTCAATGTCACCAAAGACACACTCGAAGTCATTCCATATATCATCAAATCTCTAGAAGCACTTGGTGAAGCCCCTCGGGCTAGTATGGTCTACGAGCAATCTGAAGAGAGCTGTCCACCACTAGATAGGGAAAACCCTTATTTTCCAGACCAAAAGACAGATGTTAGAGTGGTACTAGAAGATACATTCGATGCCGCTCTGGCACTTGGAAACATGCATCAATACTTGGGTAGCCAAGATCGAACTCCCGTCTGTGTTTTAAACTTTGCGAACAAAACTTATATCGGAGGAGGATTCTACACCGGATCTAAGGCCCAGGAAGAAGATCTTTGTCGCCGAAGTACCCTTATCGAGACGCTTCATCCTCAATTATACCCCATGGATGACGATGAGTGTATATACTCCCCAAGTGTCTTCGTGTTTCGAGAGAACGCCTCAAAGAACCATAAGATCATGTGGACCGACCGTGTTAGCATTTTGCCTGAAGTCAGCGTCATTTCCATGGCTGCAGAGCAACGTCCTACTCTGAACCGGGCCGGAGATGACTACGCAAATTCACCGTCCCGCGAGTTGATGAAGAATAAGATGCGTTTGATCCTCCGTGTAGCTGCCAACTCCTACCATCGCAGACTAGTTCTCGGTGCCATTGGCTGTGGAGCATTCGGTCATCCATCGAAACGTGTAGCCGAGCTCTGGCTTGACGTGCTATCGGAGGAAGAATTTGGAGGATGGTTCGAGACAATCGTGTTTGCTGTTTGGGACCCAAAGCCCCCTCATCAGGTCTTTAAGGATTTCTATGGCGTCCTTGCTGGTCAAAACCTATGGCAATATCACGATAGCGAAGAGGAGAGTGAAGGCTCAGTGGATAGTCGCAGTGGCAGTGATATTGATGATGGTAGTGATGAGGGCCTGGAGGAGGTACCTGAGACAGGCCATAAGAGAAAACTTGACGAAACGGAGAGGGCAGATGAGTCAGACTCGGAGCAGGAGCAAGATAGGCCCGCGCAGGAGGAAAGCTCCGACTCGGAGGATGACGATGATAGCAATTAGGTAGTAACCAGTAGTAAAGGCAGTACTACCACTAGGTAGTTCTATAAGCCCTGGAGTGTTTGAGGAAGCGACAAAATATTCCACTCACTTCGCAAGGGTATGACTTGATATGTTTTTTTATTATTTTCAACAATATACTGTTCTATATAATTCATAATTCCAACTTTGAAAACGCATCAAGTAATGGCGTCAATCTCTGATTCAAGTTCGTTGAGGTCAATGACCAATATCATGCTAGGTATCGATAAATAGGGGTTTCTTAGATCTCAATCAATCTCCAAACCAGCCTTTATGTTGCCGTTTGAGGATTTTGGACTTTTATGGATTTCTTTCTTTGGATCTCGGGTTATTTATTGAAGCACACGAGAAAGGCTAATAAGCTTCAATATTGTTCTTCGCATGTGAACACTTGAAATTAAATCACGTCCCACCTACTACCATTGACTATCAAAGCTGCCAGTGTTCAATCTTATCTGTGCTCCTAGCTTCTATGATGAGACTCAGCTAGAAATCTTGCTCTTGATGAATGTCAAAGCCTGTGCGCCGTATTCTGCACCATAGCCCAGGTGAGTTGCTGCATTGCTGCCATTGCAGCAATATGGGTCCGAGGCATCACAGTACGATTGGATCTTACTGGCAGATGGGCAAGTAAATCCCGCAGGACGTTCGTCGAACTATTCGATTGTCAGCTCCAGGATCGAGACAAAAATATCAAGGTAAAAAATACCCCTCCTGCACTGCAGGTTCCAACATCATATGATAAGCCTGCCCTGAAAAGGGGATCTCCCATAAAAATAGCAGCCTTGACCATATTCACGGCAGAGGAAGAAAGCCGGACCGATGTATCGGTAACTCCTTGGTTGGGAACACCCCCACCACACAAAGCAGCGTCCATAATCTCGCCTCCCTGACTTGGTCAGATTTCGCGTTCCTCTCTATCAATTTGAAGTACAGAGCATTGACGAACCTGGGAGTACCCGACTAGGACTAATTTGGTGTCAGGACACTGCGAATTGAAGGAATTGACAGCAGAGGCAACGGCCTGGATTCCCTGCGCAACTGAACTAGAATAGCTCACGCTCCCACATGAGGATTGCCCACCGCAGGCAGGGTAACTGATAGCTTCAGCTGTCGACCCAGAATAAGCGCTTAGTACCTCGTTGACAACAGTGCTGGATGACCCGTAGCCTGGGGAGACAGTGGTCTCACGTGCACCAAAAATATGGACACCAGGACAGGCTGCACGTCTGTTGATACCTGCGTCGAGCGGTGTAGCGTAGGTTCCGCCGACGAGAAAAGAGACTGCCAGTAATTTGGACCACATGGTGCCAACAGAGAATAGGTGGGAAAAAGTGAAAAGAACTTGTCAGCTAGCAAGAGTGAGAAAGATCAAGATGAGGTTGGTCTGGGATTATTTGTATGAAACCGGGCTCAGATGAGGTCCTCTTCAAGTGAGCGGAGACCGCGCCCATTTATAGAAGTAGTCCGAACTCCACCCCTCCTGGGCGATCATTGAGTCCAGAGCCCTAGAAGACTTCGCTTGCTTCCTCAAGGCCATCCATTCGCGGGTGTTGAAGAGCTCCTTTCGACCGAAGAGATAATTTGCCTAATAACTCAGCAAGCATGGATCTTTTGTCGATCAAGCGTGGATGTTCTCTGGACTTGCAATGAGGCATCTCAAGATTAGCCGTGAAGAAATGCATCCGGGATTCAGGCTGAATCAATGGATGTGTCACTCTAAGAAGCCTAGCTTGGCGCCCCGCCAAAGTATAAAAAGGGTTGTACTAGTAGTTTTGGATGTGGAACATGTTTCAAGGGATGTACTCCCCCGCATCATTTAAGGTAACTAAATAGTAGATCACCTGTCATGGAATAGCTTTCATTGCGCGTTTTCACATACCATATACCATCAAAAAACCAGGAATTATTCGGCAAACATGTTTATCAGGTAGGCTTTCCTGTCATGTTTCCAAATTGAGTCATTCGGGCAGCTGGGAGAATCATGCCTTAACTGTGAAATCAAGGAGGCTTGGAGATGGATGAAGCATTCGCGAATAATTAAGCCTTGCCAAAATAAGATAAGATGGAAAATAAATTTATAATGGCGTATGTTAGACTTCTGCTAATTGAGGGGCTTTCTGGCCCAAACACGTCGTCTGAAAATGGTAAGTTGACGCTCAGCAATGGCCAGATCTGGAAGGTGACTTACGCTCTTTGGTAGGCATGAACCTTAGGATTCTTCAATTCGGACCGAATTTTTCCAACGTAGGTCTGTACCTGCTCTGGAGGCCACGGACTTGGTGCGCCAAATCTGGTAAGAAGCCACATCCCCCATCCTTCTAAACCAGCGGACCACATATGATAGTTCATTAGCCCTGCCTCCTTGAGCTGCTTATCTTTAGGCCAGGCACCAATGGGCCACTTGTTGCTCTTCTCATTTAGATGAACAAACCCAGCACGCTCGATTGAGGAGCTCATCGTATTAAGAGTGTCGATTCGGCGACCAGACCTCTCTGCGCAGCCAAATGTGGCATCTCCCCAGCTCGCAGCCATACTATCGTCCGGGACACTTTCATCGTCGGCTTCGAGATGCGCATCTAGCTCTAGTTGTTCGATCCAGCCACCCGGCTTGAGATTTCTGAATGCCAAAATGAGAATTCAAGACAAGGAAACTTTGATCTGAAAACAGAAGCGTAACTTACTCGTAGCATTTTTGGTAGACAATGTCCCACTCTTTCTCTGTGAATGCGCCAAGCATGATACGCAGGTGGATGAAGTCGAACGGCTCACGCCAGGTCCATTCGCGCAAGACATCATCCACCTCCAAGATGCAGTTCGGTGGCATCCATGTCACAGGGGGTGGGAAGATATCTACACCACGAACGGTAGCTAGGAAAAATATTAGTGCCTGAGAAATGGGCTTGCGAATATCCGAGTCACCTTGAGGGAACATGTCTGCAACGTCGCTAAGATAAAATATGAGGTCAATTTGCGAAACAATATAAAGGGAGAAAATTCAGCATACATAGCCCATAAGCCATTTCCAGTTCCGATGTCAAGAATATTCTAGTGATTTGAGTGTTGAGGATATGGTTTTGGGGGTTATTGATTCTGTTGACCTACCTTCGCCGAACTTCCGACAGGGGCTCGGAATAGTGGGTTTGGTGTATCGGATTCCAAAACCACGGCAACAGCATGACTGCTCATGTTTTATTAACTTCGTTCTTGTGTTTAGGGGCCATAATGATATACCCTGCTTCTAAGCTCTCAAATTGCAAATCGTCGGCCGGGCTCCTAGTGCAAGGTTAGAGCCAAAAATATTGTTCTTCAATTTCTCTGTTTCCCTCTGTGTAGTGTTCTAACCAGTATGCATCTTCTCTCATGGTTTGGTATCTGACATATTGTTAGGAAACGCGGCTGATGAGTCGGCATAGCTTGCTTACCGCCGACCATTTTCGATCAGACCTCTATAGATTGAGGAAGAAACTGAAGTGGTTTCACTGCGGCGGAGAAGAAAAAAGAAATGTCAAGAATCTGGGCGCTTGCAAAGGTACAGGTTGGAGCATACGATTGATTATCCTCTTCGGTGCTCGGATTTGCTATATAGACATCGGGATCCTTGCATGAAAATCAGACGTTGTGCCATTGAGTGCAAAGGCGACTTTCAAGATCTCAGTCACTCACCACCGCGATTCTTTCATTGCTATCGGCTTCAGACATAACGAAGGCGATGGAAATACCTGGTCAGAGTACACTGAATGGGTTTGAGGAAATGCAAATTAAACGGAGGGGGAACGGGTACTCGTACTTTTCCTGTTGTTGTTAAACCATGTGGCTGCAACTCTATGCATTCGATATGGGGCCTCGTGGTCTATTGGTCGAATTGATCGACTCGTACCCATACTCGCTGCATCAAACAACCCATCCATGGCAAGCCGACCAATCGTGTCACTGTTTACTGCTGATCGTTTCTTCCTCTGTCAAGCGAAGGAAGCGTTGAGGGGCCGCGCCGAGGGGCCGCGCCGTTAGTCCCGGACTGCCTTTCCTCCGGAGAGCTCCACAGGTGATGGATATGCCACCTTCATTGACCCGTTTCGATCAATTCAGAATGCATCTCATCTGGATAGTGAAATAACTTTGAGAGTATCAGCATCCATTGTTTGAGTCACGTCAGTAAAGCTCATCGAGATGCATTTCGGTATTCATCTGATGCCAGCCCTTGCAACGCGAAGGATCGCTCGCATGTGGGGCACGAGGCGTGTCATTTAGATTGCTACATTAAATGATTTATGAAAGAGTTTATGTGTCATGCATTATCTTCGTCATATGAAGATCCTCCAGCTGGTGTAAGGTGCCCTCGTGTGCCTGCTGGGGACACATCGAGAAAATCGACAAGAGAACTCGAATACAGATTTGGAAGAGGATTGAAGACAGAACTAAAATCAGACACTCATTCACTTTCTGGAGCGTGTTGAGCGACGCCGCTCCACAGGGCCAACGACGTCTTTCTCTTCGCCATCCTCCTCCTTTTTAATGGCGGAGATGCTCTGCCTCTTGGGCCCGCGGCTTTTAATCTCGGGCTTGGACTTGTCATCAACTTCAGAGTCGTCTTCCTGTTTCGTTGCCCTCTTCCGTTTTGATGCGCTCGAAATTTTCTTCGAATTTTCATCGCCGGTACTATTCGTGGCGAGGCCGGTCTTCTTTTGGACTGCTGGAACAACAGCGCTTGTTCTGCCGCCGACTGTGATGAATGTTATCTTGTCGCCGTTTGGAAGTGCCGACGATTGATTCTTCTTGCCCTTGCCCCATCTATGCTTGAAGAGCCAATGCTCAGGAAACTTTTCAGAATCCGCAAGAACTTCAATTGCAGTAGAGCAAACATAATGCATTGCGGTGTGAAGCTCCTTGACCTGGTCAGCGGACAGTGTATTACTGTACTGTTCCGGATGGATCTTGGCGTGGTAAAGAATTTCGTCCCTAGAGATAATAATGTCAGATGTTGCAAAAAGATATTAGTTGGGCATACTTGACAGGGCTTACCCCATCCAATTTCCGATCCCGCTGATATTCGCTTGGTCGAGCAGAAGTGCCTTAATGGGTACTTTCCTGCTCTTCAGCTTCTCTGCCAGCCAGCCTTCCGTCAGAATGTCTTTATCCGCAACAGGTTCCGGCCCATTTTCCTTCAGGGGAGTGTATTTTCGGATTTCATCAGCGGGGCAATCGACAAGACGAATTCGACTTAACCTGCGCGCATCGACGAATGCCGCTTCGGCCTTCGGCTCGTCGCTTGTTTCCAACAAAAATTTCCAATATTTGGGCGGCCACTCCTGGTCAACAGGCTTGTCCGAACGGTAATAATAGGTATCAGCGCCCTTGATCTTCAGCCAGCCAGCCATGCCAAAATGCATCACGGCATGTGGTGGAGAGGACATTGTGATCCAGAAGTATTTCCCTTGCTGCCCGGCACCCATGACCTGTTTACCCTGCAGTGCCTTTTGAAATTCGGCCGCAGTGGTCCCAACCTTTCCATAAACGATATCATCGTGCTGCGCCTGGACCTTGGAGAGGGTCTTGCCAACCAGATGTTGTCGGATGAAATGCACGATACGTGCAACCTCTGCGAGCTCAGGCATCAAGAAACGTGTATTATTGAACGAGAGACAAATGCAAATGATATAAACAAGTTGATGCAATATATGTATGAATAGTAATAGGGGAATGTAGTCTCGCAACGACGTGTCGCGTTTCTGATCACTAGATCACCTGACTCGAACTACATTTAAATGCAATTAGTCAGCCACGGCACTAGTCCTAATGGCGCGCCATTCGATGACGGAGGCTGCGGCGAGCTACCAACCTCGCCCATGAATCAGTAAACTGACCTTTGATCGAAGCCCATTTATACAAATATTACACTGTTGTTCCTGGCGTATTATCCCGTGTTCCGATCAATACCGATTCTTCCAGCCTTCGACAACTACCCTAAGTACCGGGAGCATCATCCGTCTCCACTCAAGCTGGCGTTGTTCTGGGCTACAGAAACGACTCGAGAAAGCGGAGGAAGCGACGGTGAAAAGATGACTGAAGCATCGTCAACAGAGGCTCCAGCATTGACTCCCCAGTTTTGCTTCAATGAAAGACTCCTCAGAGGTTCGTTGACCGAGCAGGTCCCACGAATTCCATCCGACTGACCCGTGTTTTCTTTCGTCTAGACTTTTTGAGTCTTTCGCGGTCGACTATCGACGATTCGATTACGCAGAATCTTAATGCGTTAATAACCCCAGCCCGTGAGGGTTTCGATCCATCTTCTACCGCTGTGCGACAAATCGATTCCAAAACCCGGAAAGCGATCGATCCAAGAAATTGCCAGGGTTTCAAGGACAATGTGCTATTCCCGTCATGGCAGACTCGCTCCGACGTGTTAACCTACTGCGCCGGTGTTGCGACAAGTCCGGACCCCGATGATCCTGACCTGATCCTACGGGAGACCGAATCTGCGAGGGATCGAGAGCGAGTTGTGAATGAACGACTGGACCCATATTCAGCACGTTTCTTTCCCCGGGAGGCTAGAACAGAGTCACTCGCGAACTTAGTACGAAACCAACGGACCGTGGAAGATATCATCCGCACGAGAACCTGGGGCATGGTGACCGAAAGATGTGGTGGCTCTACGTCATGGGAGGATGCATTGAACAATTGGCGTCACAGCAATCAACGATGAATCAGTTGGTGGTAAAGTCAATCATTGGCGTCATGAATTGGCTGCTTATATTATACGGCTTTATTGGCTCTGGTTAAGCTTCTTTTGGGCCCGGTTGCTCTACTCTTCACTTTCATGTACAATAAGTATTGAATACATCACAGCATACATAGCGTTGTCTTTACGAACCTGAACATCATGCACGTGTACCTGAAAGTTTCCATCTAGATATCATGATGTCAAGTTAAATTTTGTCAGTTGGAGGAAGAGGGGTATGGTATAGCAAGTAAGGTATTTAGGCGGTAACTAGTAAGACCTTGCCATGAAAAGCTTTACAAGAACAACCCCTTATCGGTTACACAAAAGGGTTGCCACTCTGGGTGAATGCAGTTAAATTTCCTAGTCTCTGCATTCAAATGCAGACGTCAAATGTAGACGCGAGCCCATCGACGAGATTGAAATTTCTCTTCAGCCTCGTTCTGAGCCTTGGGCTATCTTATCGGCCCAGCTGGTTCTGCCAAAGTCGGACTCGGAGACGCCGCTCCCCGCACACATCGATTCCTCACTCGCACAAGTCAATTCACTCCAGCCCCATCGCCCACCATGCCGCAACCATTGAACTCCAAGGACCAGTCCTTGTTTCGTCAAGTGGTTCGCAACTTTGAGCAGAAGCAATACAAGAAAGGTCCCGCCTCCCCCGCACCCTCAATCGTCCCGCGTCAGCTAACACCGTTTTCATCATAGGCATTAAAACGGCAGACCAGGTTCTTCGCAAGAACCCCAAGCATGGCGATACACAGGCGATGAAGGCTCTGATCATGAGTCATCTGGGTCAGTTGGAAGAGGCGTTTGTGCTTGCCAAGGAGGCTCTGCGAAATGACATGAAGTCGCACATTTGCTGGCACGTGTACGGCCTGCTATACCGACAAGAGAAGAACTTCGATGAAGCGATCAAGGCCTACCGCTTTGCCTTGCGACTGGATCCCGAATCCCAACCTATCCAGCGGGATCTGGCACTCCTTCAGATGCAGATGCGCGATTTCCAGGGATATATCCAGAGCCGCAGTGCTATGCTTCAGGCGCGCCCGGGTTTGCGACAAAACTGGACCGCATTGGCTATTGCTCACCACCTTTCCGGGGATCTGGAGGAGGCCGAGAAGGTTTTGACCACCTACGAAGACACCCTGAAGGATGGTATCCCACCCGTTGCCGATATGGAGCACTCTGAGGCTTGCCTGTACAAGAACACAATCATCGCGGAGACAGGCAACCTGGAACGAGCCCTGGAGCACCTGGAAAAAATTGGCTACCGGTGTACCGATGTGCTTGCCGTGATGGAGTTGAAGGCAGACTATCTCTTGCGACTTGGCCGCAAATCAGAGGCCGAAGAGGCATACACCGCTCTGTTGGAGCGAAACCCCGAGAACTCAGTCTACTACAATGGCTTGATTCAAGCGAAGGGAATCCCGGAGACTGATCACAAGGCGCTGAAGGCTCTGTATGATGAGTGGGTGGAGAAGAACCCTCGCGGTGATGCGGCCCGTCGCATTCCCCTCGACTTCTTAGAAGGGGAAGATTTCAAGCAGGCCGTCGATGCCTATCTGCAGCGGATGCTGAAGAAGGGTGTTCCCTCGCTGTTTGCAAACATCAAGTTCTTGTACTCCAACTCTGCCAAGCGCGACGTAGTGCAGTCGCTGGTTGAGGGATATATCTCTGGCAAGGCTGGTTCGCAGGCGAACGGCTCTGCGGAAGGCAAGCAAGATAACAACGAGTTCTTGACATCCACCTACTATTTCTTGGCCCAACATTACACCTACGAGCTGAGCCGCAACCTCACAAAGGCCATGGAGAATGTTGACAAAGCCATCGAACTGTCACCTAAGGCTGTTGAATATCAGTTGACCAAGGCACGTGTCTGGAAGCACCATGGAAACCCTGTCAAGGCAGCGGAGGAGATGGAGAAGGCTCGACTTCTTGATGAGAAGGATCGGTATATCAACACAAAGGCCGCCAAGTACCGCCTTCGTAACAACGAAAATGAGAAGGGTCTGGATCTCATGAGCAAGTTCACCCGCAACGAAACCGTGGGAGGAACATTGGGTGATCTTCACGAAATGCAATGCGTTTGGTTCTTGACAGAGGATGCCGAAGCGTTCCTGCGTCAGAAGAAGCTGGGCCTTGCGCTCAAGCGTTTCCACTCGGTCTTTAATATTTTTGAAACTTGGCAGGAGGACCAGTTCGACTTCCACAGCTTCTCCCTTAGGAAGGGAATGGTCCGAGCCTATGTGGATATGGTTCGTTGGGAAGACCGCCTGCGTGAGCACCCCTTCTACACCAGAATTGCTCTTGGTGCCACCAAGGCATACTTGCTTCTCAATGACCAGCCCGATCTTGCCCATGGACCCATTGCAAATGGTCCCAACGGTACTGGGGTTTCGGAGGAGGATCGCAAGAAGGCTCTCAAGAAGGCCAAGAAGGAGCAGCAACGCCTCGAGAAAATCGAGTCTGACAAGCGGGACGCCAGAAAGGCAGCCGCTGCCAATGCCAAGAGCCAAAGCGTGGACGGAGAGGTCAAGAAGGAGGACGCCGATCCCCTTGGAAACACTCTGGTGCAAACGAAGGATGCGCTCAAGGATGCTATGAAGTTCTTGACACCCTTGCTCGAGCTCAGTGCGCAGAATATTGAGGCTCAATGCCTAGGCTTCGAGGTCTACATCAGGAAAAGTATGTTTTAAGCCCGCCCTCCCCAAATTCAACACATTTTATTAATTCGCTGCACCAACAGACAAATACCTACCCGCCCTGAAGTGTCTCTCAGCCGCTCATGCCATCGATCCCTCAAACCCTACCCTTCACCTCCAGCTCCTGCAATTCCGCAAGACAATTGACAGCCTTACCGATGCCCTGCCCGCTGAAGCTGCGGAAGTCATCGATACTGAGTTTGAGAAACTTCTTCCCAAGTCCCAGAACCTCGAGGAATGGAACGAGTCTTACCTGTCAGCCAACAAGAACAGTGTTGCGCATATTCAAGCCGCTTTGTCAGGCCGTCAGCTCCTGAAGCCTGACTCGAAGGCTCAATGTGAGAAGGACCTAGTGGCCTCTCTGGACACTCCCTACCGTCACCATTGAAGAGGCCGTCGTTGCTCTTGAGAGGTTGAGCAAATGGGGCAGCGACCCGACTGCATACGCCGAGAAGGCTAGCAAGAAGTGGCCCGAGTCGTCAGTCTTTCAGCTGAACTGATTGCGCCTTGAGCTAGCAACGATCTTGTTCTCAGACTTCCAATGCCGCTTTTATTGATCGGTCGCTTATTATAGCGACGTTGGCCCGAAGGTAGCAACGTGGATGGAAGCAGTGGCAGGTATACACATACTCAGCTAGATATCGAATGATGGAGGACATCTCGTCGAAAAAGAGAAATACTAGAAACAGTCTTGAAATCTATACCTTTGATATGTATCTCAAAAAATTCCAAAATACACAAATGAATCAATGTCCAAAGTACAAGTATACGTACGATACCTGAAAGAAACATGAAGTACTACAAAGTATTCCAACTTGAATGTTCGTAGTAATTAGTGATTTCTTGAAAATTCTGGAAAATTCTCAGAACTTTTCCAAGTCTAGAATGCACATGTCATGTACACGCAAAGTAAAACAAAACACACAATAGAAGCGCCTCTAATATACAAACCGAGGAGGGAGGATGGATATGCAAGTGACAGAAAACGTGAGATCTCCCCATACAAGGGGAGTTTGGGACAAAAACACCCGCAACCTTCTATGTATACACATATAATTCAGACACCTTGATGCTGTTTTCACGCATCCTCTTCGCCATCAATGTTACCTAGGATGGGTTTGCGGCGGATGGTTTCATCGTCCTCACCATAGCCGTAGTTGATCCACATACTTCTCCAGAATGAAACAGGCGCAGGACGCTCTTCGCCGAGAATGTATTCCTTCTGCTCGGCAATGCGCTGTGAGCGAGCCTCGTCTTCGGTAGAGAGGACGGAGTGCTTCATGCGCGAGGAAATGCGTGAGTCCAGAGCAATGTCATTGATCCACACGCGCTCCCTGTCCTCGTCAATTGAGTTGTAGATAGATTTGTGCCATTCTTTCTCTTCCTTCGCTAGAACAGTCTGCTGCTCGTGGTTGCCGTGGGGCAATTCTGCGCCGGAGTCATCGGGCGAAGAGAAAGGAGTCGCATCGGTAGAGGATCCGCTGAGCTCGGAATCGAAGCCGAGGGTTTCATCGCGGTAGGGACGAGCGGCGGAGGCCAGAACAATGCTGGCAACATCACGACCAATGCTCTCAGCGAGATGACGTTGGTTGAGGTAACGATACATACGGATAGGGGTGTTTGTGAAGCCCAGGATGTGAGGGAACTCAATGGGGATAGAGCTGTCGAGAGACTGGGGGAGAGTGGAGGGAAGTTGAGCAGTAGGGTAATCGGCGGTGGTGATGTAGGCGGGCTTAGGGCCGGTAGGCTTAGAGGGCTTTTCCTTCTCTTCCTGCTCGGCCTTAGGCTCTTCTGTCTTGGTGTCGTCAACCTTGATATCTTCGAGCTTGGTGACTTGACCATTGTTAGCCTCATCGGGCTTGGTCTCGGGAGATTCTTGCGTGTCGGATGGCGACGGGCTAGGCTGGTCGCCCGTGGCAATGTCCTTCATCGTCTCCTCGGCACCTTCTGGAACAGCAACTGCCTCTTCGACAGGCGCGGGCGGCGGATCAAGAGGACCCAACCAACCCTCGTGCAATCCACGGACATATTCCTTCCAGGTGTGTCGGCCAATCACCAAATCACCCTTGGGGCCGGGTTCGTCGGTCACGCCCATCTTCTCTCGCGCCTCCAGAACAACGGTCTCCACGCTCGGCTCTTCCACGACGGTGGTTTGTTCACCGGCCTTTCTCCGGATTTTGCGAATGTGCTCCGCGGCGCCAGCGCGCACTTCTCCTTCCCGGCGTCCCTCGATCACGTTATAATCCAAAGCTGCGGCGGTCAAGATCGGCTTGACATATTCTTTGAAATGATCACGGGCGACACGCAAACCATCACCGGGGGGGAGCCGCGAGGTACACAGTCAATTTCCGGCGCATTTGATGCACATCCAATGGCTCGTTTGCAAGATGAGCCACGAGATCGCACCACTTCTGTTGGGTGCGTCGCTTCTCACGTCGGTCGTAGACGATTGCGCTCGTCAAGGATCCGGTGATGGTGAGGAAAATCATCCAGTTGCGCGAGGGGAGTTTGAAGCGGATGTTGGGTAGTCCTAACGTGGTTGATCGTGTCAGTGGTCATGGTCATGGTCATAGTCATGGTTATGATTATGGTTATGGGCTTGATCAAGGATCTCAACATACCCATCATTTTGAAAACCGGGTTAGGCGGCTTGGGAGCAGCCGCGGGCTTGCCGCCTGCAGGGGCTGTTGAGCTTGAAGAGTCGGCCATTTTCAATTGGAAAGTGGCAATCGCACACTCTTTTGGAGACTTTCAAGACTTTCAAGACTTTCTCAAACTTCGGGGAGAGTCGCCGCATCCCGAAAAAAGTCTCGGGCCCAGGATGATCCGCGTCACGTGAGAACAAGGAGTATACTTTTGGACAGTCCAATATAAAGTAGAGTAGAGTACCAAGAGAGTACACAGAACTTGGATATAAACTACTAGTATACTCACATTTATTGAGATAGGGGCTCCTGTAGCCCGGTTTCTCTCTTCCGAGTTATGGTTCCTTGTTCCTTGGTCTATTCGGACTAATTGGATTGACTTGTGTATTCTCAGCCCACCAACCACGCTATAGGATGTTCTATAACTCAGGTGTGAGAGCTCCCCAGGGACCCAAGTCCTAAAAAAAATTGCAGATCCAACTGGCTTGGAATGCACTCCCCCCTGGCTCCCACTCTGTACCAATAGAATCGGCAACATCTCCAGGATCATTTTTGACAACACCCACAATGCTCAGCACGAGGGGTTCGCGGCTACGTGTATCCACTGGGCCCAGGCGATCCAGGGCCGATCCGAGGGACGGCATACAGAGTACTTCCATGTAAAAAGTCAAGGGCCTCTTGATGGCAGCACCCTGGGAGAAAAGTCATAGCAGGCCGTAGCACACAGGGACCACAGACGGTTTCAGCCTTCCAGTAAAAACACCAAGAGAAGTTTGATCAGGGGCGGAGGCATCGAAGAAGTGGATTGTCTTTGCCTCCTGAGACCGCTTCTTTGCTCCCCGCCTTCTCCTTTCCCTGTCCCACTCCCATTCCCATTTCCATTTCCATTCCCAATTCCATCATCCACTTTCGAATTTCTCCAACAACCCCTCCACCTGCCTGTTGACTCCCCCACCCACCCCCGATTGATCGATTGGAGCTCAGACTGTCAAGATGGATCCCAATAACAACAACAATCGCCAGAATAACAACATGAATTACGGCTACAATGACCGGAACTACAATGCGGCCAACAGTCGCGCCTATCCCACCACCCCCTCCGCCTTTCCCCAACCCATCTATCAGACTCAGGGGGGTCAGGAATATGTTGATCCCGCCAATCCGGCCTATTCTCAAGGTTATTTCATGACCAACCCCTACCCTCCTCAGACACAGCAACAACAGTACGCCCAGCAACAGCAGTATGCGCAGCAACAGCAGCAGCAAGGCCTCCAGTCGCCTCAACCCGCCTATCAAAATCGGATGGGCTACCCCCCAACCGATGGAACCAATGGTCTCATCCAGCAATTTTCCAACCAGGATCTGAACGCCAATCGTGGCAATTTCTTCGGTCGGGGGAACTCCCCCGCCGCTGCTCAGCGCCCTCGTACTGCGGGCGGTTCACCTGCTGGTCCTGCGCAGGCAGCACACTTGGCCCCTCCGGTGCCTCGCAGCCCTCGGCCCCCGTCGGAGAATGAGGAGCTACAGCGTTTCTCGGATAGATACTCGGAGAATGTGCACAAGCGGGGCAAGGCCGCAAAGGAACTTGTCACCGTTTTCTTCCATGAGAACATCGAGCGTGCCCGTGATCGCAACATGCGGTACGTACTATTATACTCTAGCCTTTGTGAAGCCACTGTTTGATCTGAATAGCTGACATTGACTCTCTCTTCCTCGTATAGCTCCGTGGACCTTGACAAGACCCTCCGTGACCCCGCCGTCGTGGGTGACAAGAAACGCCAGGACGCCGAGACAATCTCAAAGAGGGAATCGGACTTCCTTCGTTTCCTCCGAACCAAGGAGACCCCGCAGAACTTCCAGACCATCAAGATCATCGGAAAGGGTGCTTTTGGTGAGGTGAAGCTGGTGCAACGCAAGACCGATGGCAAGATCTATGCCCTGAAATCTTTAATCAAGACGGAAATGTTCAAGAAGGATCAGTTGGCGCACGTTCGTGCCGAGCGTGATATCTTGGCGGATTCAAAGGATAACCCTTGGTTGGTGAAACTGCACGCTTCCTTCCAGGATACAGCCTACCTTTACTTGCTCATGGAGTTCTTGCCTGGCGGTGATCTGATGACCATGCTGATCAAATATGAAATCTTCTCGGAGGATATCACCCGATTTTACATGGCCGAGGTCGTGATGGCTATCGAAGCTGTCCACAAACTTGGCTTCCTTCACCGGTACGTGGTTCGACTCATGTTCTCTAATGTCGCAAGAGAAACTTGTCCACGTTCTTGCCATCATCGTTCATCTCATACTGACGAATCTCAATAGTGATATCAAACCTGACAACATTCTTCTCGACCGCGGCGGTCACGTCAAGCTTACAGATTTCGGTCTTTCAACCGGTGGAAAGAAGACCCACGACAACGCCTATTACCAAAACCTCTTGAAGAACTCAACATCGAAGGATCGCAACCGCAACTCCGGTTACTTCAACGATGCTATCAACTTGACAGTCTCCAACCGTGGTCAAATCAACACTTGGAGGAAGTCTCGTCGCGCGATGGCCTATTCTACCGTTGGAACTCCTGATTATATTGCTCCCGAGATTTTTAACGGACAAGGATACACTTATCTTTGCGATTGGTGGTCTGTAGGTGCTATTATGTTTGAGTGTCTTGTTGGCTGGCCACCATTCTGCGCCGAGGATACCACCGATACTTACCGCAAGATTGTGAACTGGCGTGAATGCCTTTACTTTCCTGATGAGCTGGTTCTCTCCCGTGAATCCGAATCTTTAATTCGAAGGTATGTCTTTCCCCCTATCCGGAAATTAAATTGCTGAACCCGAACTCACTTTCTTTCAACAGCTTCTTGTGTGACCCCGAGCACCGTATCGGAAGTGACGGCGGCCAACACGGCGGCGCAAGTCAGATCAAGAACCACCCCTTCTTCCGTGGCGTTGTCTGGGAACAACTGCGTGCCATCCGTGCTCCGTTCGAACCCCGACTCAGCTCCAACATCGACGTTTCGTACTTCCCGATCGACGAAATTCCCCAGGAAGACACCAGTGCTATTCACCGTGCCCAGGCTCGTGCCATGCCAGACTCACAGGAGGCAGAGATGAGTTTGCCATTTATTGGATACACCTACAAGGCTTTCAATGCCTTCCAGGCCTCCTAAACCTCCAGTTTTTGAGAACACATAGCTGGTCAGCGCGTTGTATAGGAGGGCGCAAGAAGCAGGCGGGGCTTGCATCTACTTCTGTACCAGCATGGACCCGGGCTGCTTGAGGCTTGGGCGTTTTCATCTCTCCGCCACGAATCGTCATTCAGCATATCAGCGCGATGTTTTCCGAGTCATGATCCCGAGCGCCGTCTTTTGATTTTAGTTCTGGATATCTAGCCCATCTTTTTATCATTCCGATATACCTCATGTCGGGGCCGAATGGGGCTTGTTAAGAAGTATCACATATTCGTCCTTTTCGCATTTCAGATCTCGATTTTGCATCTCATAGTCTGGAAAAACAAAAAGATCTGCCCTTGTTTACATATAACCGCTATAGTCATAGATTATGATAAGCTAACTTGCCACCTCTTTCTACATGTTAGCGCTCCAGTCTGGTTGGCATTTACTGAATTGGGATTCTTGGAAAGAAACGAAAATCAATTTCGGTGTACTCTCCACATCTAAACTTTACCATCCATGGATGATGCTTAGTGCCAGTAGAAGATATTCGGCTTTGAGAATAGTTGTCATCAATCAAGCTCAAATGGTATGCGGTTGCTCAAGTATCATAGAAATTATCAACAGGAATTAGCCCCAAACGCCAGTTCTCCATTTCCCACCACAGACATGACCAAATTCGGTTTTTTGAAGCCAGACGGCAAAATAGCCGCAAAAGATGAAAAGTCGTCCTCACATCTGCATAGGTGCCAAGCCAGGCACGCCACTGAACCGCTCCTCGCGCTCAGTCTTAAACATAATCTGCACCCAGAATTGCTTGCTATCCTCATCGAACCAAGTCCAGTATCTTCCCGGCCGGCGATCAATCTCGCGAGCCTGCAGCTTGAATCCGCAAGTCTGGTATGGCTCAGCAGCCACAACCAGGTATTGATAGTCATTATTCGGGTCCTCGATCTTTTGTTCGTAGGCGGACATGAATCGCACGCGCGGCACAACACCCGGGGTAATCTCCTGGAACTGCAACTGGAAAAGCAAACCCATTTGGCGGGTCAATGGGTCGCGGACCTTGGTAATCTTGTATCCGGGTCGACCGATCTTGATGGTCTGTTTCTTGACCTGCACACCCATAGCACCAGGCATGGAGGAAGGGTCTTGATTCTTGCCTTCGCGTTGTTCGCGTGCGGCTCGGCGGGCGAGGTTCGTCTGGTGCTTGCGCCCCTGCGTGTGGGCGAGATAAGAGCCGTCATTTTGGTGGACGGTCAGACAGAGTCGGCACTCGAAGCTTCCGACGTGGTTTTTGAAGAAATAGGGGTCTTTATCGAGATCGATTGATTCCAGCGCGAGCTTGCGCAGGCGCTCGCGACGGTCGGCGTTGGTTGCCGACTGAGAGGCGACACCTCCGCCGCCGAACTTGGAGCCTGCCCGGTTCTGGGAAACGTCAGTATCAGTAGATTCACGATGTGTATACTCGCATAGTTCCAGGGCATATAGCTGAAACATACCTGGTAATCCATTTTGGCGTGGCGTTCTCGTTGCGAAGAGTTGTAAAGGGCAAATCTGCGTGGATCGGGATAGACGTGGTTAGTAAGCGGGTTGCGGGCCCAGGAGAGGTACACGCCTCGCTGCTCTGCAATAGTTGACGGATCCGAAATTACGACAAGCTGCTGGTAGTAGGATCTTTACTTTCGAGTCAGATGGATCACTCGCTTGTGGGCCAGCGTCGGTCCTTTGATGGCCAGCTGTGCACCATCCGCTACGTAGGCAGTGTCCAGGGCACCGCTGGCGACTGGCTGGGTGTTGAGTGGGACGACGCAACTCGAGGAAAACATGCGGGGGAGCATAAAGGAGTCCGTTATTTCACATGTATGTCTTTTCCGGCCCTTCATAATTGTAATCATTTTATTTAACCTCATCTATAGGCAAAAGCAAATACCCCACGGCGGGGTCTTTCGTCCGTCCCTCTAGGCCATCAGATCCGCCCAGAAGTTTTTTGGAGGGACTGCGTGAAAAATACGCTTCTGAGTCCGAGCAGGAGCCTTCACAGCAAGGCAATCCAAATGGACCTTCGTCTAAAAAGCTGATTGAAATTAGTGGCAAGGTGGTTGAAGAAGTCGGCTTCGACAAGATCCGCAAACAGCTTGCAGAATTGCAAGAACTGCGGATTGTGCTACTCGATGGCCTACCAATTGCCGGAGTTCTGTCATCCTATGACCAGCCGGAGGATCAAGTTGAACAGTCTGTCGAAAGTATTGCAGCCACTTGCCCGAAAATCACAGAGCTGGACCTCAGCCGCAGTTTATTGACGAGCTGGCGTAACGTTTGGCAGATCTGCAGCCAGCTCAAGAAGCTGAGAAAGTTGAAAGTGAAGTAAGATTCATTGTCTCCGCAGATATTATATGTCTAGAGTTGATAGAAGCTGATTACCGTTACAGTGGCAACCGGTTTCATCCTTTGGAAAATGGATTCCTCTTCGAGGGGGTCACTGAGCTCCATCTGGAAGAGACATTATTAAGTTGGGACGAGGTACGGAGTTGGAAGTATCTTTCCACGAACAGAACCACAACTCACATTATGAATCCAGATTGTAGAAGTGGCATCACGATTCCCAGCCCTTAAATCACTCACGGCTTCTGGCAACCAACTCTCTACGATCTCTCGACCACTATCTGGCCACATCACCAAGCTTGTCCTCGAAAATAATGATTTCTCTTCTTTATCAGAAATCCGCAATCTAGCAGAATACTCGACCCTGGAACATCTATCACTACGAGGAAACAACATCAGTACCGTCAATGGTGATAACGACACCATCGCAGACTTCCACTTCTCAACATCCCTCCACTCGCTCGACCTTTCCCGCAACAGCATTCCTTCATGGGCCTTCCTCAACAAACTCTCAATCATGTTTCCAGCTGTAGCAACCCTCCGCATATCTGGAAACCCTCTTTATGATCTCTCCCCGCTTCCACCCGCCGTCGCAGCAGCGACATCTACCATGAGTGCCTCCAAACCAATGACGGTCGACGAAGGCTTCATGCTCACCCTTTCCCGCTTCCCACCTTCCCTCTGCGTTCTAAACTTCAGTGTCATCTCGCCACAAGACCGCTCGAATGCAGAGATGTATTACCTTTCACTGATTGGAAAGGAATTATCCGCCACAACCGCCGCGGAAGAATCACCTGTCCTCGCCGCTCACCCACGGTACGCTGAGCTGTGCGATCTATACGGCGAGCCAACAATCACAAGGGCTGTCATTGGTGATGCCGTGGGGGGTAGAGTGATCCATCCGAGGTCCGTAGCGGCAAGACTAGTCAAAATGGCATTCCGTTTACATGGAAAGTCAGGTGGATCAGACGCGGAGACTCAGGTGAAAGAGATCCCCACATCTCTCGATTCATACCAAGTGAAAGCTCTAGCATCTCGGCTTTTTGGACTTGAGCCATATGGGTTCAAGCTTATCTGGGAAACGGATGAATTCGACCCTGTGGAGAAAACAACAATGGATGATGGTGCAGCCGACTGGGACGAGGATAGTGATGGCGAGATGCGTGTACCTGATCAGGCATCTGCTTTTCCTGATAGTACGAGCCGGTTCGTGCGAAGGGAAGTGGAATTGTCGGAATCAGCAAGGGATATTGGCTTCTTGTTCCAAGGCGAAACGGGAGAAGTTAAGATTAGAGTAGAAGTGCCACATTCATAGTGCATCTATTGTCGTTGCATACTGGCATCCATCGTCGGAGAAAACTACATTGGTATCAAATACGAGAATTAGATTTCAGAGAATATGTTGTTATCTTTTTCTATTCAAATAAGTAACCGTTAAGCATAGAGGCGTGGGCTATCTAACTAGATTGTTAGATGCCACGGGGTATGAAGCTCCCCCGCTAGCGAGGGAGATATGCACGAAAAATACAAGCCTTCGCATGGGAAAGAAGCAAAGGTGAGAAAACGCCGAAGGACTTTGCTTGCTCATCGCCTATTTCCTCAGAACCCCGATGTAAAAGCAACTGCAAAAATCACATCATCCAAAATCAAATCTGAAACGCCTGGGCCATGATGCTTTTTGAATCTCGAGTAGATTTCGAGCGTGGACACAAAGGAAAAAAGTACAAGAAAGGCTCTAGGTGGCTATAGAGCTTTGTATGGACGTGCGTGACCGCAAGAGAGGGGGGAGGGGATTGGGAGAGACCACTGCATCAAACTGATCATTCGCGAGCAGCCCACCAAGAACGGACTGCCATGCAGCAAATTCGCTTGTAGATCTGCGTAGTGCCCTTGCCTTCGGCTTCTTCCTCAATGAACTTTTGGGCAACGAAGAGCCTGGTGCCTGCCTCCTTCTCGGTTGTGTAGCCAACCTTAGGCAGGCTATTAGGGAAATCCGCCCATCGTTGGCCAAGGTGTCGTGCGATAGCGATGGAGTAGATAATGTCTCGGTTTTCATATGTGTCCAACAGTTGACGGCAGCGTCCGAGTGTGTCATCAATTTGCTTAGCCGAGCTCGCTTCGTTATCGTGGAGAGTGAGAAATTCGCCGAGCTCACCCCAGAAATCCAATTGGCGTTGCAAGAACTGATCTGGGGCATTTGGCGGGTGGCAGCATCCATTCCCATCGCTCTTGACAAGGAGTTTTGATCGAGGTGGCTCCAGCTCAAGAGGGCCTCCATTGCGTTGAGACGAGCGGTCGTGGCGACCAAGTTCCAGTCCTGACCGTATTGACCATTCTCTGAGTTCGGCACCTGGCGACATAGCACCATACTCCTCCAGATAATCGAAGCTTCGAAGCTCTCGAGACGAGCCACGGTATTTCCATCGCTGAGATTCCAGTCATTGAATGCGTTGATCAAGGCAGAATAATCGGCCATGAGCTGTGCATCGGCCATGAGGACAGGGAGCGCCTTTTCCGAGTACCAGCGAACCTCTAGGAGCTTGTCGATCGCAGGGGCGTATGTTGCGAGGAAGACGGCCTGGATTTCTTCGAGTCGGCCGGGAGGAAGCGACCCGATAGGATGAGGTAGGGGAGGTGGAATACCTCTCAAGGACATCAAGTCATTGAGGCTGAGGTTTTTGGCTATTGGGATATGCTATGTTAGCTGCGTTTCAACGACACAGAGCGATGATTTTTGAGAGGGGAGGGAGAAAAAATCGCATCGACAGTTCAAGCGCACCTTTGTATGTAGGCTCCGAGACCTGGTGGCCATGATCATTCGAGTTTTGCATATTTATTTGGGGTAGTGGGTTGTTTGGTGGAAGAGAAGACTCAAGGGAAGCTCCGTGGTCAGGTTGATCAGTTGAGGTGCTGGGTGATTCAGAATGAAGAGAAGGAGCAAAAGGTTGTGAAGATGCGGGCATGTACCCTGGAGGTGCTGAAGGATACGAAGGTATCGAAGGGGCAGGAGGGCCTTGAGGATTGACGACTAGCGACGGGGGAGGATTCGGAGCTGGTTGGATGGCCGAGGGAGTGGATGCTTGAGGCCTGAAAACCGGGTCGTAGCCTAAACACTCGCGCTTGCTTTTCACGCAATTTCTGCACACTGGATGACCTTCGTCGCACTGTGGAAAATTAGTTGATGGCCTATAAGTAATCGGCGCAAAAGGGGGTGGTTGAGTCGTGGGTTGAGCGGGAGATAAAATAGACGATGGCGGGGTCTGCGGGCACAAGCGAGACTTCCGCCCCGCGAAATGCGCGCAACGTGCAAAAACTCAACGCATCACATACCTTAATTCTTCGTTTGCGACAGGTCAAACATCCGGTTTTCGTCCGTCGCTTGACCTCCTTCTTGTGCCTCCCACCCGACAGAATCTTATTCGGATCCCCAGGCATTGGATATCCCATCTGGTTCGAGTTCATGCCCGGCTGCGGTACATTGGACGGATACCCAGTCATGTACTGTCCCATAGATGCCATCGGAGGCATGTTGGAAGGCATTGGAGAGCCAATTGGTGCTTGCGGTACTTGTCCATGTTGTCCCTGGCCATTGTTTCCAGGGTTTGCGTTCACAGAAGAAAATCCCCCTTGATTATGATACATATCAGAGTTCTGCTGCTGCTGCTGATAATTCTGTGGCGGTTGAGATTGAAATTGGTGCTGAGCCTGAGCCTGGGATTGCTGGTGTCCGTCGTATTGCTGTTGTGGTCCGGGGCTTTGTGTATACTGGTATGTGCCATTGGATTGCGTTTGGTAATGATTCGAGCCATTTGCAGAACCCGAGTGCTGGCCCATGTTGTGGTTGTGGTCGTGGTCCGTTGAGGGTTCAACAGTATGGTCGTGGTCGTGATCGTCAAAATGGCTGTCGTCAAACGTATGGTGCTCGTCCATGGTCGGAATATCGGTACCAATAGCGGGTAAAGAAGAGTCCAGCGAGGGGAGAGTTGTGTCGATAGCTGGCAGCGATAGGTCTGGGGCCGCAGAAGATCCCACAGAAGGAAGGGCCGAGTCGAAAGAAGGTAATCCGGTATCATCAAAGGACTCCGTACCGTCCAGGCCCGTTGTGTCCATTGGTGGGAGTGACGATTCTATAGAAGAAGTGACATTCGCGACCTCCGTAGTTTGGCCAGCCTCTTCTTGAATGTTGCTGACAGCCGTCTGCTGGTTTGCGCTTGTATCCAACTGTGCGACTTCCACCTGGGACTCATTCACCGGAGTTGCATGTTGATCTTGTTGTTGCGGGGACGTTGTCTCCCCTTCAAACGAAGTCTCAGCATGTGCGACAGATTGGCTGGTATCTGTAGTTGGCGCATTTGGTTCGGTCGGCGGATTGGCTGGGTCTCCAGGATTGGTCTCTGTCGGTTCTGCCATATTCGGCTGGATTATCTCCGCAGCGATGTAGCGGGTTCTCTCGTTGCGTTGCGCGCAAAATTATAGGATGAAAGCCCCGTTCAAGACAGGCCAAGTTTCGAGGTCAAAGGTCAAGTGTGTTGTTGCTGGGCAAAGGCAGCACACCAATTCGATCGGGATGGGACGTAAGAATCATTTATCTGCTGTGGTCTTGCAAGGGCATTGTTAGCAAGATTCTTGTCTGGAATCTCTCGTGGGCAGTGTAAGTCATTGTCAGAGGCAAAGAGAAGAATCCGGAGAAGCACGCGATCGTATCGGAAATGGGCAGAGTAATGGCGAGGGGAATCCTTGGGGTCTTGCAGGAATCAATGCCTCGCAGTCCAGCGCCTATCGGTGGGCTGCGATGTGCCGAATCCTCAATCTGCTGAGACGGCCAAATTGCACCAACAGCTCCGAGGCTCTAATATTCCCAGTAGGAAGAATCTAGAAGTAGCAAGCAAGTGCCCTGGGAGACCCATTTTCTCCCTTCGCAGTGTTCATGCCGACCGACCGAGTTTTGCCAGTCGCATTCTTTCCTGCGAAGACTCAGGCGAGGTCCCCCGCCCGCGCTTTACCCCCGACCGGTGACCCAATATCTCAGGAGACGACGAAAGGGGCAAAATGCACCAGGGATAGGATGAACTCGATCGCGAAACTGCCGAGGGGGGGGAATCCGAGACACCTGCGCGAGTGGGAAAGAATGCGCTCCGAGGGACAAGATGGGGTTTGCTGGGGCTGGAGGAAAGCATGCAACTGCTGTCAGATTGAACAAACTCACCGTATTGAATGCCCTCTGGGGGTGGTGGTAAAGGTGGTAGGGGTGTTATAAAGGAAAATGGAAGGGTGTTGCTGGGAAACTCGGCGAGTCCGGGGCTGGCAAGTAGGAAGAGATGCGCGAAGTTGGGATTGAACTAAAGGAGCTTTCCTTTCCGGCGATCCAAAGACTCCGCTTCGACGCCAAAAAAAAAAAATTGGAGTGGCAAGTCTATAACCCCAGGAACATGAATATGAAGTATACACAATAATATTAGTACATAACATATGTAGAATAATCAGAGATTTCAGGTTACAATAAATACATCTAAGAAATAATATTTCAACTTTGTTTGATTCAAAGTTCATTCATTCAACTAGTATTGTCATGTACTCTACCCACCCCTCACACTAGACAAGGAGTGGACAGATCTATATGCCGGTTCTGCTCACACACCTCAGATACAATTCACCTTATTTGTCGTGCAGAAGCTGAGCGAATGACCGAACATCTTAGCCCACGAGCTTTCCCAGTGGGTTTAGATATTGGAAGGCCAGATCAAGTCGGCGATTGCCGATGTAACGACCCTCAAGTTGAGAGCCTCATTCCGATCCCAGGGAGATTTCTGCGAGTCAACCTCCCGATCGATTTTGAAATGTGAACTGCTCTTTCGGGGATAGATGTGCTATTTTGACGGCACAGTCGCTATTAGTGGCACTAATGGGCCATCTCAAAACTGCAAACCGGCACTCTTCCTAAGAAAATGGATTTGGCGACAAGTGCAATCAAGCGCGTCAATATTTCCGATAATATCATTCGAAAAAATGTTATTTTCTCATGACCTTAGGTTTGCGCTTTTTGAAAGAAAACCCGGTCGCCTCTTCAGCTGGTGGTCTTTCGTCCTTCGGGGCCACTGAATCGACCCCAGGCGTTTCGGTCTTCGCATCTGATGACTTGTCGGCCTCGGGGGCAGCTGATTCTGACACCTCATCCTCTTGCTTTACGAGGGCAGGAGGTTTCAGCTTTTTCTCTTCGGACTCAGCATCGGCAGATGTAATTTTAGGCTTTTTAAGCTCCTTGTTAGAGGAAAGCAAGGCATCCAGATCGTCGTCTTCCCCATCCTGTTCTCCAGGGTATGTTCTCAACTTTGAACCCCAGCCTAGGCTAGTTGTCTTCCCGGGAGCATGCTCGTCGACCTCTCCTTCTTCCTCATCGCCCTCGTGTTTGCGTTTGCGGACTCCAATAGACTTGCTAGCTCCCTCGAGGCCTTCGGCGGCGACATTTGTCTCTGAAAGTGTCTGCCACTCGCCAACCAAAGACATGTCCGCACGGTACTCCTGAGGGATTGAAACGCCCATTTCTGCCAGTTGCGACATCTGTTTCTTCCGATCTTCTATGCTGGCCGATCTGTCGCTAGGCTTTGGTGCCGGCGGTGCTGTGTGTGTCGGAGTGGCATCTTTCGCCGTAGAGGATCCGCCCCCGACAGCTTGTCGTAATCTTTCAACTTCGCTCCTCGCACGTTGGCTATCTCTTTGTTGAATTTCATTATTTTTGTGGATATCTCGGAGGAATCGCTTCAAGCTGCCTTGGTGTTTCGGGCTAGCTTCATGTTGGGTCTTTTCGAAGGGCGTGTCGCGAATAAAGATCTTGCACTGCTTGCACCAGTGACGAGGCTATGGGGAGAAAACCTGTCAGTAATTCACATGGACAGAGACAAATATGAGGTACTCACCGCTGACTTCCAGTATTCGGCCATGGCAGACTTGCTGTGGATGGAAATTGTTGTTGGCGCAAAGTAGACCTCCGAATCCGCCCCGAGCTGGAGGTGCGATAAGATCAGAAATCGATCTAGCCCCAATGCGGCAACCGCCGTAGTACCACCAATTGAATTATATATGTTCGTTTATTTCTGGCGTTTTGGGTCATTTAATTTTTCAAATTTCAAAATCAAGTACGTTATACATCGGATAGTTCTATTAGTCTTATTCAAGCTTGCCCCGTGACCCACTGGCATCTATATATTCCGACTCGGAGTCCGTTGCCATGTAGTAAGTAATATACAGACGACTCGGATCTATAATCGTCATTTCAATTTATCTTGCTCTGGAACCGGGCTCTTGAGCTTTCCTGTTTCAAGACCACGACGGACGTTTGCAATCGCCCACTCCTCCATTGCGGCCATGGTCTACAATATTGATTGTTAGCATGAAAAGTTAGGGTGCTGGTTAAACATAAGAGGCTTTGCTCAACTCACCTCGACAGTATAGGTACCCATATGAGGCACGAGCATAACATTTGGGTTGCTAATGAGGCCAGGATGAACCTTAGGCTCTTCTTCGAATACATCGAGGCCGGCAGAAAGAACCTTGCCACTATCCAGGGCTTCGACGAGGGCCGCCTCATCCATGACAGGACCGCGAGCAGAGTTCACGACAACAACCCCATCCTTCATCTTAGCAAACTCGGGCTTTCCGATGATATGACGGGTGTTTTTCTTTGAGGAGTCAGTGGACATCCTTCGAAGCGCGAACCAAGGGCCTTGAATTACTCACATTCAAAGGGAGATTCAAGCTCAGCACGTCGCTGGTCGACAGCAACTCATCAAAAGTCACGTATTGAGCTCCACCTGACAGTTCATCGCTCAATGGACGACGATTATGATAAACTACTTTCATCCCAAATGCCTCGGCCTTCTTTTTCAAATTGCGTCCGATGCCTCCCATGCCCAATATACCCAATACCTTGCCTTCCGGATCATGGCCTAGGGCCGGGGCAGGCTTGCCAATCCATTTGCCCTCACGCAGAGCTTGCATGCCAGTGTTGAAATTTCGTAGGGCTCCAATGATGAGAAACATTGTCACGTCGGCGGTGGCATCATCCACCGCGGTGGGGACATTGGAAACATGAATAGGAGGACTACGAGCGCTGCATGCATGGACATCGATTGAGTCGTAGCCAGCACCTAAATGATGCAATATTTAGACAGGGATGATCATAAATATTGCGTTTGAGGCCGTTGTAAAGGACTTACCACAGTGCGAAAGATACTTTAGGGATTTTGGCAGCACATTCACAAGCTCTTCATCGATAAGCCCGGTGATTTTGGCTGAGGCGAAAGTACGATAGGCTGCCACAACTCCATCGAGCTTTCCATCACGACATTCTTGAATGAATTCTGCGCGATTTTTGGAGGTTGGTTGAACCAGCTCACCCAATTCACTCAGTGCTTCCCATGACTTTTGCGCGCTATTGTGGTTATCGTCAGCTCTGGCTCATTGAGAAAATCCCCTTCTTCTATACGTACTGCGCGATCTGTCCTAGGAGAAGGATTCTGGGCCTGGCGTCATTAGATCCCATATTGACTAGGCGGTACTGGAAAGGTCTTCATCAAGAAAGATTAGCTTCTGCAAGGTACCAGTGTGAGATGTTCGTTTCCCGGCCTCTAGGGTAGGGCTGCGGGGACGGCCTTTATCAGCACCAGATAAGTCAATTGCTTATATGTGCGAGAATATGGGAAGACAGTGTTTGAATTTCAAATCTACCTAAGGAGCAGATAGTTTCAATGAAACAAATAGCTGGGTTGCAGTTTGCGCAACTCACCGGAGAAGGGGGGTAGATCGGCTACTATGTCCGACTGCACTTGAAGTGGAAAACAAGGTCGCCAGGCGCAGTCGTCTATTGAGTGAAATATATCTCGGCTGGTATACAGGGAGCTTGATAAGAGAGAGATTGCGCAAGGGAAATGAAACAATTCCAGCCATAAGAGTCATAAAAGATACGAGACATCGGCCGAGAAGAATTGCCCCACGCAGAGTTTATATCGGAGAGTTCCCCGCATGGCAATGGATTCCACTCGGAGTGATGCGCGCGAATGAGATTCCCTGCCTGGAGGCACTAGGACCAATGTGGCGAATTGACGGCGGCTCTCTTAAACACAAATTTCTTGAACAGGTAGGCAAGGCAACGATTCGGAGTTGAACCCTATTATAAATGGCCTTTACTAACTCTGAGTCGGTAGTGCGGTATATCACGATCCGAAATCCCATGGCAGCTATCAGGACAGCCTGAGAAACTCGACGTATATATAGGGACGCGAATCAAGGTCCTGAATGGCATAGTGTAATCAAAAAGGAAGGTTGTTCCGGGCTGCATTGGTTTATTCAATACTGCAGAGCATGTCGAGTTCCGATCATAATATACAAATCCAGTAAAACATGGTTATCAATCTCATTCATCCTTCAACGAGAACACGAGTCCAATCAAATTTCCTCCAGCGTTTTCTGAATCCTTCCATTCTTCGATCACTGCCTCGCTGCCAGCGGCCTTGTCGCTTGATAACATCAGGGGCAACATCGAGCATACCTCCAATTACTTCACGAGCAAACAAATCGCCACGAGGCCAACGGTTCTCATCTTCGACGATGTGACCTAGACCACCATCAAGCTCGAACCAGACATGGAAGTAGGGCATCTCCTTAACCAGTGTTCGACGGAATGCAGACCTTCCCAGGCCTTGCTTAGATTTTGCCAGAGTATCGATAAGTTTGCGGTGCTGGGACCATTCGGACTCGGCGCTTAAAATAGCCTCTTTGAAGAACGCGGGTGATGTCTCGCCGAGGCTGTATGGCAGAGGAACCACCTCCATGGATGCATGACGCTTTCGCTGAGGCTGAGCGGCGTTTTCGTAAAAGATAACATCTCGGCCCTGGTCATGGTACATTCGTGTCAAACTTTTCATGAAATTACGGATCTCCTCCCATTCGTCGTCGTCGCATTCCATCAAGTTCGTCCGGTGCTGAATCGGGACAATTGTGGCACCACCCTCGCTGATTTCGGGCTCCGTTGGAAAGGTGAGGAAAACTCTGGTCGCTAGGGAAACGACGGGTGCAACAGGTGGCGTATTGGTGTCTTCGTGATGGCAGAGGGGGCAATTATCTAGGATCCGGTTCATCTTGCGGAAATCGTTGATAGTTGTGTTCTTGAGATCAATCTCGGATTTGTGCACCCTCTTTGCTAGCTTGGAAGCATTATCGTCCATGTACTCAAGATCATTCTAAATAGAGGTTAGAGAGATGCCAAAAGGACGTGCAATTAATCATGTCACAACCTACCGCAAACTTGGAATCACGCGAAATGCGATCCGCCAAACGCGAACCCTCTCCGCCAAATTGACCTCGGGTCTTGCGTTCCTCGCGAACCATGTCTTCAATGCTCATGTCATCATTTGCTTCCACTTGTCCTCTTTCACGCCCGCGTTTCGTATCGACCGCTTTGACTTCGTTTCTGGCACCAGCTAGCATGCGATTTTCCTTGACACCAAGAACCACCACGTCTGATTCTTTACGATTGGCCATAGCAGCTGCGGCGGTATTGTATTGTTCTTCGAGTTCAGCTGCTTCTGGAGCTTTCTTCAACTTTGCTTTCATCATTTGGGCTTTCAGGCGATTCAATGCCGTGAGGTCCAATGGTTGTGTGACGTTGGACGGAAGCTCGGTCTCCATTTTTTGGCCCTGTGACGGCGGCTCGAGTTCTTCCACTGAGCCATGCGCGTGTCTGGCTGGACCACTTTGTGAATTTTGCTCGAGCTTTCGCTCCTGGAACAATTCTCCGCTTGGTTTCTCTTTGCCCACATAGGATTCGCCATACATCTTACGGCGATCCACCTCGGTTTCTTCTTCTCTAGCATCGTCAAATGAGCGCAGATCCCCAAAACGTTCGACTGCAATCTCATCCACGGCCCTGCCGCTGGACTCAGCTTCTCTGTAGACGCCCTTGAGTTTGGTCATCCTCCATTGGGACCCCGAGTCCCCGAAGGTGTAGTCGACCTCATGCTGCGCAGGTTCCTCGTTGATGTCCTCGAGCGCCTTTCCTTCCTTGAGATCGCGGAGATGATTGTTGAGCTCCTTGTCGTGAATCTTTAGCTCATAGTCCGCCGAGAGCATCTTCGGCTTCGTAGGTTCTTCTGCTTGTTTGGGGTCCGGTCGGTGAACATAATCGATATCAAGAGCTGAAGGCGCTTCCATCCAAGAGTCTCGCTTCAGTTGGTTAGGCTCATCTTCGGTAGCGGCGGTGGGCGCAGCAGGCTCTTCACCATCCCTACTGGAGTCCTTGTGTCGACGCTTGTGGTCGCGGTCATGAGAATCTCCATGGTCAGTCGAGTGACGTGAGCGCTTGTTCCGCTGGCCATCATCGTCTCGACGTCGAGATTCACGGTCGCGGGATCGAGATGAGTGTCGTCGATGGTGGTGGCTGGAACGATGGTGGTGTCTCGAGCGCTCTTTGCTGCGGTCGCGGTCGCGGTCACGGTCGCGATGATCGCGGTGACGTCGCTCCTTGTCGCTCTTTTCCCGGCGTTTATCTTGGTCCTGAGCCAGAGATTTCTCGAAATCTTCTAGCGTCATTGTGTTTTCCGGTGCTTGGGAAGTGGTTAGCAGAGAAAAGAGAGAGCTCAGGTCGAATGACGTTTGGCCGCGCTGGGCGGTCCCAGTGCAGATCTTCGGGTTCCCCGCGACCAAAGAATTTCAGAAGAAAAAAAAAGTTCACCCACTTCACAACTTCTCTCTGTGCAAGCCTACGAACCTGTTTCTCCACTACGAACTTCCCTACCGTCTCAACTTATCGCTTCGGCAATCTCGAAATAAATCCCACTATACTATGGCGTCTCCGGCAGTCTCCGTCGTCTGCATAGGCATGGCAGGTAAGGCAATGGACAATACCCCTCAAGCTACCTCATATAGGAAAATCGGATGATTGACCTATCCTTGTTCACTTAGGCTCGGGGAAGACAACATTTATGCAGAGAATCAACTCCCATTTACATTCCAAAAAGACAGTGCCATACGTTGTAAACCTTGACCCCGCCGTGCATTCGGTTCCCTTCGAGAGCAACATCGACATCCGAGACTCGATCAACTACAAGGAGGTCATGAAGCAATACAATCTTGGTCCAAATGGCGGTATCTTGACATCTTTGAATCTCTTCGCCACAAAGGTCGACCAGATCATTTCGCTGCTCGAAAAGCGCACCGCACCCAACTCCGAAAACCCCGCTGCAAAGCCAATCGAACACATCTTGATCGATACCCCGGGTCAAATCGAAGTATTTGTGTGGAGCGCATCAGGAAGCATCCTACTCGAGACCCTCGCTTCGTCCTTTCCAACTGTCATCGCATACATTATCGATACCCCGCGGGCCAGTTCGACAAGCACTTTCATGAGCAACATGCTATATGCGTGCAGTATCCTTTACAAGACCAAACTACCCATGATTTTGGTATTCAACAAAACCGATGTTAAGGATGCTGAGTTTGCTAAGGAGTGGATGACCGACTTCGACAAATTCCAAGAGGCTCTGCGAAAGGAAGAGGAATCCGGCGCCTTCGGAACGGAAGGTGGTGTCGGTGGGTTTGGAGCTGGTAGTGGATATATGGGTTCGCTCTTGAACAGTATGAGCTTAATGCTGGAGGAGTTCTATCGACACCTGAGCGTTGTCGGTGTTAGTTCTATGACCGGCGATGGTGTCGATGAATTCTTCGAGGCTGTGGAAACAAAGCGCCAAGAGTTCGAGCGCGATTATAAGCCCGAGCTTGAGCGCAAGAAGCAGGAACGGGAAGAAAGCAAGGCCAATCAACGGGACATCGAGTTGGGTAAGCTTATGAAAGACATGAATGTCAATAGCTCGGGTCGCAAAGAACGCAAGGGCCCGGAGACCGGACCGGAGACTGTTAGCGAGGCCGAGGATGAAGAAGAGGATGAGCTTATCAAGCGGGGTCTCGCTTATGGTGAAGATGACAGCGATGATGATTACGCTGAAGCTGCCGCTGGGGATGACGATGGTCTCTCCCAGCGCTACCAGGATGCTCTCTCGAACACTCAGAGTGCCCCCTCGGATCAAGACAACAGCTTCACGAGATATCTTCGGGCTAGCAATATGAACCAGCAGTGATTGATTTTTTGGGACGAGGAGTTACAACATTGGCTTTGGAGTTGGCGGCCGTCATGGGTGAAATCGTTCTACTTTCTTTTTCATTATTTGTGCATCTCATGTAAAAATTACATGGATGATTTATGGATCTTACCTTATCGTTAAGGAGACATCATCGCTCTCACACACCCATAAGAACCTGAAAGACAATACTTCTACACAAATCTTTCCTCCCCCATCATTCTTCGTCCCGGGCTAAAATGGGAGTCGTACTATACCTCGAAACTCTATTCCGATCCAAAATCCTGACGTATTGTTCTGTATTGTGGAAGAGATTCAACGTCTCCTGTTTCTCGAGTTTGAATGAGAATAGTTCCTATATAGGTATATAGCCAGGCTGTTTAATCTCCAAAAATGAGTAGATAAAAACATCGGGGCACCTTGACTGTTACATACAGCTCGGGGCTGCCAGTGAGGCAATTCTTATGACGTCACTCAAATTCTGGGCAAGTCGCGGCAGCTTCTCGCCAGGCTGCAAATCCTCTCCCCTGCACCAATATCAACACCCCCAAAATCCGTACAATTCTCATCTTTCCATCACAAATTATGGATGTAAGTTGCTACCGGCTCTATCTCCGAACAATCTATGAGCCGGAGTATCGTTCGCCTTTATATACTTGCTGAGACGACATCTACAGGTCTTCCATGCCTACACATATTCAACGGCCGCATGGCTTTCATTGCAGGGCCTGCCTTTGCTAGTAGGCCCAAGTATGATAGTAGCCTTGCTACTAGATGAGGCCAGATCTGCATCCTGTACACTCTCACTCAAAATCATCCCAACCTGAATCGCCCTGCTAATTCTCCAAAAGTGATCGAGGTCTACTTTGCTCGTTGCCTTGGAATGGGTCTTTTGACTATCGCAGTATTAACGGTGATGCTAACGGGCTCGATTCCGCTCAACGCCACCATTGCCGAGCCTGTGTCAACAGAAGAGTCGGATCCCAAGGCCCCGTATGCTCTACCAACTCTGATGGTTACTTCGGTGCTTCATGCTTCGTCGGCATTTTACGCGTACACATGGTACGCTACCGGGGGCCAGGGAGCATTTGCTTTGGCAGTTCTGGGGAATTCTATCCTTGCGGCCATCGGCTTGTGGTGTTTGCTCTTCGCTAGCAGTAATGGTAGGATTAGTCGGCGAACTGGAGCAGACAAGAGAACGACTGGCTTTCCCTTTGCCAATTCCGAGGCAGCTAAGAAACATGAGGGCAAGAAAGGCCTTTGAATGGGCTTCCTCTCGCTATCAGCCTATGATTGATAATCGGAATGCACTAGCAAGGCAAAACTGCATTAGGTGAATGTTGATGACAGTTATTTCTCTGATAAAGGGGTATCCGAATCAAATAAACCAGATCTCCATGTCTCTTATAAATTAGTTTCTAAGGGACATCTTCGAACATTCTGTCAGCGTAGAGTATCAGCTACAGACTGCTTACCGACGCCCTCCGAAGCCTTGTCTACCCTGCGTCAGAAATATTATCGGTCCAGATTTTGAAAGGAAAACCAAAAATTTAATTGTACAAATGATTTCTAGCCAAAGGTGAGGTTGAGTTGAAAGGATCAAATGATAATACTAGTACTCTGGTCTGCAACTCCTTGCTCGGGTACAAGTCCCCGCCGCTTCAACCGCCCTCCCTTTCTTCTCCGCATCGCCAAAAGCAGCGTCCAACTCCCCACAACGCGTACGAAGTACTACGCACCCATGGATTCTAACTTGCAGCAGAACCCCTCTGCTCGGGCCTTAGCATCGATCGAAATTATTGATGAAACTCCAAATTTAGCTGGACAGCTAGGCTCTTTCCCCCCAAACGCGCAACCATTTACGTCATTCCGCAACATCGACAATGTCGCGGCGAGGCCTCATCTGCACAACTCCACTCGACCCCAAGACACGATCACTTTAGAGAACAATGTGCATGATAGCTCGAGTGATGGAATTTCACTCTTGCCATCGGCGGATCCGTCCTTTCCGCAGTCCGGATATGAAGGACTGGCACAAGACCCAACGGCCGCAAGTTTCGCAGGCCAATTGCAGGGCATGAGAATGGTACCAGATCCGCCAAACTTGGAATATTGGAGAAATCGGTTATTCCATGTGGATGAAATGATTACGCTGAGCGAGGATGAGTATGTTGGCCATTCTTCATATCTAACCTCTTCAACTTCTTTCCTCGATGGAAAAGAAACTACTACTGATAAGCCTAGTGAATTAACTGGTTTAATAGGTTCCAGACCTACTTCCCACACGTCGACAATGTCTACTCTCATCGTTCAACACAACGATACAAACGCAGGCCATTCGTATCTCATTATTGGGACTGTCGACTCAAAGGTCGCCCTCCAGGAACACCAAAGTCCGACGATCCCAACAAAAAGAAACGTAAACGCACCGCCAGAGAAAGAGATCTCTGTGATGTCAAGATAAAAATCACAGAATACTTGCCAGGTGCCACTACGGTTGACAGAGCAGGCGGATTCGAATCTTTGCCCGCCGACCTATTGCCAGGAAGGCATACTTTATTTCCAGTCCAAGGCGACCAGCCTTTTGGCGTACTTGCACCAAGCCCCAACCTTGCATCAAGCCCTTCAGTAACAGGTGGTAGAAGATATTATACCATACAGCGAGTGAATGGTAATGGTGCAAATGGGAAGAATGATGGCGTGAGCGGGCGTCATCGGCACACACTCGAAGAAAGTGATCGTGTCAAGAAGAACAGTGTCCAGCGATATCTCTTGAAAGATAAAGGGAAGAAAAAAGGCTCGGTACGTTTGTCATTTAGTTCAGAGTACGCTGCATTCGACAAGTTGGGGGCTTGGCACCCCGCAAATACTGGCTACGTCACAGTCGAACGTCCGTTGCTTTCGGATGCCTTTTTCTCTCCATGCTACACCACTAGATCCAAGTCCAAATTTTGTTTGATTTTAGGTTAAGTCTAACCCTCCTATCTATCACAGTTCCGAGTCATGTCTGCACAGATTAAATCATACCACACGAAAGCGACAGGCCCAGCGGCTGTGACGGCCGTGAACCGTTCCGCCGAGACGAATCTCAAGTTATATGGGAGTTGCTTTTGGTAAGCAGGTACCCATAAGAATGGATATTTAGAGTTTTCCTTGCCGAGACGCATTGCTGACTGTTTGGGTGTCCATTTCAAGCCCCTTTGTCCAGCGAGTATGGATTTCTTTGGAATTGAAAGGTATTCCATACCAGTATATTGAGATCGACCCATATGAAAAACCCCAGTCTCTGTTGGAGATCAACCCGCGAGGTCTTGTTCCTGCATTGCAACATGATGACTGGGGCTGTTATGAAAGCAGTGTGATTATGGAATATGTAAGGAGCCCACAACCAGTATAAACTGTTTCTCACTTCTCAATGTGCTAATTCTTTCAATAGCTCGAAGATCTGAAGCTTGGGACGAATCTTTTCCCGCCGGATCCGAAATCGCGTGCTCATTGCCGTCTGTGGGCGGACCACGTTCGTATTTAGCCTTCTTAATGATGCGGAGATTGATCGCTAATAGACCAACAGATCAACCGAAATATTATACCGAACTTCTATCGGGTGCTTCAGGAGCAGGACCCACAGAAACAAGTTGAAAATGCCCAGGAACTTCAGGATGCTTTCAATCTGCTCATCACAGCAGCCCATCCAAGCGGCCCGTATTTCATGGGAACCCAAATCTCTTTTGTGGATATCCAAGCCGCCCCATGGGTCATTCGGCTGGCTCGGGTTCTGAAGCCTTATCGGGGTTGGCCAGATCCCGACGGGGGAAGCAGGTGGGCTTCGTGGGTGACTGCCATTGAGACCAATGAGCATGTTCTTGCCACAACCAGCACCGATGAGCTATACTTGGATAGCTATCAACGCTATGCTGGTGAGTCCGCCTATGATTTGCATAGACTGACCGATATGCTAACTCCTAGATCCCGCGGTTGCAGAGAACCGTCCAAACACGTCCCAAGTCGCAAATGCGATCAATTCCGGGCGTGGTCTCCCGTAGACTCTTGCTTGGTTTGGAGGATGGTTTAAATAGGCCGAGAGAAGAGACCGTAGTCTCAGTGCCATCGCCATTGGCGCGGGCACGGGAAACAGGCACTTCCCTATGTACCTTAGCTTGCTCGTGCACCTCTGTTGGCAAATCCAAACCCGCCCCTTCCACTTCCATCCGGGCCTCGTGGGTTGCGTAATGGTTGTTGGGGGGTGTTCTGCTTATCCGGGCTGTTCTGGTTGCCTGGTTGACGCTCGCGGCGTTGCTGCGATGATCCATTCGGCTTAGCTGAAGTAGAAGGGTCGAAGAGATGTTTTGACTTGGTCGAAGAAGCTGTAGAAGAATCCCTTTTCTCGCGGTATTCCCGTCCTCCACTTCCACCACGGCCCTTGCCCTTGCCTCGGCCCTCAGACTGGGACTGGCGAGGCGGTGTTGTACTTCCCGGGGAAGAGTTTCCTGATGTGTTTGCGGATGGACTGCCAAAGAGCCTCTCGCGCACCTCTTCGTACTTTCGTTGCTTCTCTTCACGGTTCTTTAGTGCTATCGCTTGGCGTTCCTCTAGGGTCGGCTCGGCACGCTTGTTGGTGTCTTCATCGGAGTCCTCGTCGTCAAGACCAAGTTGCCCCAATCCAGCTGCTGCACGGTCGATACCACCCGACGAAGCTGAATTTCGGGTCGCTATTTGGGGTCTGCGACTGAGTAATGTGACTGGGGGTTTGAAGTCTTGCTTGAGCGGTACTTCAGAGCGTGCTTCCACAAAGTGAAATGTCTGCGGGGTTTCTCTGCAAATGGTCGTCGTGTCAGGACTCATATACATCCAATCCAAAAGTTAATCTGATAACATACGCTTCTGCCCATAACTGCCTGTTAAACTCAGCTTGTTGTGCTCTGCGTTGGGCCTTTGTGACCTTGGATGAAACTTTTTTCTCAGACGGCGGGGTAGGCTGATCGGCTAGTTTCTGTAGTCAGATGCGAGATCAGTAAACAATTCGTAAAGTATACTGCATATTGAAGCTCAGAGATCGTGAAACTCTCGTAATATAGCAGATGATTCGAGATTTCCACACATACGTCAGCTTGGGACTCCCAATCTTCCTCCCATGCGTCGGGCGCTTCAGGTTTGGAGCTCATGGCTCTGAGCAAAATCGTGTGAAAGAATCTGGGTACGAAACAAAACAGCCGGTTCGGCGAGACTTCAAATCATGAGCAAAGCCCAGCAATATGTTCAGGGTGTATATAATGACTGAAAGGTGAGGTGAAGGAGAAAATTCGCCGAATGCCCAAAGAGGTGGACACCGCCTGGTCCGCCGTAATCTCCGCTCCGCCTCGCCTTCATCCACTTCGATCTACTCTTACGAAGCTCCCCCCGCCCAATACTAGTACTGTCTTCGACATGGCTCATGGTTAGTCTTCCTCTTGATAACTACTCCTAGGTGGTCAAGCTCGCGATTTGGTTCGATTTCGAAAACCTTCGCTCCGTCCGCTTTGCACTATCCTATGGTGGTCTTGTCCTTATCGTCTCAGATCCCCGCTAACCCACCAATTCAACTACACAGATTCTAAGGATCCCGACGGCGACTCCGAGATGGCCTCTTCTGTCGATTCTGTCCACACCGACTCCGATGGCGCTGGTCATGGTGCACGTACTCCGACTCGTCAAGTTCACGCATCGGCTGCCACCGCAGCAGCAGCCACGTCAGAACTCTCCCCTCCAGGCTCCCAACCCCAAACAATCCCAGGCCTATCTACAGTCGGTGCCTTGGGATCTCTAGGAGAGCTTGATTCAACACAAGCGAATGGAAAAGGCTTTGATGCGCCCATCGCATCCTGGAAAAGCAAACGTTCCCAGGAAGAGTATCAGCGGGCTATGGAGAATGTGATCGATCAAGACTTCAATTTGAGTACGCATATCCAATACCGGCATGTATAAATATTTTCAGCTGACACTTTCTTGCAGATGAATTCGGAGATCCATTTGATGAGCGTGATCTGGAACAAAAGCTACTGTGACTATTGGACGGAACGGCATCCGCGATCTCTCATCTGCATCTGCGGCACCGTATGATACGAATTATGAGAAACGAATTTATCACGGCTATTCCTCACTATCTACTCTGGATGTGACAGAGTAATCTAGCAACGTCCGTAGATCATTCGGGCTACTATATTCTCTTCGCTGGTTCAGCATTGCCTAATCATTTCCCTTATGCAAAGGAAAGATCCATGTGGCATGCTTTCAAGATATTCCGAATGGAGTTTAGCCGTGTTGCTGCCGAATTGAGCATACATAGAACAAGCAGGTATGGAGTTTTCCAGAATATCCGGAATGTGACTGCATAAATTAAAGGACGTTGGCTTCGATCAACGAACTCGCTCAAAATCCGAAATTACCCCCGATGATTGCATGTTCTGACTCACATCCAACTTAAAGGCTCTACTCGTACACACTAGTCCCCGTAAATATAGTGTAGAACTTGAATAATTTCATACCTACCGCGCTGCGATATACCATCTACCCTCCCCCCCCCCCACCTTAAGGTATCCCATAGGTTGATCGACCGGTCTTCCTTTTTCAATGGTATCAAACACAACCCCCACGCTCGCCTGAGTAAGTGCGAGTCCCTAACAAGTCAAGTCTACAGTTGAATTGCCACGTTGGCAATCTGCACACCGTACTAGTATGTACCACGCGAGCTGTCGTGGCCGTTGTGGCCGTTGTGGCCCAGCAGAGACTAGCGGCCGTTGACGGGGCAACCGCGCTTCGTTGAAAGCAAACCCGTCGAACACATCAGAACCATCGCCCCTCAGCATCTTTACGACCTAATGGATTAAGTGCTATTGATCCTCCCGCCAGCACAAATTATAGTTGATACTTATATCTCCAATTCGCTTCATTTATCCCACCAATACGAGGGCTTCCCGACCAGAATTCCGTCCCCCGTTTGACACATTCCACACGCGTCCACACCAACAATGGGCACAGATCCTACCCAGCCGCAGGCGCAAGCATGGTGGGTTCCATTTTTCCCCATCAATTCCGTTGTCTTGTTCAAATACCCCCTCCCCTGGAAGGAAAGAATCGCAAACGCCCCTAGATTAGGGGCTGCTTCTCACATTCCATGTTTACCACGACATTGATCCCGCTAAATCTTTGGCGCATTGTCACATCACACAACTAATCTCAAGTGCCTTGGCGCACACTTCTCTACAGTGGCCTCTCCGACTCAGCAGACGATAATTCCTTCAGATTTACCCCTATCAAAGCCATCCGAGCTCTGCCCCGTCTGTGGGAGCGCAAACCCGCTACACCCTTTAAGGGCGGACTGAAACCGCGGAAACTTTGGAAGCGCTTCCAAACATCCTTTTCCAACATGCAAACCCTCCAAGACACGACTGCTATTATCGAGAACGACGTACTGCAAACCGCGATCAATGCATCCAAGGATTCGAATTATGTCCGTGGCACGAAACGCATGCGTGTCGGTTCTGAAGAGACTCAGAATCACACCGAGGCTCCTCAGGGGGGACGTTCATTCTTCGAGACCAAATGGGACTCAGAGGCTGCTCGGAAAAAACGTAAGTGTCTAAGATGGATGCGTCGTACGTGTCGCATAACGCCTTTGCTAAATTCGCGTAACAGGAAAATTGCCCGACGCGCCCTTCGATATTTTTGACGAGAAGAAACAAAATACCCCCCTCATTGCCGGAAGCCAATTTGATGGACCTGCAGAAAACGCTAGCGCGAACGAAATCGGGAAGCATCTTGAAAACGTGAATATGGATTTTGCGACGGCCACATCCTCTCAGCCTCTCGGAATGCTTCAAGGCCCCTCAAGGACCCCTGTATACCAAGACGACGCCCATGCTGAAAGCTCGGAACCTTCAGGTTCTGACTCGATGGCCGCAATCGGCGAAGCGTCCAGTTTAGCAGCTGAGAAACAATCTGCAGATGTCGTCGAGGACCTACAGAGCGAGAAAGCAGCCGAAGCGGCAGCGACACCCACTAAGGCCGTACGAGGTTTGACGCAAGAGCAGAAAGGGAAACTAGTACGCTCCGCATTGCGTAGCTCGCTAGATGGGGAGGACGCAGAGCTTCTCAACGACTTCTTATCGAAAGCCAAAGCTAAGCGTGCGGCTAAGGCAACGCTAATGAACGCCCAAGAACCACATGTGGATGCTACCGAGAAGTCTTCGAGCCCCGAAGATTCACCAGATGCTGAATGCTCAACTCCACGATCACGCCGGGCTTTGGAGGATTTGGATACGAATTCACCATCGACAGTCAAGGTCCAGGTCTCGCCCTCGAAGAAGGGGAGATAGTCTATGACGACGAAACTCGAGAAATCGTTGCCAAGAAAGATCTTCAAGACGATGAGCAAGCTCCCGCCAGTCCTGCATACCGGCGCAGCAGTCGTGTCAAAGCTCCGCCAGCAGAGGCACCCGCCGCGCCTAATGCAATTTCTCTTCGACGCGCCAAAGGAACCGAATTCGTTTTCTTGCAACGGACCGAAACCCAGGAGCTGGCGTTAGCCACCAAGCGCAACACTCGCAACAACAGAGGCAAATCGGTTATGCCCAAATACGTGCTTGAGGCGATGTCACAGCAAAATGAGCCGTCGGAAGCTACTGAAAGCGATCGGCCTGGACGGAAAGATCGAAAGGACACCAGTCACCGTCAATCACGCAAAAATGTATCTTGGAACGAGGAGCGCCTTGCAGAGTTTGAGGATGAAGTTCAGACCTCAGAATCCCAGGAAGAAGAGGCGGGTGCAATCAGCAAAAATGACGTCGGCGGTACTTCTCGTGCACGCTCTGGAGCAAAGAAAACAGAGAAGAAAGCAGTGTCCAGCAGCCGCAGCAGCCGAAGTCAAGTACAACAAGAGACTCGGGATGAATCCGCGAATGTTGCAAGCGGCCCGACCACTTCGACTTCTGCAGCACCGCGATCACGACGGGTGCGGCGCCTCGGCGAGTCGACGATGACCTCGAGCACCCCTGTGAAAACAGGCAGTGGACGGGTCAGCAAGCCTCCCGTCGCTTCTACCCCCGCCGTGGCTGCTGTAGGGCCCTCAACTCCTACTAAGGGTCGCCGGAAGCTCGTTCCCAAGTCTCCTAGTTCGTCAATGCTTCCTACCCCGGCTACAAAGAGCGCCGACCAGTTTTTTGCCAGTGGAATTCCAACACGAAGTCTCACCGGCGAGGGGCCGAAGCGAAAGAGCATGCTGGAGGCCAGCGCAGGGTGTACGCCTATGCCGAAGCGGGTGCGAGCTCGGACTTGATTATCTGCAGCCCTAATTTTCGCTACGTGCTCTGGTTGGGGAGTGGTGTTGGTTTTGGCGTTGGCCATGGCTGATCATACTTTGGCTGAATCTTGTCAAAGCGTATAGTCCTACTTATCCTATGTTCAAGGGCGTTTTGCTTGTTTTTCAAAGATACCAATGGCGCATTTCTGTTTCTCTGTTTTTGTTTTTACAAGGCTAGTTCTTTTTTTTGTCTTTGACCTTTCAATGCACGGGCTTTGAAGTATGTCCTTTCTGCGTACGGAGTAGCTGCATATGTACTTGACAGAAGATGCACTGCACCATGCCATCTGCAGGCTGACGTCTGTGTCGCTTTCTATGCCTAGCGGATTTTGACTCATGGTGCTCTTCGGGCTCGCTACTGGGATCTGATAATGAGAAGATAGTACGAGGCCATACTTTAGATTATTCAAGATTGATCACCACGCCTACATATGTATGCTGCCTACCCCATCTGCGGGGTAAGTCGAATCCACCCCCGCGAGGCAGTCGGCTGAAACGAGACACTACTAGTACAAGAGATATGCCATTGAAAAGTTTGGAAGACGCTAAAGATGTTCGGGCCTTCACTTTCCTTATTGATCTAACTGGGGAAACTAGAGCGGACAATTCGCCCATGGAACCTTTGGGCCTCCATCCAAATCCGGACATACTTCGATTTCCAAGAGGTCGTACGCCTGTACGGTATACCGCCAAGCACGCCAACAAGCCATCAAAAGCCACTGTATTGCCCCGGTTTGAGAAGACGCTCCCTTTTAGACAGCCACCGGGATTTCAACTCGGCTCTGGAGTCAGATTCTAGGTATTCCGTACAAGCATGGACCGATATACCCTTGATTCTTGGATCCCGAGGATGTATATTCCGTAGTATCACAGCTCTATATACTAGTAGTTGCCGGCAACCCCAAAACAAACCTTTTCTACTAGTATTTACGATGAGTTCTATCAACAAATTCCCCAGGGACTTTTACTAGAACCGGTAAACGACCGACTACTTGCCGTTCCTCATCCTGCCCCTCCCCCGCTCATCACCAAACCCAACCTGGTGGGATTGGGAATGGGAGTGGGGTACCTGGACCATATGCGGAAATTTGGGAGAGTTCAGTACCGAGTACTGCTTATGCGAGATGCCTAGGTCTGCGTAGAGTTAATGCACTCATAGAATCCTACCCACCATGGGTTTCAAGAGTTTGGAAGTGCCTGGGCACTCGCCAATGAACATACGAGAGGCTTCTTACTTGATACCACCGTCGCCATCTCACTCTAATCTGACATTAGGCCCGAGGCAGACAATGCCTCATTCGGATACTCGGTGTTAGATAGACACCGCATACGGAGTACCTGGTACTAGTACGAGTTAGTTAACCTTGATATTGAGGGCTTCGGAGTAGTATATCCTTTCCACCTTGACTGCCACCCCGGCAATACCCGGAGCTCGACAGGCACGCTATACTATATACGGCAAGGCGTTAACGCTAAGCCCTGAACCTCCGTGGCGCAGGGGGGGGCTCCGAGCCACATAGCGGGATGGCATTTTGTTGTCGGAGCATTCTGCTCCTGTCCAGCCTGTTAAATGGCCAGGCAATGTTGAGTTGGATGGTGTAACCCTGCCAGGGGAAGTATTGTTTTTGGCTACATTAGTCGCTCGGCTCCGAGTCGTCCCTAATATGTACGGAGTACGTAGTACGGATTACTTCAGGTGAATCTCGTATGCCTTCCAATAGAGTTTGCCTTGAGGGCTGAGGGCTGATTTGGCGTTGGCAATGGCGTTGTTGGGCTAAAGGAGGCTTTCCGCATTTGCGGGATAGTTTCCTTCCGAGGTCCTCCCCTGTCTCTTAGCAAGGGATCAATGCGGCATTTGCATTTGCATTTGCATTTGCGTTTGTATTTTTGTCAAATTTACAACCCGTAGAATAATACATTGCTGTACGGTATGCGAACTCTGCAAATTTGCTCTTTTTATCAAACCTGTTGAATTGAAATGAGTCTCAATTTGGGAGAAGGAAATTTCCGCAGATCCTCCTGCGGGGTAAGGTGAATAGCAGTGTAAGAGAGCGAGGGAGAGAGAGGAAGGAAGAGTTGGCTGCTCATGGATCTCAATTGCAAACCGGTTTGTAAGGATCTACGAGGATTATCAAACGCAAACCAAGGTTGTGGGAAAAACTCGGATATATCTTATTCATCTATTCGTTCGTGTTGGATTCATTACACGTTCCCATCCAAGAAACCCTTAAAACTTTTGGGTATCATCCTCACGCTCTTGCTCTTGTGTTCATAATTTCGCATGGATTCAAGCAGACAGGTTCTTGGCAGTCTCCTCAGGCCAGACATCGTAGCCGAAGGTGTCCTTCATGTTGACGAAACGGAAGTGACGGCCCTTGGCGACAGCGTTGATAGCGGCGAAGTCGGCATCGCTGAGCTCGATGCTCTTGAAGTTGGACTCAATGCGGGCGGGATTGGAGCTCTTGGGGAGGACAACGTAGCCGCGGCGCAGACCCCAGGCAATGAGGACCTGGGCGAGGGTGTTGCCGCCCTTCTGGGCAACCTCGTTCAGAGTCTTGTTCTCGCTGACTCGCTCACCGGTGGTGGGGACCTGGTTCTGCGAGCCCAGAGGCGAGTAGGCAACGGGCAGAATGTTCTTGTTGAAGCAATACTGGACCAGCTCCTCATTGGGCAGGAAGGGGTGAATCTCGATCTGGTTGACGTGAGGTGTCACCTTGGCGAACTTGGCCATCTTCTCGAGGCCGGGGATGGTCCAGTTGGAGACACCAATGGCCTTGGCCTTGCCCTGCTCATAAATCTTCTCCATAGCGCGCCATGTGGGCTCGGGGTTTTCGGTGAGATCCTTTAGGATGACGTACTATTTTCAGGTATTAGTGGGGGGGGAGATAGCTTCCACAAGCTCAAGGAGCTTATGCTCACCTTTCCATCAGGGCCAATCTTGGGGGTCTCCTGGGTCTCCTTCTCAGCGGCAATGGGCCAGTGAATCAGGAAGAGATCAATGTATTCCAGACCAAGACGCTCGAGGGAGTTGTTGATCGACCACTCAACATCCTCGGGGCGGTGGAGGTGGTTCCACACCTTGGTGCAGACGAAGATATCCTGACGCTTGACGGAGGGGTTGGCCTTCAGGAAGTCACGGATACCCTCGCCAACCTCACCCTCGTTGAGGTAAAACCAGGCACAATCCAGGTGACGGTAGCCAGTGTTCAGAGCAGTGGTGACAGCTCTGTAGGTCTCGCCCTTGGATCCCTCGCTGGCGAAGGTACCAAAGCCAACGCCGGGGATCTTGACGCCGTTGCTCAATGTGAAAGATTGTCCGCTAGACATGATTGATATGGATGTGATTGTGAAATCAATTGGGTAAATAGAATTATTGAAAGGGAAGAGAAGGAAGAGAAAAGAGGAGGGAAGAGCAATTAATAAGGGAGAGGTAAAACGGCGGCAATGACGCTGTTAGCGGGCGAAGGTGGGGTGGTGGTGAGTGGTGGAGGGGTACTTTAGAACCCCTCCTTAGCAACACCCATCAACACCCAAAACAAACTGTCTGAACACCGTCTATACTATCGGTTTCTACATACCCCCGCGTCGATCGTGCCATACATGTTCCCTGGTGACTCTCTTGGCTCCCTCTACACTGCCAGAGACTAGCCCACGCCGAGAATCTCAAAATTCCACGCGTAATTTTCAGAAATCCAAAAAGCGCGCCATGACATCACCTTCACCCCAAAACGGTGTCGAAAGCGTTTGACCCGCCCGATCGTCATCGGCTCCATCGATCTCATGCGGTTCCACGGGCGAACTGTGCTCCTCGCCCAATGAGCCATTTGATACGGATGGGAGGGCCTTTTTCTGCCTTACTCTGACCACTCGGCGTGCTGAACGCCTTCTCGTCGGCCCACCGAGACCCGTCGACTACCCCTTTGACCAATCAATCATGCTCAATTCGACTTGCCCGGAGCAGACCTGCCCAGCTCCTGCCTAGGCCCTTGCCCTGGATGTTTTGGGGAGGTAGTACTCCGTGCGATGTATACTGAGCGTGCCGTGTATACGGTACGCGGAGAAACATCAGGGCAGCCACCGTGACGCAGGTACCCTATACGGTTACAGCCCGTGAATTGACTCCAGACCACCACGGACCACCCGGCCGCAGCAGCATCGGCAAGATCCTGTTAACATATGACGATAATTCTTAGGAATAATCATGTTTTCCGGCAAAGTGGATCCTCCCCCTCTCGTAACCATGCAGACAATAGCATCGATACCTGCGCCGCGTCTTGTTTGCCAGGGAATTGAGTGGTATTAGAACCGGTATGAGATAGGGCCTCTCTGTATATATACGCGGCTGCCTTCTCCTGTTCAGGATTCCCCGTTTCCTCCTCTATCTTTTCCTCTCTCTCCCTATCTCTCTATACTATCTCTCTCTCCGAGTCTTTATATCTACCTTGATCCATAATCTAATTGGGTCCTGGTCTCTTACTACTATCCAGCGACTCTCTTCTTGCCCCAAAGATTAGCAGATCCCTCCTCCACTTCCCCGTCTCCACCTTCCTACCTCCAACCCCACTCAGTGTGCATATTATCACGATGCCTCGTTTCGACGATGCTGACTTCGCGGTTGTGTCTGCCCCAGGCACTCCTCGCACTGAGGGCCCAAATCCCTTTGCAGCTGTCCGCCCTGGTGTCTCGAGAGGCAACAGCACTCTGGCCATTCCCGGTGGAAATGGAAACACTGTTGAGATTCCTGCCTCCCGCAGTTCGATCAGCGACGCCGCTGCATTGATGCACAACTTGAGCCTGTCGCCCTCCATGAAGGAGCGTCGCGGTTCGCGCAACTCATTTGGAACATCGCTCCCGATTCCTCGTTCTCCCCGTCACTCTCGACTATTGTCGAAGCGACCTGGCGTTTCTCAAGACATCCTGGCCTCTCAGGTCCAGGACATGTCCAAGGAAAAGGTTGCCGCCGCTAAGAATATGGCATTTGCTTTCGATATCGACGGTGTATTGGCACATGGCAACGAGCCTATCGAGGAGGCCAAGCTAGCTCTGAAGATGCTCAATGGCGATAACGAGCTAGGTATCAAGATTCCCTATATTTTGCTCACCAACGGTGGTGGTAAGACTGAGATTGCTCGTTGTGAGCAGCTAGCTGGGCTTTTGGAGAGCCCTATCTCCACCGACCAGTTTATCCAATCGCATACTCCTATGCAGGCCCTGGCTGAATATTACGAGACCGTTTTGGTGTGCGGTGGTGAGGACTTCAAGGTCCGTGAGGTCGCTGAAACTTATGGTTTCAAGAATGTTGTTCACCCTAAGGACATCTTGGCGTGGGACCCTACCGTTTCCCCGTGGGGTATCTTCTCTGAGAAGGATCGCGAGAACGCTAAACCTCGTGACTTCTCCAAGATGAAGTTCGACGCTATTCTGGTTTTTGCCGACTCGCGTGACTACGCCACCGATTTCCAGATCATCATGGATCTGCTCCTATCTGAGAACGGCAAGCTTCTCACCCGCGCTAAAGACCCTGTCGCCAGCCGTATTCCCATCTACTTCTCGCAGGGTGACTTGGTGTTCCCTACCAACCACAAGGGACCTCCCCGTTTGACCCAAGGTTCTTTCCGTATCGCTATCGAGGCCCAATACAAGGCCCTCACTGGTGTTGAGCTGGAGCGTGTCGTTTACGGCAAGCCTGAGCGTGCTACTTACACCTATGCCGATGAGGTGCTCAAGAACTGGATGGAGCAGATCCATAACGAGAACACATTGCCCCAGAATGTCTATATGGTGGGTGATAACCCGCAGTCTGACATTATTGGAGGTAACATGTACGGCTGGAACACCTGCTTGGTCCGCACTGGTGTCTTCCAGGGCAAAGGAGGGTGAAAATGATGCTCACAACCCTGCCAACTTCGGCGTCTTTGAGAACGTCCTTGAAGCCGTCAAGGCCGCCGTCCGCAAGGAGCTTGGCCAGGATTTCAAGTTGAAGTGGAACCCTAAAGTCAACCCTGTGCTTCACGGTGACGATTCTTCAGCCGTCGCATAGGCAGCTCAATATCGCCACTTGAAGACACCCTATCACCTAAACAACACATTACGATATAACAGAACAGACCTTGGTCTTTTCACGCCGAGCGACATTTGAAACCCATATCAACGGCGTGCTTTGCGATACTGGGAGGGCTTCCCTTTTCTGGCGTTGTCTTTTGTCATTTTTAGACAGATAATTTTCTTTCTTATTTGTGCCCCTCGTGTTCCTGGTTGAATTTCGGGGTTCAAAGTTTGCTGATATTTACCTCCACATCTATGGTCGTCTTTTATTTCCTCTGGTCTTGCGTTTGAGCTCGAACTATCTTCATTTTGATTTCTCTACAAATACACTTGATGTGATTTAGACTGAATAATTCATTATTCTTGTCAAATGATTCCTGATGAAACTGTAGTAGCGAAAGAACTGTTGAGCTGTATCCGCAAACAGCCTCACCGGCCACTTGACATCATGATATAATTCATGAGTATCTCTGATTCAAATCCTTCTAAACGTACAGTGCCTAGAATTAATATTTCAAGTTGCTTTCGCCCCTTTCACGTTTCTTTTAGCTCTTTGTTGGGGCCATGATTTACGAGCTTGCGAAAACATGATCCAAGATAAAGAATGCATTTCCAAATACACATCATAGTAGTACATAACTACCAAGATTAGCACCGGAATACGGATAAAATTTATTTTCAATTTCCTTCAACAAATAACAAAGTGACTTGAATCCAAGTCTGTCTTTCGCCATACTCGTGCGCCCTTACATTTTCTGCATCAAGACAACCCTAAGTTCTCGGTACGAAAGCGAAAAGGAGAAAAGTTCAAACCAAGACATTGAACGTTCTAGAGCCTTCGAGCTGAGACAAGTTTTGATTTTCTGGAAAATCTCAATATGGACTCGGATAGAAAAAAAGGGACAATGTAGGGAATCGGAGCAGGTGAAACAACCGAGCTCAACCTGAGATAGCTCAAATAGCTGTAGTGGCCCCGGTAGCCAGTGACCAGTGACCAGCAACCAGTAACCAGTAACCAGTAACCAGCACTCAATATTCAGAAAGATCAAGTTTAGTGCTTAGTACCAGCTGTAGGATGGCTCCTTCATTTTCGTGCGTTTGCTCGAGAGACAAGGGATCGCGGAACCGGGGAAGAGGAACCCAGGAATCAAAACACGGGATCGGAAGGGCGGGAATCGGGTAGCTGCACGATGCTCTACCAGAGCGTCGGTGAAGGTCTCGGAGTCTCTGTTTCTCGGGAAAGGAGTAGTTCATGCGTAAAGGAGAACAAGTTTATGGCGGGCCGCATGGACAGGGGCTTTGATTTCGGGTTACTGGGTGATGTGGGTTGGTTTAATACAAGAGTCGTATGAACAGCCAGGAATGAAATGAAAATTTACACCGTATTATTCTCTTAATATTTGAAAACTTGAGTATTAGTCAGTGCTTAGTACACGCGTGCTGTTTCTCAGGTATAACATAGGTGAAGGTATAGTCAGTTCATCCGCATCCACCTGTCGTCCACAACCAAAAGTGGGCTTTTTAGCTTCTGACTCCAAGGTTTTATAGTTTCTGTATATTTGTATCTAAGATTTTATCTTTCCATTGAAAATTTTTCTTTTTTTTGTGGTGGGATGTGAGTTGTGTCAACTATATAGAGTCCTAATATGATGCTTCAAGTTAATTTACTACTACATCAAGGACACTTCCCGACAGAAGCTTGAGCAAAATACGCGGCGTCCCCGGTTTCAATCAAACTCCCAGCCAAACATGTTCAACTACTAGTTGAAATTGAAAATTGGAGCTAGGTACTATATGGAATATGCTAGCTAGTGGTTCAGTAAGAAGGCAACAGCACCCGGTAGAAAGGCAATGTAAACTTTTGATAAACCAATTTACTTTTACAATAATTCTCAACTCTTAAGCAGTAGGTTAGGAGAACATAGACTTGAACGCGCCTACAGATTCGTCCGCTGTAAGTCTATTCAACCTTTCCTCCCCAAGCAAGTAGATCTGCGGCAGACCGGGTACACTCCCTTCCCCAAGAGCCATTCGGGCTATTCCTTCACCACATAACCAAGCTTTGTCCATTCCGTGTCCATTATATCCGGCTGCGATCCATTCTCCTTGACCCTCTCGACCGGATATTGAGGATGGAATTCGACCAACAATTGGACAGCCATCTGAAGTGAAGGCCATAATTCCAGACCAGACCTGTCGCACTTGATGGGGCTCCACATTGGAAAAGATACTTGGAAGCACTGTCGAGAGCTTCTGTTGTGTTGTTTCCCCAACGGTCGAGTCATCACTAGTAAGTAGCTCTGACAATTTCTGACATTCGCCTCCAATCCAGATCTCTCCTGTTTTCGCATTTTGCTGCACATAGTGATATTGCGTATCCCAGGCATCACTTTCCGGGCGGTAGGTAAATTCATTTATCGAGGACCAAGAGAAATGATCTCCCAACAGAGGGAAATCAGAGCCCGGTTCCTGCACTGACATCGTACCGCGAAGAGGGTATATAGCTCCGACCAGGTTCGGTACCAGATGACCCGCAAAGCCATTTGTGCAATGAAGGACTTTGTGCGCTCGAATAATGCCCCGTGGCGTGATAATGGAATACGGCAGCGATTCCGATTGATTGAATCTAATGGTTTGAACCGGCGTGTCTGTCTGTAATGTAAAACGACCATCAAATTCCTTCAAAAGTTTTTGGAAAATTGCAGTGATCAGGCGATAGGGCCATACTGCGGCTGCACCGTGTTGCTCTACCAAACCGACAATGTCATCTTGGAAGGAAAATTCCTGCCATCGGTTGTTAGACACTAGCTGCATAAGGATTCTGCTAGACAATGAAAGAAAGAAATGACATACCTTGATCCGATCCTGATCTTCCACGAATCTGAATTTTATAATACTATCTGGATATTCTTTCTCGAGTAGTCTCACGGCAGCCTTGAGACCCTCCATAGTTTCAGCTTTTGATGTAGAGAGCCCTAGTACGACGTCCCGCAGCTCTGTTGCTTCGCGGTCGTTCTCTGCCAGGCTCGCTGCAACCTCCCTCAGTCGGATAGCATTGGCTTCACTGAAACGGGCCGTCTCGAGAGCAGCTTCTAGGCCATGTGTATCCATATTGTGGGCAAAGCTCTCGAGAATATTGGAGCAGATGTGCCCACCGTTCCGACCAGTTGCCCCGCTGCATGTCCCTCGGGCTTCAAGAAGAGTTATGCGCAGCTTGGTGGCGTCTGGGTGATGCAGTAAGGCATGGGCGGCACCACAGCCAGTGACGCCGGATCCAATTATGACAATATCTGCTTCCTCGGCGAGATCTGATTGTATGTTGGCAACTGTCGGATGAGGGGGCTGCTGCCATGATGATTGCGTTGGGTTTGGATTGGGCAAGCCTGGTGCCAGGGTGATACGCTCTTTGACCTGAGCGGCTATGTCTGTTTACTCTTGGATTAGCTCTTGGAGGTGAACTTGTTTGCAAATCAAACGAGGACAGCTGACTCGATAATTTAATGGCTTTTTAAAGCTGCGAAGATGATAAGAAAAAATGGGAGCGGGGTCATTGGCTTTGACGTACCAGTAATGTCCATGGTGATGAGCTGGGAAGCGCTGTTTGAAGAAGGTTCAAGTTCAAGCAGCGGTCGTACAATTTCTTAATTTAGGACTGAACTGCCAGTCAAGCTGGCTTGCGACGGGACTTAAATATATGGGATTGGCATCTATTTGCCATGCGTGGGATTGTATGTCAATCGAATCAAAGGTACCCACGACTCGAGCTTTAATAGAGATTCTGGCTCGAGTACCAATCAAAACATGGAAAATATGCCGGTCGCTAGCCAGATCAAGCTACTACCAAGCCCTCCTGCCATCAATTCCAGAAATCGACCAGTAGCTTAGGAATGCGCCCTGATGGCCTAGATTCTAGTACGCATAATTCACCAATGATGTGTTGAGAAAGAAGCCGGTTTGTTGACCACACTTTCTCCACGCTATGTGTCAGCAAAATGTTACATGGGTGAACTTCGTTCCCATATTCTAAAAGGGTGGGGTCGACTTGCCTCTTAAAGTAAGGTCTGTGGGCCACAGCCTACCTAAGAGCTCAACGGAAGATGAGAATCTTCAAGTATTAATAACCCGTCACCTGCATAAATGGAGCTGTTTTCGTTTTCCCTCATGGTAATCACCAAGAAAAATATTGTCGATTAATATGGTATGCTGACCACTCCATCAAGAATAAGTTGCCAACCCACCCACCTCTCTCTCGACCAACTAGACTATGTCGCTCTTCACTGAAGCATCATATCATCCGCTATGTTACCATAGAATCATAGTTAGTCTTAGCCGTGGGTATTTTGAATTTCAGGGTGAAACAATGACACACCTATACTTTTCTCAAGGCTCGTCACAATTATAGCCGTTGCAGTGATGAGAGAAAGAGCCGAGAAGTCCAAAAAGCAGCAAATTATCACACCATATGATGAATCTGTTTGCCAGTTGAGTGAACAGCGAAAATGAGCCTCATCCAATCAGTCTTCGTGGATTTAAGTCATAGTATCAATACTAATTTCGCGGTTTGTTCTTGCGAAGGCTAGCACTGAAATCTCGCTCCTTCCAAGCTGGTTCTAGATAAAATATACGACTCTTTGCCAGTCAATACTGGCGACTGATGCAAAGAAAGACAAGCGAAAAGAAATAATGACAGTTCATACTTCTATGAGAAGTATCTGTTTTGCCAACGCAAAATGGTCAATTTCACAAAAGACCAGCCAACACATAGTTCAGCATGATTTCACTGTACTATTCACACCAGGAGAGTGCTTGGGGGCCGCGGGGGAATGATATACATGAATGGCTAGCTGGTCAGTAAGCCCCATCGCAAGACATCATCTCGCATTGGGAATTCCTACGTGGTCGGGTACCCACCCGATTGACCACAAGATTACTCAAGGAGGTTATTAAAATAGGCTCGGAAATCTCTCTAGTACTACTACTATCCAGAGACCGTTT